CTTACTTTTAGAACACAAATGATTCAATTACATTTTATGCAAATTATAAGAAAATACAATTATTCCTAAATCTCAGATGCCAGCATTGGAGACCGTAAAAGGAGGGATATTTGTTTTTATTTGGCAACATTTTAATGGAGACAAATCAGTGTCAGAGTTGGCCAGAATTTTTTGTCAGCTTGGCAAAATAAAATTTCAGCTCCTCCATGATTTCTCCTCTAAAGATCAATCCAATATTAGATATCTCCTTTGAGGTTAGTGTCTAGTTTACAACCACAAAAAAGATAATAAATTCTATAAATTCAATGATAATAGATAGCAGCCACATTGGAGTCACATTTATGTCGCCCCAAGATTGATCTCAGCATTCAGATTTGTCCAGTTGAAGAATTTGTTATATTTTTTCAAAAACCTTAATTTTATGATGTTGCAATGTGATAAGATGGGGAAACTTGTTCTTCAACAACTATTGTGAGTATATATGTATATATATTATGAGTATATCCTCCATGTTTATTTTAACTATTCTGAGATTAGGGGGATGACACAGGAATTATTTGCATTTTCTTTTACTTATGTCTTTTACTCTATTTTCTAACATATGGTCTTATTACTGATCTGTGTTTTGTATTTTGTATTCTAATATGACCTAATGGCTAGTCAATAAAGTATTATTGTTGTATAAATCTGTAATAACAAAGATACAGGTAATCCTCGTTTAGTGACTTTAATTGGGACTGGCAACAGTTGTTCAGTGAAATAGTTACTAACAGAAACAGTAACTGTTCTTGTGATCTTACTTCAGCTTTGCTTTGCTTTGCTTTGCTTTGCTTTACAGACCTGCAAAGGTTTACTGATCTGTGTTCTGGCTGAATGGAAAAATGTAGTATGATTTTGAATTGCATTAATGCTACTTAAAAATACATACCGTTTACCAAATAAAGAATTTTAAATTAATATAGATTTTATATTAATCTACATACTGTTTCAATTAAATGACACATTCAGAGTCAGCCCACCATATCTTTTGAATTAAGCCATTTTTTTCATGCAGCAATCGTATTGCTTCTTTCTTCAAGAACATGTATTATTAAATATGCTTGGCAATTTTGTTTGATCAATTTTCTTAGACCAGTTGTTAAACTATCCAGGCTGTAATTTCCTAGATCGGTCTACCCATTACCCACAATTAAGAATACATATTACACAGATAAATTTTCCATGGGCAGATACCTGAATCCAGCCTCTTTTTTTTTTTGCCAATAACTAGAATACACATTAACTTGCTCAGTTCTCTTTTGAAAAATTCAAAAATTATCTGCCCTACACATACATACACAAACACAAAAAATCACTTTTATCTTTCCTGGATAAATGTTCATTTATTTTTCTTCACTTCACCTTTAGTTTCCAATTCTTAAAGGTCAAATTTAGGACGGAAGGATTTATATTCCTTGCAGACAGCTGTTCTCTTGCATTCTTTAGAGTAGTTGATGCTACTTGGAGGTTTATCTTTGCCAGGGTCACCTAAATAGTGCAAACGGGTGTGGAACATTCTTGGAACTGCTGAAAGGATTATGTTATAGACTGGAGATAGATGATGTCGTATCCTTCCCTCTCTGTTGAGAGAGGGCTGTTCAATTTTGACACGGATGGTCTCTTTGAGCCTACTTTCAAATCAGATTTTAAAAGAAATTTCAGAGAAGCACAGATAAGCCTCCAAGTGGCCTCAACAACTCTTGGATGAGAAGCAAAATGTCTTCAAAGAAAAACAAGCCCAGTTGCCACTTGAAAAAGCACCTTTGGGATAACCATTACATGGATGGCTGAGAATCTCCATAGACATTAATATTAAACCAATACTTGGGCACTACAGCAGCTAGAAAACCTATCCAAATTATAAAAAGCTGCCATGATAGTGCAGTCAATGACATTAGTAAAAATATCAGGTAGAACATAGAACTCTGAGGATATCAGAGTGTGCAGTAAGTTAAGATACTCTCTGTGGTGCAGCGGTAGAAGGTCACCAGCAGTTTTTCATTCAGATATTGTTTTCTGAGAAGTCGCAGGTAATATAATCTCTGCCGAGGCTTCTCATAAAACAACTGAATGAAAAACTGCTGGTGATCTTCTATCACTGTACCATAGAGGGTATCTTAACTTACTACACCGCTGTATGATTTGCCAATTGCACAGTGTCAGATAGGACAGCACTCCAGAGCAGTGGTCACCAAAGGCTGGGGATCACTGGTGGTCTGCGAGAAAGTTTTGGTGGTCTGCAGAGAAATGTGACCCCAAAGCAATTAATCCAGGCTATGCAGGAACACAAGGCTGCACCACCCACATGGCCTGCAAGAACACAAGGCTTGCGTCGCTTGCATTGCGAACAACACAAAGTAGTGAGGGGGGAAACTTGCCCACTCACCCAACACGCCTTGCCTGGCCACTGGGCTGCTTCTTTCCGCTTTTTTCTTCTTCTGCTTTTGGCTGCACGCAAGGAAAGGAGCAAAAGTCTTTCTTTCTCTCTCCCAAACTCCACCAGAAATGAGTCTTTGGGACCCTGCAAAGCATCCTGCTCCAAGAGGCTGCGCTGCAGCAAAAAGTTTCGTGAAGACTCATTTTTGGCGGAGTTTGGGGAGAGAAAGAAAGACTTCTGCTGCTTTCCTTGCATGAAGCCATTCTCCTCCCCCTGAGAATGGAGCTGGAGAAGATATCCTACGATCCCAAATAAAGAATGGTCAATCAGTAGGAAAACAGGGTGGGGAATTTTCCTGCAGACTTTTTTGGGGGATTTTCCCAGGGTTTTTGCTGCTTTCTGCAGAGACCCTGGAAAAATGTCAGCTAGCCACTGTCAGTAAAAATTCATATTTGTGGTCCGCGGGATTTAAAATTATGAGTTTAGTGATCCCTGAGGTCCAAAAGGTTGGTGACCGCTGCTCCAGAGGGCTGTCATTGCCCAGAAGATAATTGGTTGCCCTCTCCCCTCTTTGGAAGAGCTTTATAGCTCCTGCTGCCTTAAGAAAGTTCAAAACATTCTCAAAGATCCATCTCATCCTGGGCAGCCTTTTTTTAACTATTACCATCTGGCAGATGGTACAGGATAATAAAAACAAGGACAAATAGGCTGAAAAACAGCTTCTATCCCAGGGCAGTAACTCTATTGAATTCTACTGTATAGTGCAATATTAATGCAATATTAGGGGTTTCAATTCAATGTATAGAATGTGAAGGATGTGTGGTTGTGTTTATTTTCAGTCATAATATACAATGAAGATGGTATTTAATTTCATTGTACGAGGTGCAATGACAATAAAGTAAAGTAAACTAAACATGAAGAGATCTGTCAAAGGCACTAGACTGGAGACCCCAAGATTAAGCTATAAAGAAAATTTTCTTCCTACTGAAAAATAAACATTTGTCATAGACTCTAATCATACTAGCAAGCAATCTCTAATGAGCTTAATTCTTAAGAATGCAGCTGTCACCATCATCTTTCTCTCATCATGCCTTTCTTCATGACACTATATTACTTCTATTCTGGAGTTAAGAAAAAAAGAATTAAGAGTGGATGTAGGCCTGTGATACCTCCACTAGAAGTAAATACATTAACATTTCTTGTCCTATTCTACAGAATATCTGATTACATATGCTACAAATTAACATACCGTACACTTCAACCAAGGAAGATCTTACCAAAGAATAGCAAGGAACCTACCATGCTGCTCTAGATATGTCTGGAGTCTATTGATGAGATCTTGTTTGTTTCCTTTTGCCTCCAATCCTCGGGCTAAACACTCTTGTTTCAACTCCGCAAGCTGTTAAAAGTAGAAAAGATTTAACCTTAATCAAACATGTGATTTCCTACAGACATATAAAAATTAAAGCAAAGCTCTTAAAATGAAGCCGAATCATTCTCCTTTTAACAAGTGAAAGACATGACCTTCAAAGAAATAGGCAATATTATGTTACTATAGCCTATCTCAATAAAGTATAGCTTTAATTTTCCTGTGAAGCCGTTTTCCTCATCTGGTCTACCTGTAGAGTTGACACTCCTGCAGGTAGACACTGTCGTTTAAGGAGGACTCTCCAATGTTTACATCAAGATGACCTTGAAAGAAAAGCATCAGTGGGAGTCTGAAACCAAGAAAACTGAAGAATTTCTTCAAAAATCATTAAGACTGTTCAATGAAGAACCTCAAGTAGGATCCATCATTTTAAAAGTATTAGATCGTGGTAACGATACATTAATGACGTTCATGCTTAACAAGCTGCCCGACAAGTAGGCAACCTCCGATTTTCCCATACTGTATCCCAAAAAAGCGTTACTTGTTCAATGCCTCCTGGAGCAAAGTCGCAAAAAAAAAGAGGGGGGAAAAGGATGACAAAAAGCAACACGTAGCACGCTTGCAAAGCGGTTTACAGTTCCTGAAAGCAAAGGTTGAAAACAGGGGCGCTGTTCTCTGAAAAGGAAAGAGAAGAACCACGCTGGAAGGGAAAGGCCACCGGCCAAGAAGAATTCAGTCCGGGCTGGGAGACAAGACTCCAGACGTGCCGACGTGAGGAGAATCCCATCATCTCTTTCCCGCGCTCTCGAAAAGGTTGACAAAGAAGCCCGCCCGCTAACCCACCCACCCAAACAGGAAGGCAGCTTCTTCCTACGGTCGAGAGGGAGGAGAAGGCCGAGCGCCGCTTCCCCAGAGCAAACGAAAGACGCGCTCCTCCGCCCAAGGCAGCCTCCATACCTTCAACTTGTGCAGCTCCACCGTCTCCGCCGCCATCTTAGCTTCGCCTCCCTCAACAATCTAACTCCCCGCTCACAATAACAGCCCCCACCCCACGACGCCCCCGAGAACCCTCGCCGAACGCCTGGCCCAATCCGAAGCCGCGCTCTCACTCGAACCCTGCCCTTCCGAATGTCGGCCCTCGCCATTGGTTGGCGGGTGAGGAACCGGATGGAGGGTCAAAAGAGGGGCGGAAAGGAAACCACCAACAGGAAAGAAGCGGCCGGCCGGAGCGGCTGCTGACTGGCGAGGAGGAAGTGGAGACAGGAGACGTGGAAGAAACCTGCCGCCTCGTATCAGACGGTGGAAAAGGAGCGGGGATTTTCTTCTTGTTGTAGCGGCGGGAGCCGTCGCGGAAGGTGGCAGGTAGGCAGCTGATGAGGGCCGGAGTAGAACCGGGGGACGACGACGACGACAGGGGACGACTCCCTGCGAGAAGAGAAGAAAAAGGATCCTTCAGGCGCAGCGAAACTCTCCTCCCGCCCCCAACCTTTTGAGTACAGGGGACCGATTCCGCGGGGAGAGGTTTCTCCGCGGCTCGGAGGGGCCATGGTTTCACGTGCTCCTTGCATCCCACGGATGGGGCTTCGCTTGTTTGCGTGGCCCGGTTGCTGGCACGCGGCGGACCGATGCCGATCCACGGACGGAAGAATGTGGGGGAGGTTTGAGCGGTTGGGGACGCCTGCACTAGTTGACAGTTCATCTTTTACAGTGTTCTTTTCCCACACAAAAGGCAAACATCTCAAGTTGAACCAGAGCCTTCACATCACACCACCAAGTCAGCCCATAGTGGGCATACAAAGCTCGATATCGCCACCAGGAACCGCTGAGAGAGGGGCTGGAAAGCACCGTCAAGCGGTATCTAAGTCGAAGTGCAATTGCTGTCGTACCTTATCCCGGGGGAGTGGGGGGTGTCTCCAACCCTGACAACTTGATGGACCTCAACTCCCAGAATTCTATGGCTGCCTGGGGAATTCAGGCAATGGAAGTTGCCAAGGTTGGACACCCCGGCTTTAGTCCATGCTGTAAGATGACCCCATCCAGCAGCCTCTTGTAGATGTGGAACAGGAGACTGTGGCATAGATCGGCCCTTCCCCCTCCCCTTCCACCCCAAAAAACCTTTTGGGCACCAGAGTTCAATTTCATGGAGAGAGATTTCACCGTAGACTGGAGTGGGCTTGGTTTTGCATGCTGCCTGCATCTTACGGATGGAGCTTTGCTTGTTTGCGTGGCCTGGATTGCTGGCATGACACGGACCAGGGGTTGGGGACTGAAGGGGGAGCGAGAATGCCCTCCACTTTATTCTACATCCAGGTCTTCTGCACAGTGAAGGAGGTTTTCAGTGCCCTTTCTAAAATAACAAGACACCTGAGCGGTGTAGAATATCTTCTCCTTTCCCAACTTCCAGCCCTTCAGATGAGATGGAGCTACTACAGAGCCTGCTGACCAGAAGGTGTTGCCCTAACCTCCGATTGAGGAAGGCTGAAATCCATGAATGTGAGAGGTCCTTGGTGCTCTCTGAGCGTGTTCGTTCTCTTGCAGATGTTTCATTAGCCTAACTAGGTAACATCAGTGCTAGTGAATGTTCCATTGCAAGAAGCTCTGGAGTTTCTCAACCTCAGGCAGTTTGTGCTATCTGGCAACGCTTTATATTCTTTCTTCCACAGCTGTTTATATCCATTAAAATAGTCCATTAAAAAATCCTGCTGTTCATATCCAATCAATGAAAAATGCCACAGTATCTTTAAAAAGAAAACAGTTGTGCTGGGGAAACAATAATGAAGTCATCACAGTTAGATGTTTTGTCACTGTTTGCTTTGTTATGCCTGGCAGTTATGGCTCTGATAATAAAAGCAAGTGACTCCCTCCTCTAGGCTTGTTCCAGTTGGAGTTGATAGCGGGGAGACATCTAGGCCGGGGTTCCCAACCCCCGGTCCATGGAGCAGCACCGGGCTGCATCATGCCAGAACCCAGGCCACACAAACATGTGAAGCCCCATCCACGAGATGCAGGGAGCATGCAAAACTATGCCCCTCCAGTCCATGGAAAAAACACTCTGTGGAATCAGTCCATGGTGCCCAAAAGGATGGGGGGGGGGGGGGGCACTGATCTAGCCAACAGTGTTCCATTCCTGTTTTACATCTACAAGAAGCTCCTGGATAAGTTCATCTTACAGCATGGAATAAAGCAGGGGTGTCTTAACTTTGGCAACTTTTAAGACCTGTGGAGTTCAGTTGCCAGAATTCTCTAGACAGCCATGGAATTCTGGGAGTTGAGGTCCACAAGTCATAAAGTTGCCATGGTTGGAGACCCCTGGGATAAGGTATGATGATCCTGATGATATCCACTATTATGGTCTGATCTGGTGATGTGAAGGTTCTGGTTCAATTTTAGATGCTTGCCTTTTTTGTGGGAAAAGAGCATTGTAAAAGATTACTGTCAACTAGTGTACAAGTATTTTAATAGCTATCCTTACCCCCATTTTTATGAGGAAATTAGGGGATGTGCAAGGATTAACTGAGTGATTCTGAGCAGTATTTTGATTTGACTCCATAGAGCTCAGGTTGTTCTCCCCCACCCCAAGCTACCAAGCCTAAAGAGGGCCTGTTCTAGGTTTTCTGATGTGCGTTCACACACCAATACCAGTATCTGGGTGTCTATACATATACACACCTATGTATTTTTCTTAACAGCATGAATGTTGGAGTAGCCCACAGTGAGATGAATCCCAACACGCGAGTGATGAACAGCCGAGGCATTTGGTTAGCTTACATCATTTCTGTGGCTGTGCTCCATATCATCTTTCTTAGCATTCCCTTCTTCAGTGTCCCTGTGGTCTGGACTCTAACTAATGTTATCCATAACCTGGTAAGTCAAAACTCTTGATTCCTGACCAATTTATTGGCCATGTTCCAAGCATTTAGGATACAAAGAGACAGCTTTTAAACTTGGGAGCTTCCTATACCGCCAATGCCCATATTACAATCCCACTGCGATTTCATTCACTGTACAATTTATTTAGGATTTTTTTTTTTCAAAATTGTCCTGCCCTAGGTGATTTTACACATTTACTGAAAAGTGCGAGGGAGGAAGGGAGAGAGAGAGAGAGAGAGAGAGAGAGAGAGAGAAAGAAAAAGAAAGAAAGAAAGAAAGAAAGAAAGAAAGAAAGAAAGAAAGAAAGAGAAAAAAAAGAGATTGTTACTTCTTTTTTTTTTTTTTTTTTGCTCCTTCCAGGTGATGTATTGGTTTCTCCATACAGTGAAAGGGACTCCCTTTGAAACGCCTGACCAGGGCAAGGATCGCTTACTCACACATTGGGAGCAGATAGACTATGGCACACAATGGACATCCTCCCGCAAATTCTTAAGCATTTCCCCAATCATCCTGTAAGTGTTGGGTATTGCTCAGGTCAGCCTTGCTATTAAAATTGCTGCTATAATTGATTTAATTGTTTTATTACTTTAATTATTTTTTAATCAATAATAGCAATAGCACTTAGACTTATATACCGCTTCACAGTGCTTTAGCCCTCTGAGTGGATTGCAGTGTCAGCATATTGCCCCCAACAATCTGGCTTCTCATTTTATCAGTCTCGGAAGGATGGAAGGCTGAGTCAACTTCGAGTCTTGTCAGGATCGAACTCCAGGCTGTGGGCAGAATTTGCCTGCAGTACTGCATTCTAACCTCTGCACCACCAGGGCTTTTAAATATTAATATTTCTTACATTTTGCATGTGTATGAATTGGGCCTCCTAGTACCATGTGTTATATAATGTCTTCATAGTCATTTGAAATTGGGAGCCTTAGCTCATAATGATTATCAGCCATGTACAACTTGAATTTCAATGCTATTGAAGGGGCTCAAGCGCACATCTGTCACTAATCGAGTATATTTCTTACCCTTCAGGTACATTTTAACCAGCTTTTATACAAAATATGACCCTGTGCACTTCGTAATCAACACCACTTCACTCCTAAGCGTCCTCTTGCCCAAATTACCCCTGTTCCATGGGGTCCGTCTCTTCGGTATCAACCAGTATTGAAGTGGAAGGGATCTTGGCACTGCTGACACGTTATTCTTCCAAAGGAAAACTTTTGCCAAGAAAGTGTGGGCAAAGCTGTGGTTGCATCACCTCGGACTCTCTGGAACCAGGTTTTGCTGGGTGAGGCAGGCCGAGTTGCCACTGGTCAAATGACTGAGCTGTATGGAGCATTCTTCGGTATTTCTGGCAAGGAAATCTAAGCCATTTTTTCTTGTGGCTAGTCTATACTAGGGGTGGAATTCTCTGGAGGAATGAAACAATAGTTGAGTGGCCATGCGAACGTGAGTTCTCTAGCTCTCCTGTGTAAAAAAATTCCTGCTTTTGTCCTTAGTGGTGGGGGACTGGGATCCCTTGTCTTTCTTCAAATGTGGTTGTGCTGTTATAAATTTCCAGAGTTTTCCCACTCAGGAAAGTGAATTAGCCTGCTGTGTCAGGTCTCATACTTATGGTTCTAAGCTGTGCAGATAATATATTTTGTAAATACTCATGTGGTATGAACGTATTAGCATAACTTTGTTCATTCCGGTTGAATGCAAGGTATGGAGTACTCCCTTTTGCCCTGCCCCTCTACTCCCTCCCCCTTTAAAGTAGGTTTTCTGGTTATAAAAGGACAATGTAACACAACATTGAAGTTGGCAGATGCAAATTAAATTATACATTTAGTCAGTGTTCTGTACTGCTTTTGTTCTTTTATCAACCCTGCTTATATCAGCTCCATGAAGTTGTCAACATAAAAAGCTAAAAACATGGGCATTTAATCTGTGTATGAACCTTATTTGTTGTTAGTTTCTATCATAGTTCCCCAGTTTGTTTAAAAAGTACTAGAAAAAAAGTCCTTATTTTTATAGGGCAGACATCTCTAACCAGTTTACAGGCTACAGGAATCTCATTTCTGATGAGGTTTCTTCACACATCCATGAAAGCAATCCAATGTTACATCGAAGGAATATGTTTGAAGTACAAGATGAGTGCTCTGGTTACTGGTATTTCAAATAGCCATCTTTAAAAGAGCAAGATAGTCAAAAACAAATAAACACAAGCATGTGCTCACTTCGGCAGCACATATACTAAAATTAGAACGATACAGAGAAGATTAGCATGGCCCCTGCACAAGGATGACACGCAAATTCGTGAAGCGTTTCATATTTTGCAACTAGAACAGGCCTCTCTGCAGCTTTCTTTGACTACAATAAACATTAAAAAGTAAAAAAATAAACACAAGCTTATAGTTATCAGCAAACATGCTTTATAGCTATTTTTTTTCTGATCAAAGTGTGTGCTAAATATTAAAATGGTGGTTTAAAATTTGCTTCAGAAATCCACAAGGGACTGTATACTTTATTCTCTCTCATTCCTTACCATTAACTGTGGAAGTGGCCAATAAAAAAGCATCCAAGGTAGTTACAAGTCTAAGTAAGAACTAGATGTGTTACTATTACATTAGCATGTAAAGCATGTTTGCACCCTCCCAAACTAGATCAGCTTTTATAGGGTTATCTAGAAAATTGGTCTCTCTCAAACTGGGTAGCCTTAAGACATGTGAACCTCAACTCCTGGAATTCCCCAGCCAGTTGAAGTTCACTGTACCAGGGTTGAAAACCCAAAGTGGAAATAATGACTTTTAATAAAATTTTTATTAATTTTCCAAATTTTAAAAAAAACATAAAACAAAACTTTATACATTGTTATCAACATCAAGACGTCTTTTGCATTTCCTCACATTTATCAGTATATGTATTTACTTATTCCATTACCATTACATCTTACTCTTACTATAAATCAATATCTTTTATCCTTACATCTCAATCTTCTCCATGGTATATTTACATATTCATTTTTTTCCTAATTGCCATTTTATTTTCTTTTTATTTCTAAACCACTCATACCGGGCATCCCAGGCCCTATAATAAATTGAATCTTCTCTGTCTTTTACTTTCATCGTTAGCCTGTCCATCTCTATACAATCTATTATTTTTTTAATAACCATGCCTTCTGATGGAATCCTTTTTTCCTTCCATAGTTGTCCGTACGAAATCCTTGCAGCTGTTAATATATGTAACATAATATATCTATCTGTTTTATTGCATTTTTGTGTTATTATACCTAATAAAAAAGTTTCCGGATTAAATTCAATAATGACTTTTAAATGATCATCTCAATTGGTGTTCCTTCGACTAGACACATACTGAACAGATAGAATAAAAACCTAACACCAACCTTAACCATAGCAAAAGCATCACTGCTGAAATCATTTGCCATAAAAGCTAATCTACTAGCCCCTGTATTTTTTTCTGGTTTAAAACTCCAAATTTTTGTGGAGGCTTCTGCCTGCCTTGCTTTGAGCCACCTCTGGAAAAGTTGCTTCATGTGAGAAAGCAGGCAAAAGGCAGAATAAAGCTGCCCTTTCCTGTTTCATCTCAGCCCATCTTAAAAGCAGAATGTTCCTGTTCTGTCTTCCTGGATTGGCTATTTTGCATTTTGATGAGCTTGGGGAGACATTTCTCCCCATTTAGTATGCCCATGCAACAATTACACGTCTCTTTAGATGCTCCCCCATTTTGGAACAGTATTTGCCCGCATATCCAAATGGCTCCCTTCCAGCTGGATTTTAGGAACACTTTCAAAAGATACAGGCCTTGGAGGCTGGAGTGTTACAATCTGTTCCCTCCAGCAACAGAAATGATCTTTTGCTTGATGGTTGAATTAATTTCTGGTTTATATCTTACTATGTCCTATTTTAAGCATTGTAATCATTGCTATTTTACTCTAATTAGCACTGTATGTTTTTAATCCAATTTATAATAGTTGGAATGTATGCTGTTCAGAGTTGATAAGAGCAGCTATTTATATAAACCCAAAGAGAAAATGTGTTTGACTCCTTGTGTTGCTGTTTTTAATCTCAGCTAACTTGTCAAATCAGAGAAACAAGACATCTCGGTATGCATTCAGCCATGAGGGGCATTAATTCTCTGAGTCAGAATACAGAATAACAGTTGGAAGGTACCTTATAGATTATCTAGTCTAACCCCTGCTCAACTAGACCAGCCAAGCCCAGTTCTTGCAACCATTCTTCATATGTTTTAGCCTGCAGGCCCCTAATCATCTGTGTTGCTCTTATTTGCACTCTTTCTAGAGTCTCAACACCTTTTTTATAGTGGTGACCAAAACTGGATGCAGTATTCTAGATGCGGCCTTACTAAGTTTAGTTTAGTTTACTTTATTGTCATTGCACCTCGTACAATGAAATCAAATACCATCTTCAGTGCACATCATGACCATGACCATGAAAATAAACACAAACACACATCCTTCACACATTGAACTGGAAACCCACGACACCGCACCAATACTGCACTATACAGAATTCAAAAGAGCTACTATCCTGGGATAGAAGCTGTTTTTCAGCCTATTTGACCTTGTTTTTATTATTCTGTACCATCTGCCAGATGGTAATAGTTCAAAAAAAGGGTTCCCAGGATGAGATGGATTTTTTAAAATGTTTTGAACTTTCTTAAGGCAACAGGATCTATAAAGCTCTTCCAAAGAGGGGAGAAGGCAACCAATGATCCTCTGGGCAACGACATTAACCCTCTGGAGTGCTTTCCTATCTGCCACTGTGCAATTGGCAAACCATACAGAGGTGCAGTAAGTAAAAATGCTCTCTATGGTGCAGAGGCAGAAGGTCACCAGCAGTTTCTCATTCAGTTGGTGTTTTCTGAGAAGTCTCAGGTAGTATAATCTCTGCTGGGCCCTTTTGACCAGTGCTGCAATGTGAGCACCCCAGGTCAGGTCCTCTTTTAGGGTAACACCCAGAAACTTAAAACTGGCCACTTGCTCCACTCGGTCTCCATTGATAAGCAAGGCCTGGATGTCTGATCTGTTCCTTCTATAATCCACTATAAGCTCCTTAGTCTTATTGGTGTTGAGGACCAAGTTATTGTCTCCACACCACGAAAGCATCTCAGTAGGCAGACTCATCCCCCCAGAGATAAGTCCCACCACTGTTGTATTTATATAACAGTGAAGCAGCCAGATAGGAAATCCATAATCCAAAGGCAGATTGAATTAGAAAGGCCAAGGTCCAGAAATTTAGACACTAGTCTATGTGGAAGAATTGTGTTAAACACAGAACTAAAATCCACAAAAAGCATTCTCACATAGCCCCCCGGCTGTTCTAGATGAATCAGAGCAGTTTGAAGAGTGATGGCTATAACGACCTCTGTAGATTTATTTTTTCTGTATGTAAACTGGTCTTTATCAAATGTATGCGGAAGACTAGAAATGAAGTGCCAACAGACCAATTTTTTCAAAGCACTTCATGATGATAGGAGTGAGTGACACTGGTCTGTAATCGTTGAGGTTATTGAGGGGAACTTCTTTGGCAGCGGAACAATGATAGAAGCCTTCAAACAAGATGGAATAGTGGACTGGGATAAAGACCGATTGAAGATTCTTCTAAAGACTCCAGCCAACTGATCAGCACAGTCTTTAAGCACTCGGCCAGAGATACCGTAAGGACCGGCAGCCTTTCTAGGGTCCACAGCCCTCAGAATGCTCCTCACCTCCTGTTCCTCCACAATGAGGTGGGGGCTACAATTGGCTCGTGGTTGTATTTTATCTGTCTCTGATGTCTCCACTTCAAAGCAAGCAAAGAAATGATTCAGTTTCTCTTCCAATGAAGCATCCCCTCAGCAGGGATGACATTGGTCGGTTGATGGTTTGTAATTTGTTGAATCCCTCACCACACCTGCCTCACGTTATTGCTATAAAAATTATCCTCAATCTCAACATAAGACTTTATAGAGGGGTGTTAGTACCTCACGTGATCGTGATTCAATCTGTTAATGCAATTTAGGATTGCATTGGCTTTTTTGGCTGCTGCTGCACACTGCTGGCTCATTTAATTTATTGTCTACTAGGATTCCCAAGATCCCTCTCAGTTACTGCTATTAAGCCAGATTTCACCTGATCTGTACATGTACTTTTGGTTTTTCTTGCCTAAGTCTAAGACTTTACTTTTCTGTATGTTGAATTTCATTTTGGCTGTGGAAGAAACAGGAAGGGCAAAGTCCAGCTGGGCAGAACAGGGGAGAGGTAGAGCAAGGGAGAGGGAATTCAGAGGAAGACCCAGGCCCACCCCCTCTTCATCCTAGGGCACGCAGGAAGGGAGCAATGTGAGTTGCGTGGCTTATGGGGGGAGGAAAAGGCCCTGATTCCCTTCATTAGCTGCAGCTGGGAACAGTGTTTAAAAAGGGAAGCTGCGTGTAGCAAGCTATTGGGAGCAAATCATGAATTTATCTGGTCTTGTTGTGGCTTATCTATGTTCCTGGCATCTTCCCAATTGTGTGAGTTTTGCCCTGCTTTCAAGTCTGAAATTCCTTCTCCTGCCCTGTCAAGTTAATTACCGCAGCTTGGTTTGTTTGGATTTTTAGTTAACAGCTTGTATGTACCTTGCTTTGGACTGAATTTTCTCTAGTTAAAGGCTGTTCCTGGAAAAAATTTTCTCCAGCCAAAGGTAACCTGGACATTGGGTGCAAAGTTGGAGATAATAAGGGGAGTCTTTTTGCTTATTTGACTGCGTTGCCTTTGTGCCACGCCCCGGGTCATCACAACACTACTGGATGTTAGGCTAATTGGTTTATAGTTTTGTGGGGCTTTTCCCCCCCTTTTTTGAACATGGAAACCACATCAGCTCACATCCTCACGTAGTTCTCCAGGATTTTTGAAACATGTGGTACAATGGTTCTGAGATGACATCTGTCAGCTCCTTTAGAACTCTGGGATGTAATCAGTCAGGTCCTGGTGATTTATATTCATCAAGATCAGACAGGTGTTTTCTTACAGGAATCTGTGGCCCAGCTTCGCTAAAGCATACCAAAGCTATAGTGCTCCCATTCTGCAATGTCCCAATGGGATTCTCTGATGTTTTGCTAAGTACAAAACCAGATGTTGGTCACTTCCTGTTTCAGTCAGAGCCACTCCAGTCTCTTTCCGACACAACCATTGTTATAATGAATAGCTTTAAGTGGGGGTTTCCCAAATGATGAATTGTCTTTCTACTGGGGAGGTGTCCATAGAATCCAGGGGAGTGTGAGGGACCCTTTAGTTGTACATTGTTACAATAAATCCATCTTTCCCCAAACTTTGTTGTATTGTTTCCATTGTTCATTTATGTTTATTTTGGTGTTCAGATTTTTTGGGAGGTGCTACGCACTGTGCTCTATTGGGTCCTCATTTCACAGCTATTTCCTTACCACAGGAGTCTGGACCGGTACCATCTGTGGCTTGTTGAGAACCGGGCCACACAAGTGGCAGGGGAGCACGCAAAGCTTCACTTGTGCGGACGCGTATTCAAAATCATCCCTACTCCCAAACTGCCGTTGCTACTGCCAGTCCAAGAACCTGCAAAAGTTGGGGATTGCTGTCATACCAGATTCCTCAATGCCTTCAACAGTGGCAGAGCTAATGTACTCTCTTCCCTGGAAAAAGTTGAGATGCATTCAGAGAAGTTATCTTGCCTTGAAAATAACCCGTGTTGAACTGTACAGCACAAACAGCACAGGAAAAGTTTTGCGTCATTATGTCATACATTTTAACGATAATTTCATGTCACAAAAATGTTTTATAAAATTTGCCTAATTTCAACTCTCAGGACTTGTAGGTACCAGATTTTGGATACATTCTGTAAATTTGCCCATTTGAGCTACCTTTGTTCAAAATGTTTTTCCCAATGATATCCCATTTCGCCCTGCTGAAAGTTGACCGTAGGATACAGATGTACATTTAGATTACACAAAGGGAGGTATGATGGCAAAAAAACCAACCACCATTAGGAATCCCTGCTTTAAGTAGTCAGGTAACTCTGGGTAACTCCTCCCAGTTGCCTTTAACTGGTCTAAGTCAAAGAGACTTGAAACCTGTCCATTAAAGTTGCCTCTATATAAATCATCAGACTCCCCTGAATGATCTTTGGGAACTACCACCAGTATCTGCCCCCATGTCTATCCTGACTATCAACAGCAGGCAGTTAACTTCTATTCAGGAGTGTATCCTCAGTAAATTTGTGGTGTGTTTAACTTAGTTCTGTCATTGGTTTAGTGATATATCCAAGAGCCCCATTCAGGTGAAGCACTTCTACTTGGACTGGAAAAAAGATCACGCTTAGTGAATATTAAAAAAAAAAATCCACTGAGTTCAAACCAGAAATCTTCTATCGAGAAGACAAATGTCACTCTGCTGTCATATACTAAAACTCTCATCCTGATCTTTAACTGGGTGAAATGGTGCATTGCAGAGCAACGGTTTTTGAGGCAAGGTACCTCAAATGGCTAACTTACAGAATGTGCTCAAAATCCAGAACCCAAGATTCTCAAGGGATCAATTTGGGAAATTTGTAGCTACCTGCTTCAGTGCTACAGCACCCGGGGTTTTTATTTTCAATATTCTGTGACAGTTTGCCAACCAGTCTTGCAATCCCTTGCTCCCTTCCCCACCCAAGCAGCAACAACCATCAAGCAGGAAACAATAGTGTAATCAAAGAACCACCAAGAAGAAAACACTGCCTGACCAATACTGACAGGGTAAGCTACTGTTTATAAACAGAGAGCAAGCCTCTCCCCTTTCTAACACCAAAGACGTACCTAGTTGGATAACTAAACATCTGCAAGCAAACAATCAAGTTCAGAGAGTACCAAGTAGCCCACAAATCTTAATCCATGTATGTCTGATTATTCTGGCTCTAACAAACTCTTTGCACAGCTAGCTTAAATTCCCTCACCCAAAAAGTACTTGTGGTGCTAAAACTATTTTGTACAAGAAAATAGTGCTAGAAATGCAGAAAACTATTTCAAAGGTGATCACCAAAAACAGCGGCCCTATAATGGTGAGGTTGAAGGACATTTCTATTTTAAATTAATTTCCTGACTGTCCTTAAGCATTAAGTATTACTAATCTTGCTGCACTCTGTGCACTCTTGCTTCAACAGAGGGAATAGGGGCAGTGTCAATTAACCGAGCAGTGATTATTGTTACAGATGATTAGGCATTGGCAGCCCAGCAGAGAAATTAAACTAAAATTAAACATTCAACCATTCATGATGGCTCTCATTCAACTGGCAACTAGGCCATCCCAGGGTTGGTTTGTTTTTTACACCAAATAGTAGGAAATAACAGGAAGTGTCCGCTGACTGGCCACCAAACTCGGATATTGCTCCAAATATATGTTTATTGGCAAATCAGGCCTGCTCTTGATGTGCTCTCCTGACTGAAAGAGAACTAGCAAGAAAATAACTTACCTGTATTTAACATCAGATGTGAGTCTATTTTCCACCAGCACATATTAGGCATAGAAAATCAAACTTGTCATTTAGCATTTTTGAGGAAAAAAATCTCAAATTTACAAAGCCTCAAAAAAGCAATCATGAGAATATATTTTTTTCATCTTTGAACCCAAATTGTATCTATTTTAAAACTATACCAAATACAGAACAAGGAAGGAGCAAGGATGGGGTTTGATTTTTGATTTTATTTATGATTTTTAGGGAATAGGTCTATTTTCTTTTCAGTTCTTTCATTATGAAAGATAACTTTTCTATACAGAACTCACACACACAAAGTAACAAAATCCCCAACACAAAATATTATTCCTCACAAAGTCCACACTTTATTTTTAAAAAAGTGATTATTTGGGTTCATAAAAGGGTTAAAACTTAATATATATAATATGTGCAACTGTAAACAGATGTATGGGACAAGGCGTCAAATGCGGTTATACAGGCAGAGAACTTTAAAAAAATTTTTAGCTTCAAGACCAGGTTATAGTTTATATAAAAATTAAAAATCGTATAGTCTTTTTCTTCAGCTAAAATCTACAGAATTATCTTAAACTCTAACCGTCATCCCAAAAAATCTTGACAATCTATTATATTCAGTCATTTTATCATCTTTAAAATCTCTCTCAAGCTTTTAAACCTTTGTAGCAATTCTTTAAAATTTATTTTTTTTTACATCTTTACAGCCTTCCTTCCAAATTAATGGAAAGACACACAAAAACAAAATCCAAAGAGACAAAAAATGTATACTGGCTTTAACTCAAACCTTTATTTTAAAACGTCCAGTGGTTTTGTAAATGATAAAAATTCCCCCCTTCTCTACACAAATGTCATCTTATATACAGTTTTAATTACTTTAATAATCTGTCATTACCTCCTACTGTTTTGTAACCGTCATAGATTGGTTTTGCAGAAGCAGCTTTGCACTCAAGAACATGGTTCTCATCTTGCCACAAGTTTTTTTTTTTTTTAAAGACACTTTTGCATGCTAACCCTGATTTTAAAAACCCCCTCTTGTCCTTCTTCTGACTTCGACTATGCACACGTTCTCTCTGCACTGTCTGATTGATCATCTGTGAACTGTGGTCGGTTAGATGCCACTCTTATAGGCGTATTGGAGGATGTGTGTGTTTAGAAACCGGAGAAGGGAAGTGGTGTAATTGTGCGTTAAACAATCTGAATGATAACATTGTCAGTCGAGAGAGCCTTCTCCATCAAGACCCTCTGACATTTGCTCCTCTTGCACGTCAACTTCAGTTCAAGGGTACAGCAGTCTTCCAAAGTTTCGTTCAACAGCAGGGAGAACACATATTTTAAATGGTGAAAACGCATTTCTGACTGTCTCACCTGTATAATGCCCATAGTTTGCCTTCGGTTAATAAGAAATTTCCCTATAAGGGGGGAGGGAGATGCTGCTGGGCAGATGGCTCTTTAGATACTGGTTATAAATTGATTTTTTTTTCTTATTTTTAAAAAAGGAAAATATATATGTATACACATAGGAAGCATAGAAACAAGCTCTTTACATGCTTCCTACCCAAAATTCTGCAAATAAACAAGTGTATCTCTCTCTCTCTCTCTCATTCTCTCTCCCGAAGCTCCCATCCCACCCAATGGAGGGGGAGGGCGGGGAAGGTTCTGCAGAGATCCACCCAGCAGTCCAGAAGAACCCTGCAGGCAGGGTGTTCTGCTCCCCATGCTATTTCAAATATATACACAATATATTTATATATTTATATATATATTTATATATATTTATTTATTTATATAAATAGATAAATAATCCCAAACTCTGCAATGTGCCCACATCTCTCAATCTCCTCTGTTTATATACACAGACATAATTATACATCCACACTCGCACGCATCCACACGGTGAGCCTTCAGAGCAGCAAGTTGATCAGGGGAAGAGGAGAGAGGGAACCGACTGCTTCTTTACCGGAGGGGACGAGTCTCACTGTGAACCAGCTCTCCGCCACCTGACACGGTCAAAGAGTTCGCCCCGGCCTTCTTAATTCAGTGAGCATTTCCCTCTTCTGGCCCACAGGCAAAAGGATCTCTCGGGCCTGGGTCTACCAACCAAGCAGCTCTGCTGGGGGTGGTCTCAGGTGACCTGAAGTTCTCTCTCCTCCTTGGCATAGTCAAGCCACCTCGTTTTGCAGTGCGTCCGGCTCTTCTGTTGATGGATGGGGATTCCCAGAGCTCTGCGGTTCAGCCTCCAAAGAGGTCCAGGAGACTGAGGGCTACCTGGGGTTGCGGGGGGGAGGAAGAGAGAAGAGGAGAAGAGGCAAAGTCCAGAAGAAGACATTTCTCCCCTCCCCTCCAAATCATTTCCCATGGATGACAGGGCAACTGTGGCTCTCCGTGTTCGGGGGACTCAGAAAGAAGGGCGGCACAGCGAGGGGCTCACATTAGAGAGAGGGAGGGGAGAGGGGGGGAAAAAAGACACCAAAATCTAACGCTTCAAATGAGGTAGGTTCAAGTGCAGATGCTCCTCGCACATGGAAGATTTCGGGGGGGGGGGGGCAGGGCTAGAGACGGGGGACGTTCTGTTTCCAATTCCTGCAAGGCAGCGCCTGCTTTCTCTCGGAAACAGACCGATTCCTAAAAGCACACGTATGTACACCCGCACTCACACACAAAGTTTAAATCCAACACCCAAAAAGTAAAGAAAATCCAGAGGGAGGTGCTCTGGAAAGTGGATTGTCAAGCTAAAACAAGTCTCTTTGAAGTCTCTTGTTACCTTGGTAGATTAGCAAGCAATAGAGATTAGGGGTTCTTTTTTAAATTCTTCTTGCGTCCAACACGCGCACACACACAAAGGGGGTGCGGGGGGGGGAACCCTACCAATTCTTCCCTAGCCGTGCTGCAGCCCTCTTTTCCCAGCTCCGCTAGACAGAATATGCCCCAGGGCTCTCTCCCCCACCCCACCGCAGTATCGTTCAGATAGTCCATTATATACAGGTGCACCGGGGTAGAAGGATCCCCCATTTTGCCCGCAAAAAGAAAAATACTAAAAAGAAAACCCTGAGTTCCAGTTTATCCGTTTCCCCACCCCGGGTGGAGTTGCTAGCGGCGGCTGCCTTTTTGTTGGGGGAAAAGTCGGTTTGCCTTGTCAAGAAGGAGGAGGCAACCGAACCCAACTGCCAAAAGAACCAACTCGATGTAAACCACCAACAGTATTGGCTTGCAGGGGCGGGCAGGCTGACATCGCCCCCTTTTTTTAAATCTGGGTCCCGGCTACCCCACGAGCATGTTGGGATGGCAGGTTCCAATCATGCTTTCCTGGGGTGACTCTCGGCCATGCTGGCTGGTTGGGAGAGTTGGCAGGAAAGGCCTCTCTCGCCCAGCCGAGGGCACCACCTGTGCCAGGCTATCAGGTTGGCCTCTGCCTCGTCAAAGAGCCCCTGGGGGCTAATTCATCCACTTCCTGCAGTTCCAGGCTCCACAATGGCACGGGATTTTGTGCTGATCATCTTCAAAGTCAAACTGGTAATCATACGTCAGCTGCAGGAGAAAGAAACGAGAACAGGGTAACTCAGGCTTAATTCGCCCCCCCCCTTTTTTTTCTGGGACCACTTACAATGCAGGTGGCCCTTGACTTAATGACCACAACTGAGCCCAACATTTCTCTTGCTAAGCGAAACGTATGTAAAGGGAATTATGCTCTATCTGATCAACTTTCTTGCCACAGCTGTTCGGTCAATCGCTACAAGTTGTTAAGTTAGTAACCCGGTTGTTAAGTGAATCTGGCTTCCCCCATTGACTTTGCTTGTCAGAAGGTCGTAAAATGGGACCACATGACTCTCGGGACCCTGCAACCAGCATAATAAATATGAATCTGTTGCCAAGTGGATGAATTTTGATCACGTGGCCACGGGAAATGCTGCTATGGTCAGCAAGGGTGAAAAAACGGCCACGGGTCATTTTTTTTTTTCAGTGCCGTTGTTAACTTTGAACCGTTCAAAGTTACAACAGCATTGGGGAAAAAAAAAAACTTAAGGCTGTTTGTCACACTTACGACCATCGTAGCGTCCCTGCAGTTGCATGATCAAAATTCAGGTCCTTGGCAACCAGCATGTGCTTATGATAGGCACACTGTCCCAGGGTCATGTGTGTCATGCCCCTGGTGGAGACTGATTCCTAGGGAGAGGAGGAACAGCCAACAGGGAGTGGGAGTGTGGCTCCGGAGGTTGTGGAGGAGGCTGGGGAAGGGCAGAGGCCAGATCGGCAGTCAGAGGAAGACCCAGGCCCATCCCCTCTCCATCCTAGGGCATGCAGGGAGGAGAGGATAAGGGAGAGATTGTGAATGTCATGGTCTACGGGGGAGGAAAGGGCCTTGATCCTCTTCATGGGCTGCAGCTGTGAGCACTGGTTAAAAGGACGGACATGCGTATGGGCCAGTGCTGGAAACAAAGCGTGGAAGTATCTCTAGTCTGTCGTTCCTCTCTGAGTTTGGCGTCCTTCTCAGTGTGTGTTACGATATCTGTGGACGTCTTCAAGCCCTTATCTTGCCTGGTTCCCTTAATTGCTTCAGTGTGGTTTGTGTTGTTTTTACTCTTTATAATGTATAGGCATTTTTAGTTTAAACGGCATTTCCTCCTTTTCGTAAATGCTTGCGGGTGAGTTTTTTGTCTCCAGTCATTTGGAGCTTTGAAGCAAAGAGAAGGAATAAAAGGGGCTTCACCTGTTTTTATGACTGTGTTTATTTTGTATCCCACTCTGGGTCATCACAATGTGATTCCCCATGTATAAACCTTCCTAGCTGGCTTCCACCACCAAGCGAAGACAATGGGGGAATTGGCTTTGCAGCATGACTGCTGGCCGTGGCACAGAGCCTGAGGTGGCCCCTCCTTTGGGGTGGGGGCAGTGGGGCTGAGGTCTGGGGTCAGGGGGGGTCAGGGGTGGCCAGCTGAGGCTGCTGAAGACCCAAGACTTCTCCTTCAGCCCCAACAGCCCCCCACAAAGTACTGCTATGCAGGACGGGGGGAGTTGAAACATCCCTCAGTCGTAACGGCAGGCAAGCAACCATATTTTGATCACATGACCCCTGGGGTGCTGCAACAGCTGTAACTTCAGGGACTGGGCTTAAGTTTGTTTTGTTCAGTGTGATCGTAACTTTGAACAGTTGCTGAACGAATGGTCGTAACTCAAGGAATACCTAAGATGTTGAAAAAAAATCCCAATATTTCAACGGATGTATTTTCTTTTTCATATGACTGTATACAAACACCTGTCAGGCATTGGTACAGACAAGGAAAGGAACAAATGCAAACACGTAAAAACGAGATATTCATAGCCCCATTGTCCAGAATAGGCAAGCCAAGTAAAGCCTTTGTGTAGCATTAAAACCAAAATGAAATAAGCTGTAACTTTTTTTTTAATGTGTACTCTCTTTTTCATTTAGGATACATATGGCACTTACCATTTTAAAGCAATGGATTCATTACAGGAGAAAGGCAGAAAACTTTCTCCAAAGCATAATAGTAAGGGAACATAATGTAGAAAATTGGTTGAAGCTTAGTAGATCAGTTTTGTCAATAGATAAGTGAGAGATCACTGTATGTTCTAGCTTGAGTTGAACAAGAATAGATAAAATACAACATTCTAAGTAAATACGCTCAAAGTGTATTACAACATGAAATCTAACCTTTTATTATCAGTCAGGCATTTTCCTTGTAACATTTTAAGAGAAATTGTGCACCATATAGATAGTCCTCAACTTACAATGGCAATTGAGAGAGGCATTTCCATCACTAAATGATGTAGTTGTAGAGCATAACTGTATCACTTAGTGACGGCAAGCCCTGCAGTCCTGGTTGCCATTGTTAACTGAATCCCACAATAGTTTGATGAGGCAACTTCCAGAGGCAGTGGGGAAGTCGGCTGGAAGTCATAAGCGCCAAGTCCACTGACCGGTAACTGGTTGTTGCCAGGTGAGGGAGAGAACGAAGGGGTGTGTGGGGGGAGGTGTGGGGGTGCAGGGAAAGGTGAGGGAGAGTGTGCAAGAGGCACCGCATAGGTTGGGGAGGGTATGCAAGAGACAAGGGGAAGAGTTGGAGTGGGCCAGGGAGTGTGTGCAAGGGTGTGCCTGAGAGGAGTTGCATAGGCAGGGAAGGTGCAAGGATGTGAGGCAAAATACAGCATGGATGCAAGGGGGTGCATGAGGGGTGCAGCTTGGGTCGGATTGTCAGGAAGGGTGTGCAAAGGTGTGAGAGATGTCACCTGGGTCGGGGAGGATGCAAGGGGATGCCCAAGAGGTGTGAGGGGTTGCATGAGGGGTCAGGAAAGGGTTCACAGCAGCAAACGAGAGTTGCAGCGCAAATCAGGGCGAGTACCTGGGGGTGCGTTAATAGCTGTTGTGGCAGGAGTGCAGAAGGGCTATGGCAGAAGGGGGAGGCTTGCCCCAGGAACACGTGACTTCCCTGCCAGCATCTCCACTGACTTCTAAAGAAGTCAGCAGGAAAGGTTGCAATCACGTGTTCGTGAGGCGCCTGGCAACCAGCTGTACTTGTGACTTGATTGCCATTTGTTCAATGCTGTCATAACTGGGAACGGATTGCTGACTGAATCGGTTGCTGTTGTAGATCAAGGACTACCTGCAAGTTCATTTTTGGGCTGTCTTTGTGTGTACAATAATGCAATATTCACCTCCTCTCCTTTAGGTATTCGGCGACTTGAGATGATGATGATCTTGTCTTCCTTGTCAAAAGTCACAACCTCAGCCACACAATTCGGTGCACACGAATGATTAATGTACCTTGGAGGGGATGAAGAAGGAAAATCATGCAAGGGTTTACCTAACTTTACCTAATTTGCTTTCCCTGTATTTCAAATGAGGACTTGAGGAGTAAAGAAACTATTCCCGTTTAAAATCAATGAAGCCTTTAAATGGATCGACAAAGCTAATAATTTTTAATTTTGTAAACGGATACTTATAAATTCAAATTCACTCACCTGGCAGGGCCTCCTGTTAGGGTGGCATCAATCACATGCTCATTATTGATACGGAACATGTAGATGCCTCGGTTCTGGAAAAGCATGAAAAGAGAAATTATACAGCAAGTTTCACGTTTCCTTCATGCTTCGCAGATTTACCATCAATTTCAGCTGAATTTAGATTAACTGCTTTGGTAGTACAAATGCTAGGGGACAGGCATGAGATCGCTCTCTTTTGAAAAACTCTTAACATCAGCTGACTTCATCCACATCCAGCACCAAAATATTTAGATTGAAATGTATTCATCCGCTGGCTGAAGAAACATCAATGTATACAGGTAATTCTTGATTACAGATGGTAACTGGGACTAGAATTTCAGTTGCAACAGTTATAATCTGCAATATCATGTGACCACATCACTTAGCAGCGGCACTCCCCGTTGCCATTACTAAGCGAGGACTGTAGGTCGTTGAATTAGTTCCAGGCGGCTTGCAAGACCCAGGTAGGTGCAGCACCTGGGACTGGCCGTTTGACAATTGTGGCAAGAAAAGTTGTAAAATGGGGCAAAATTCACTTAACAAGTTAGCAAAAAAAATTGGGGTTTAATTGTGCTCGTAAATCAAGGGCTACCTGTATGTGATTGCATGGGTGCTGTGACAACTGGACCTTCAAGAACTGGTTCTAAGTGTTCTTTTTCAGCACCATCGTAATTTCAAATGGTTGCTGAAAGAATGACCAGTGAGCAAGGACTATCTGTGTATACTTTTACCATATGAATATGGGAAAAACTCAAACACACTTGGTAGAGAACCACATGGAAATGTAAACAGACAGAAACCAGCTGGTTTCTTCACCTTCAGAAAGCAGTGCACTGCAAAATACGAGTTCTTTCAAAACAGAATCTGGGTAAGCTAAAAGCCTGCTAGCACCCACTTCAAAACTTTGCCTAGCTTAAAATTGCAAATGTTGCAATGAAAGAATATAGAAAAGCTTCAGAAGAAATAGCACGCACAAAAAATTGCAGCTGCTTCCTTTTTTGTAGAATGAATCTACAGAATGATATAGGGTTTTGATGGCATGGACCGACGCCACTCATGTGATAATGACTTATACATCTTTATTGTAAACTATTCTTCCCCAATTAAAGGACAGAACAGAAATCAGGGAGAGAATCATCCAAGTTCGATGGCAATCAGAGATTTAGGAATACCAAATATCCAATCAGAATCTGATTCTGATGGAGGACTCTTCATAAGCAATAACTAAGCCAAGTAACTTTCTCACTATAAATGTTAGCCTAGAATACCCTTTATAACAGGGTTTTCCCCACCTTGGCAACTTTAAGATGTGTTGACTTCCAACTCCCAGGATTCCTGAGTCATCCATGCTGGATTGGGAATTCTGGGACTTGAAGTCCACATGTCTTAACGTTGCCACAGGAAATACTTGTCTACAAAGACCTATTACCCAAGTGAAGGCCACCCATCCTTCCTGTAATTAGAAGTGGATGTTTCTATTTCCTTAGCACAACTATATTCCAGTACAGAGTCCTTATTCCACCCCTTACCTGCTCCTCGTAGATCTTCTCCCGCCTATTAGCAACCTCGTTCCGGATGATGGTGCCAATGTATTCAATAACCATTGTGTGCTTCTCAAGATCCTTGGCAGCATAAAGCCCAAGCCCCTGGATGCGGGATCGGGCCAGGTACACATTGTTCTTCCATTCGGTCTTGAGACGGCGATACTGTGAGGACTTGGAGTGCACAAACTGCTTGCTATAGGGTGTGTTTGTTTCACCTGTAAATGTACTCTGGTAAGCTTTGGACATGCTGGTGCTGTTCAGAGTGTGGGGCCTTCAAATTACATAGGGGGAGAGGGGAGAAAAACAAATGATATGAAGCCCATCAGTAAAAGTAGTGAAGACTTAGGATAAAATACAGAGATTTTGCGATGCAACTATCATTGGGACTGTGTTGGATATGTAGAACTTAGCTTCTTCGGATCCTAATTGCTGAAATTAATTGATAAAGTTCTTTGCTGTTTCCAGGTGGAAAAAAAGACCTTTAAACCATAAACTGTAAAATAGGTATATAGTTTAAAAGAACAACTCAACCCTTAACCCTAACAAAACCATTTAGAATTTGCTTACCTTGCGTCACACAGCTGGAAGACGAATCTTCAAACATTATGACTTTATCCAGTCCTTATAAAATCATCCAAGTCAACTGCCCCCAACCTTTTGGGCACCAGCAACCAGTTCCATGGAAATATTTTTTTCCCCGCAGACCGGAGAGGGTGTGATATCACATGCTGCCTGCATCCCGCAGATGGGGCTTTGCTTGTTTGTGCTGAGCGTTTTCTGGCATTTTGTGGACTGGTGCCCATCCACAGACCAGGGATTGGGGACCCCTGATCTAAGTTAGAGGTCACTCACCACATCTTGGGCCAATGAATTCCACAACTTAATTTTGCACTACTTGCCCTCTTTCACCTACTCTAAATCTCCTAATAAGTTTCACTGGGTGGCTATTGGTATTAATATATTGACTGTAACAAAAGAAACATATACTCCTGTAATTTTCCTATATATCATTCATGGCTTTGTACACAGTATGTCACCTCTTCCTAACCCGAACAGACCCAATGTTTTAGCTTTTTTTTTTTTAATAAAGAAAATCTTTGCTTCCTTTAAACATTTTGGTTGTCCTCTTTTATAGCTGTACTACATCCCTTTTCAAAGGTGGTGATTGGCACCGAACATGGTATTTTAGATGCGGTTGTACCCCAGATTTGGAAGAAAAGGTAAGAAATACCGGATTCATTCTTCGCTTTGCAAAGTTTCTCAAGTGGCTCCTCTTGCCATTACAATAGGGCCACAAAAACAGCACAGGAAGCTCCCTTGTTTTAAATCACAAGTGGCTGGCTATGCTCTTTCCTATCAAATAGAATTCTGTCCCAGAATCTTCTGCATACATTTTACTCTCTCAACTTGATATCTCAACGCGGGTTCTTCACTGAAGATGGAGCAACATAAACGCCGTTCACTCACCGTTTGTAGTGTGTAAGGATTTTGGGTTCTGATCGAGCACAACCGGTGGGATTGATCATGAGTGGCAGCTCCATGAGTGGATGACGTCCATAGCGAAACAGGTAATTCTGGCAGCTCTCTACACCAGGCAGCTGGGAAGAGAAGAAGATTTGGGGGCGGGGCGGGGGGGAGTTTCACTTAAAAGGCAGTAAAGCTCAGAATGGTCAGTGATAACAAGAAAAGACACCATTGTGACTAGACACCATCAAAACCAAACATAAAACAATAAGCGGAAGCCAACTAAGACTGGAAAATGTCTAGTGAGCTGATCCATAGAATCTCTGAGAATCGGACACAATTGAATGGACTACATCATCAATATTTCTACTGCATGAACAGTCCTTCCTCCTGGTGCTGAGTAAGACATAGGAAGACCCAGAGTCAAGTCTACCCTTAATTAGAGTGGCTGACTCGGTAACTATTTGTGACTCACTGTCACCTTAATCTATCCCACAGGGTGGTCAGTATGGAAAAACAATAGAGGAGAGTTACATAATCTTGCCAGGGCTCCTGGAGAAAACACAGTATAAATGGAGAGTAAGCCAGTCCCTCACATGAGCCCACTAAAGCAAATCTGTTCCCAGAGCATAACATTCAAGGGGATATCAATATGATAGTAGCCTCACTTCCAGAACTGGTCTCATTAATCAGTTTATCAGCATCAACTGGGAAGCATGCTGTAGGTTGTATTTCTGGGACTGTGGCTCATTTTTATGAGCTGTGGATCAACCTATACACAGCGATGAGAGCATCTCGCAGAGTGTAAGGTCCCTTTTGTGACAAATAAAACATTACCAAGATGACACATTAATTGAGTGGACCCCACTGAAAAAGGGAGCAAGGATAGGACTTAATTTTAAGGCATCTTCAGTTTGTTACTCTAAGCCAAGGAAACATATAGTTTATTCAAAATTAATATGATCTGCTTTACGCTATACCAAGCATGCTTGCTAAATAAGACCATGTGTCTTGGTAGACTTGTAATAGAAAGTTATTCCGTTCTGCCACCAAGTTCTCTGTCAATAGAGACTGGAAGACTTATGAATGAGGAGTTACTATGGTCCATAAAGACTATCAGTCTTGCTAGTTCTTTTTTCTTAGGGTTAGAATCTGAGTGGCCTATATCTAGTGACGGGTCACATAGATAAATTTTAGATGCTGCTAATGTACCATCTACTCTACTTCACAGCTTTATTCCTGAAAAATGGCCAGGAAAATCCTAGAGGTGGTAGTTGTAGTCTTTTTTGGGGGGTGGGGGGTGTTTCAATATCCATGCCAAGATTGTTGTTAACTTGGCATTTCCCAGTCACCATAACAGTCATGGGAACATCCCTATTCATCAGTCTGCCCACACAGAAGGCAGGATATATCCTCAATCTGATTTAGTTGTTAGATTTGAGCTGGTCATAAACGAGTTGAACGATCCCCTTAGGATTAGATAATGATAATTTGGGCCAGCAGCCCAAATCCTGTCAAGATTTGGGCTGCTGGCACCAGTTTTACTTCCTGATTCAGGGTTCCTATTTCTTGCATTTGGTACATACGGACTCCGCGATGCGCAGAACAGCATGCACTGTCAAGCCAAAGAGCTCTTCTCCCTTTAGATACTCAGGGAAAAGTCGCAGCATGTCAGCTTCCTTGCGCATCATAGCCACCGGTTCGATGATGCGGTTCCAGACGGCTGTTACAAGAGAGGAAAAAGGAAGAAGAATTGAAGACGAGACATGTTCATTCATCTGAGACAGTGAAGTACACATTTGCCGAGGGAGAGAATCAGAAACCAGATTCCAAATATCTCAAAATGCTTGGCCAAATACACAATCATCTATAGTTTCAGACAATGTTCAGGAATTCAGGCATAAAAATGCAATACCTAGAGATGGCACAAACGTGCATTCAATAACTGCTAAGTAGATACATGCAACCAGCTCCCTAAAAACTGACTGACAACAGGGCAGAATTGGGCAAAAGGCTTGTCTTATAATGTCCATGCCGAGAGGCATCCACCCTGAATTTGTTCCACCAAAACAATTTTTTTCTACTTATTATCCATTTTCTGTATCTCAATATTAACACTCCACCTGATATAAAGAGTACAGGTAGTCCTTCAGTTAACAATGGTAAATTGGGACTGGAATTTCCATTGCTAAGTTGATGCGGCCGTAAAGCACAATGACTTCATCACTGAGTTATAGCAATTTCTGCACTCCCCGTGACTGTTGTTGAGCAAGGATGACAAGTCATTAAATGAGTGCCAGGTGACTCTCAAGCAGGCTGACAGGCAGGTAAGTGGCTGCAGATGGGTGGGGGAGTGTGAGCAGATGCCAACGAGGCACAACAGGAGCATAGGTGGGTTGGCTGTTGCCAGGTGAGGGAGAGTGCATGCGATTTACCAGAGCAACTTGCAACCTTCCCTTCCAGCTTCCCAGTTGACTTTGCTTATGGGAAGCGGGCATAGAAGGTCACAAATGGTGATCATGTAACCCTTGGATGTTGCAACCGTTGAAAGGGGGGGGGGTCGGTTGCTAGGCATCCAGATTTGATCACATGACTACAGGGATGCTGGGACAACCAGAACTTCGAGGACTGGTCATTTAGTACCGTTCATATAGTGCGGTTGTAATTTTGAACGAGTGAGCCGTCATTAAACAAGAACTACCTGGATGCTCGTATAATTTATACCGTGTCTTCTAACTGTAGAAATGGAATAGGTACTGTTTACTGACATGAAGAAGACCAAAAATTTTGGAACATTGAGTGAAAGCTGTTTTACTTTTAAGGAAACCCGTTCTCTGGGAAATGAACCGACCCTAAAAGGGGAACAACGGTTTGATATGTATGAATATACAGCTATGCTTCTCAACTGGTAGTATGTGTCCTTCTGGTGGGGAAGTGACCTCCCTTCTCAATTAGGAAAGAGTAAAGAGAGAAAGAAAAAGCATAAGCACTAGTTACCTCTCTTTTAATTTGGGTGGGGATTGTTTGTTTGCTTGTTTAGGCTTGGGGAAAAGATTGCTCCCATATCAGCAAATACATGTAGTCTTCGACTCACAAAAACCCCTTTAGTGACCGTTCAAAGTTATAACGCCACTGAAAAAACGTGACTTATGTCCGTATTTCACCCTTACAACTGTTGTAGCATCCCCCTAGTCATGGGATGAAAATTCCGACACTCTGCAACTGGCATGTATTTATGACGACTACTGCAGTGTCTTAGGGTCATGTGATCTCCTTTTGCGAAGTTCTGACAAGCAAAGCCAGTGGGGGAAGCCAGATTCAATTAACAATCGTGTTACTGACTTCACAACTTCAGCGATCCACTTAACAACGGAGGCAAAAAAGAAAGTAAAATGGGGCAAAATTCACTTAGCAGCTGGTTTGCTTAGCAACAGAAATTCTGGGCTCAATTGTGGTCGTACGTTGAGGACTACCTGTATTGTTCCAGCCCCAGTAAATCCTCAGTCTTGCCGCCACCCTCACCAAAAGTTCCTTCAGGGAGCTTGCCATGCGCTTATCCCCTTGTCAGAAGGCTGAAGGTCTGTATACACAGGCCTCAGGCCTGGGCCAAAGAAACGAGGATGGCATGGGTTGTTATTTCCATAGATACTTTACAAAGAAATGGTCACTCTAGTCCAGGGGTGTCAAACTCATGGTGTCACATTATTGTCATGTGATATATTGCGACTTTCCCCACCCCCTTCGCTAAATCGGAGGTGGGCGTGGCCAGCACGTGATGCATGCGAGTTTGACACCCCTGCTCTAGTCTGAACTACCTCTATGTGCCAATGTATTATTCCCTTGTCTTCCTGATCTTGAAAAACTAACCTCCCTCCTCCTCCCTATGCTCTTTTTAGACCGAAAACATGAAAAACAGCCCACCTCCAAGCCACTTTTAAAGACTGGCTGACAAGCACGATTTAGCAACTATTTTAAAGTGTTATTAATTTTACAGGCTACCCAAGAGGACATCTTTGGAGGTCTCTGCTAAGCTGTGCAGGGTCCAAAAGACTTCCTCCTACTTTCAAATATGAAATAAGCTCAATGGGTCAGAAAACAGACTGATCTTAACATACGCCTTCAGCTGCTGTGCTTTTCAAAGAATTAATTCTGCGCAGAGGAAGTGGATTTTCGCACGTCAACCCAGCACAATATTAAGACCCTCGGGATCTTAGAGGAAGAATTCTAGCTTTACTCCAAAAGCTCACAACCAGCACACTCATGACAACGGAGCCCAAACTGATCTCTACCCTGTGGCGAGGAATCTGTGAAGACCAAATCCTCCAAACCATGCTCCATCACTTGAACCACAAACTCGGGCCGGCCGTTGTTCTCGCAAATGGTACAACGGTAGCAGCAACGCCGGTTGTTGGTCCGCAAACTCCAGTAGATGCGGGTGGCCTCGTAGCCCACAGGGTAGAGTGCCGTGGCGCTGTGAAAGTCTGCCATCTGGTGGGGCAAGAGCTGCCCTATGGCATGGAAGACCAGGCCTCCCACTCGGAACATGTGGAGGCGCTCCCCGCGCTGGATGATGCTGGCGATCTGCTTGACCTCGTCCCGCTCGATGTAAACCCGCCGGAAGACAGTGAAGGTGCTGAGCTCCTGGTCGCAGGGACCCTTGAGCTTGTGCAGGGGGCACAGCATCGTCTTGTCCTTGAAGAACATGCACTTGGCACGGATAGCACAAGCAAAGTGATAGACGTTGGGGCAGCGGATACGGTTGCAACTGTTAGTGGCACCGGTCTTCTGGCAAAGTGAGCATTTGGTGAGCAGGCCCCGGTGCAGCGCCACTTCCACGTTAATGAGGGCCCCGCCCTGAGTCTCGTAAACCTCCGTGGACCAGAGGGCACAGTTGAGGTGCACCCACAAGTCCAGATCAAGATTAAGGAGGCGGGCTGGCCCATCTGTGGCCCCATCTCCTTCCTCGTGGCAAAAGCAGCACTTCCGTAAATCATGTGGCACTTTCTCGGGCCGAAGAGTGGTCGCCAAGCGCTCGATGAACTCCGCAATCTCCCTCTCCCCGTCACGCTTGGTACCACCCTTCTGAATGGTAATGAGGAAGCGTAATCGTTTCCAACGCACCCCTTTCCACTTTTTTAGCCTTGGCTTGCTCTCCTCATTCTCTTCCAGGGGCCTGGAGCGAGGCTTGGCTTTAGGGGGAGACTGAGGAGCTTCTTCTTTAGGAGATGAGGGCGGAGGGGAGGCCACGGGCGCAGGTGGTGCTTCGGGCTCAGGCGGCGGCTCGGGAACCTTGGGCGGGCTTGGTGGAGAGGGTGCAAACGGGGACAGGGGAGGAGACGGTTCTTCAGGAAGCATCAAAAGTTGCCGGACATCCAGATTGGCGACGTTGTTGATGTAGCAGTGTTGAGCAGCTTTTTCTGGAACTGAAGTCTCCTAAAGAGGGGAAACAAGAAGCTTATCAGGTACTAAGAACCGGAACACCTCTATCAGCTGATCAGAGTTGCTTCTTTATTCTGCTTGACCATTGACAAGACTCTTGCCAGACTGACTACACTCCCTTGGGAACCATCAGATAAAGGCTTCAGGAATTCTAAGGGAGGGGTGGCCTGGAGTCTGGCCTCTGTGCCTTCCTTCCCTGCAAGGACTCCAAGCTTGATAGTTTTTTTCACTTTTCCTCCCACTCTAGCTAGAGATTCTATCACAAACTTCTTTGAAGAAGAAGCAACTAAGGCTACCAGCCAATTTGCTTGATAGTAGTAGACATCCTCCCAGCACAACATCTGGTTTTAATATGAGCACTATTCCATCACCACCAAAGGCAGTTGGCTATCAGAAATTTGATATTCCCTTTTTTCCTTCTTCAGAGTTTGGTTAAGAGAGATGGCTGTCTAGGGGAACTGGCTGAATGTCATGAGAGGAGAGCAGGGGTGTCCTCAGACAGGAAATAAAAGCAACGAAAGCAACGAAGTCTGTGAAAGATCACAAGCTCTATTCGAGGTATTCAACATCTTCTCTCAATAGGGTGCAAAAGATGAAAGGGGGGGATGTGGCTCTATTGTAAAGTATCATTATCTTCTTTCAAGATCTTTTTTTTTCTAATTTGAACAAAATAGTAACAAAATACAAAGTTCTGGTGATAATCTGTAATCTATTCTTACATGAAAAAGGAAGAAGAATTACGCCAAAAACTTGAACAATTTTCTTCCAAATAAGCTTATTGCAAGTAGTTCAGTAACAAAGGAAATTTTTTTTTAAAAAAGCTCCTGGCTCCTCCTTTACCTGTTTGAGCAAAGTTAAGATGTCCAGTTCATTCTTGAGACTGTAGCCAGGCAACATGGCGTCAAACTGTTTCAGCCACTCTGGTCCTCCTTCAGGGCCCTTTGAAACAACCGGCTTCTCTTTACCTAAGAAAGTTGGGATAGAGAAACAGGGACCGATAAAAGACAAGACCGGAAAAAAAAAAAAACAGAAAAAGATGTACTGCCAAGAAGCCATCTTGACTAGAATACTCACTTTGTGCATCAGTTTCACCTTTCCTGGGTTCACCGGTTACATTTCGCTCTGGAAACAGTACTTCATAAGAACTGGGAATCTTCATGCTCAAAAGCTCTGCCACTGCCACCATGACACCGTTCAAGTTCTGGAGAAGACGATGGGAATGGTCAGGAAAGCATTTTTGGCAGATTGAGAAATGGAAACACTCCCCTCCCCAAGCCCTTTAGCATAGCCTAATCACCAAATAAATTTTTTGTTTAAAGTATCCATTTTGTGACAGAAGAATGTCAGCACATTCTTGTCGATGTGGAGGACACCTACCAAGTGCTTGACAGCTGTTTAGTAATGAGACCCAGAAAAGTAGCAACAATAAAAGATGTTCTCCGACTCAGGAGGAGCTGTCAGAATAGGCGATGGCTATGGCACAAAACAAAACTAGAGACTTCTTGCATTTCTACCAAATGTGGAAAATTGACCATGGTTCAGGAATAGTTGATAGGGCTCTGAGACAAACAAGGCAGATAAGTCACTTCATGAGGACTTTATCATGCCTAAGATACAGCAACTCTTGCCAACTCATGGCCTTCAAATATCTTGGACTATAATTCCCAAGGCTCAAAAGATGATTTTCGGTGCTCACTTCATACCTTGGCAGCAGCTGCAGACACGGTGAGCATGACAGAGACCTCACTCCCTTTGGCTCTCTCCCAGGAAGTGCCGGGCGTCTCCTTTCCCACTGGCTCTACAGTCCCATAGGATTTGGAATCTGGGAAAACTGAAGGAAGGAAAGCAAAGGGAGAATTGCCGCTCAAGGTCGTATTCCAGGAATTCAAACCACTTATCTAAGGTTACGGTAATTCAGCCCTCAACCTGGAATCGTGTATCTGAATAGACTTAAGTCACAGATCAACCGATACAAGTGCCAGCATTTTCCTGAGGGTGTGGCTCACAGTGTCAGTCTGGGAGATTATAAATTATGCAGAGCAGAAGGCCAGAGATGAAGTGGAGGATAACAGCAATGAGCAAGAAGGTGAACTCAACATCTAGGAGACCTCATTAACTGACCACATTCACTTAATATATTATACTTTACTTGGGGCTGCCCTTAAAGACAATCCAGAAACCTCAACTAGCATATGATGCCATGCTCTGTCTGCCCAGGGAGTTGTTGTATTCCTATCATTTAACACTATTACTGCTACAGGGGCTGCACTGATTGCTAGTATGCTTCTAAGTGCAATTCAAAACATTGATTATACCTTACCCACCTGGCTTCTAACATACTATTTTTCCCAGATAGATTTTGCCTATCCATCTGAGCAACCATAGAATGCCTGCTGAAGTTCTCCATCTGTAATGGGACATTGTGGGAAGGATCACAGAAGTGCCTCTCCTCTAGAACAGCAGTCCCCAACCTTTCTGGCTCCATGGACCAGCGGCAGCAGCAGCAGTGGGTAGGGCAGGAGTCAGCAACCTTAAACACTCAAAGAGCCACAAAGGTCCTAACCAGAAGCTCCCTGTTCAATTCTGGAGCCGATTCTCCCATCATAGAGTCTCCTCCTAGCACTGCGTCCTTTTTCTTCTGTCGACCCGAAGTCCAGTTCCCCCTTCATAGAGTCTCCTCCTAGTGCGGCGTCCTTTTTCTTTTGCTGACCGGAAGTTCAGTTCCACCACCATAGTCTCCTCCTAGCGTGGTGTCCTTTTTCCTTTTACCAACCAGGGACAGGAAGCCTCAGCAGAGGGATGAAAGAGCCACATGCGGCTCCAGAGCCGCGGGTTGCTGACCCCTGGGATAGGGGATGGTTTTGCACATTCAACATAACTCCCGCACATGCACAAATGAAGCGTTGCACACTTACCTGACACTTATGCAGCCCGGTTCCCAATGGGCTACAGACTGGTACCAATCTGAATCCTGAGAGGTTGGGGACCCCTGCTCTAGATTATCTTATTGTCTACACCCACAGGTGGCTCCCACTTTCACAACCTATGGAAGACCTGGCTATTTTGAGAGGTCTTAAATAGAGTTTATACCAAACTGGAATTGTTACTGTTACATTTAACAATATGTATAATGTATAATGCAACAGTTTATTATGGTCATTACAGACATTGGTATGTTGTTGTCATTGCTGAGGTATATAACATTTAGAATCTTTTTAGATTGACACAGTTTGTATTAGAGACTACTTCTCAACTGGGAGACAGAGATGCAACAAGGATTAAAGATTATTCTAGCTCTGTCTTCACCACAGACCCCCTTTAAGTACCTTTTGTGGCCACGGAACCCCAAGATTTAATTCAAGAGTTAAATCATAACATTTCTTCAAGCCTTCCCAGACCTCCTGTGACACCGCCGCCCCCCAGGGGTTCGCAGACCACAGGTTGAGAACCACGGTTCTAGCTCATGGGTTATCTTCCATACAAGTTATTACTTTTCACGAACCTGGGATGCTGCCCTTTGGAATTATGGGGATGACAGGGGACATGGGGCACTCCTCCACTTCAGACTTGGCTCCAATCAGCAATGGGAAGCGTGGTATCTCTTCTCCCAAGACACTCTCTGGAGACGACGCTGGGACAATGGAGTCAGGGCAATCACTCTCCTCATCACTCTCCATCCTGCAGAGATATTGGAGAATGGTTATACAATTTAGGATGCTTCCGCTCCCGCCTGGTTTTTGTGAAAGTGATTTAGGGGCATTATGGAGGTGCTGGTGAATACCAACTTATCTTGCCATTTCCAGAGTTAAGAGGTGGACAGGATATAAATTTGGGAATAGGATGAAATGAAGTAAGTTAGCAATGGACTCCAACTACACCAAGACAAAGAAGGCTAACGCTCCCCAAAGGAAGCTTCATATTTTCCAATTTCAAAAGATTATGCGCTAGATCTCATTTGCTTCCTGTAAACTAAACAATATCCCTTGATTTCATGCCCCGCTCAGATGTATGGTCTTTGGTACACTAGTTGGGGATGGTGTGAATTAATGATCAACACATCTGAAGGAAAACAAGATGGGGAAGATTTCAGATGGCACAACTTTTCTTTTTCAGTTTGACTTCTGTGTTTCTGCTCAATCAGACTTTTATTCTCACCTGACGTCCTCAGTCTGGTTGTGTGGTGGGGTAGGCAGAGCTGCAAGCAGATCTAAGCTTTTCACTTCCACAGGGGGAGCATCTGCATACATGGAATAAGAAAGAAAGGATGAAATATCAGATGCTCCAGGAGTACCGTTAACCATGCCTACAGCATGAGAATTCACAGCCTGTGGTTCTGCACTAATATACACCAGAAGACTTTTCTTTCTATATATTCCCCCCAATTCTTGGCAAAGAAGAGGTCAGTGGGAAGTAAGGACAAGGCCTTTTCAGTGATACAGCAGTGCCTTGCAAAATGCCATTCTGTAACCAGGAAGAGATTAAATCATCATCATCATCATTTATGTTTCAGAAATCTGCAATCATTTCCTATTTTCCTCTTGGCCACTCTTTATCATTTTTAATATTTCCTTTTAAAATTTCTTATAAAATAAAAATAAAAATGTGAAGAATCCCCAGAAGATGGGAATAAACTGCGTATAAAAAGTTTTGTAACAGCAATTTATAAATATTCCTTATTTGCCACTTTTCTCAGAGCTTAACACATACAAAAATCATTTCCAGATACTTCCGGTTTGAGCTTCTTCGGCGACGGACCGAAATCTGCAATCATGCGTGATTTTGATTTGTGCTCGCCGCTGGAACGCCCCGAGCCGGCTGGTTTCAGGGCTATGCCACCCCGTAGAGGTGGTGAAGAGAGGGGAAACTGCCAGCAGGGTTGAGGAGAGCTGCTGGCCATTGCTCCCTTTCCCAAAGGCGGTTGCAGCGGTGGTCAGAAATGGTCACCTCAAAGAAGAACTCAACCGGAAAAGAATGTACAGGAGGAAGATAAAAAGAGAAAGTTTTGGCTGACCAGGTGGAACTGAAAAAGCAACAACATAAGGTACCCTGGAATTTGAACCATAAAGAATAACATTGATCCCAAAGAAGATTTTGAAGCAGCGAATGAGAGAGGGAAGGGAAAGGATTTGGTGTTTTTTTTTCTTTCCTTCCCCATATTAACAACTAAGAGATTTAAGGAAGAAACCAACAAAATCCACTTTGACATTAATAGGCATTTAAACTGAAAATAAAATGTCAAAGGGATAATAAAGACTTCTGGATTTTCAAAAAATTTTAAAAGAAGGAAAGGAGAGAAAAAGAAAAAAAAAGGGTATGATCTGGAAAAATGGAGAGCACCTGAAGTAAAAGGAATTAACAGTCAAACTTTTACAAGATTCCTAAAAGATACATTCCAACTGAAACTTTGTAACAAGATAATAGAACCCCAGGAAGAGAAAGTGGAAAAAAGAAGCAAGACGAAACAGCTTGGATTATTTTGATTACTTGATGATTTTTGGATTTCGGGTTATTGGATCTAAAGGACTAAAATCAATCAGGTGGTTGTTTAAAAGTTTTTAAATGGTACCACTCTTGGAAGAATTGAAAAAGGAACTTAAAAAAACAGAAAGAAGATGCACAAGAAGGAAGAGGCTTTTTTTGGCTTCATATTTCAATTTTTAGAAATGGAGATCTTGAACTATGAGAAACAACGAGAAATGCCTGTAGAACAAGAAGGGTGAGACAAAGAAGAAGCCATCTTCAATGACCAAGTAATTCTATGGGGGGGACGGGGGAAGGGGGAGAAAGAGAATGAAAAATGTAAGATCTGAGAAAACAACCAAAAAAAAGAATAGTTTGAAAAATAATTACAACATTAGAAAGAAATAGAAGAGAGGACTACAGAAGAGAGAATTAGAATTAGAGAGACAATGGGTCAAAAAGGGGAGAGAGAAGAAGAGGGGGAAGAGGGAAAGGAAAAAAAATTATAAAGGACAGAAATGGGAAATAGAGAAACAGGGAAAATGTACAAGGATTAAAGGTATAAGCCTATTTAGACGACATAGAGATAATGGGTGAAAATGTAGTTGAAAGACGGATTCTGCAAGGGTACATAAGATAGTATTGTTATATTAGAAATAGAAATGAACTTAGAAAATATGCAACAAGTGGGATTAAAATGATAGATAAAATACTAATTGTAATGGAATGGAATGTTTGTTAATAAATAAATGAAATAAAGAGAATGAGAGAATGAAATTAGGAAAGGATGGGAACATTTTAATTATTATTAATGAGTTATAAAAATTTAAGTGAAGAGGAATATGGAAGAAATATGAAAAAATTATGGAAATATTATAAGTGTTCCTAAGGAAGTATGATATCCCATTGAAAAGAAATGTTAAAGATGTTAAAGATTATAAGTAACATTAATGATAGAGCTGAATTGGAATATAATAAGTATTTTATTTATTATTGTTTTATATATATCGTTTCTCTTTAAGAACTTAGTGTGTACCAAGCAGAATTCGACTGGAAGTTATGTGTTATATTGAATGTTACAATTGTAAAGGCATAAATTGAAGTTTAAATAAGAGTTGAATGGACAAAAATTAAAAGATACAAATGTGTAATACTCCAATCAGTAACTATAGGGGAAAATTTTGTTTAATGAGAAAAGAAAATATGAAATTGAAACAGGACAGACAAAAGTATAAATGTAATGATTAGAAACATATTGAAACTTAGAAAAAGATATAATTGTATTTAGAAAGGAATGAGATAATTAAAAGCAAGGTTGAGAAAACTAAGGGAAGGGAAAAATTATTGAGAAAATGTTAAAATAGTAATAAGATATGGAATAGAACACAAAGATGAATATGAAATTGAGTTTGTGTCTGTATGGAGAAGTGATAACCCGGGACCATGCTATTCTCAAAAAAAGATATTTTATTTGTATTATGTCTTGTGAAAACCTAAATAAAAATTTTACAAAAAAAATAATTTCCAGAGACCTCCTCAAAGCTCTTCCTCTTTGCCTTCTCTATATGTGATCCTTTGCCTTAAATGTTTGCTCTACAGGTAGTCCCTGACATACAACCATTCATTTAATGACCATTTCAAGGTACAAGGGCACTGAAAAAAGTGGCTTACGATCAGGAGTGGGATTCAAATTTTTTAACAACTGGTTCTGTAGGCATGGCTTAGGTGGTGGGCATGGCTTGGTGGTCATGTGACTGGGTGGACATAGTTTGGTGGTCATGTTATTGGCTGGGTGTGGCCAACTCAATATCACTCACATTGAGGCATGCATCTCCTCGTCTGGCCTCTCATGACTGTGGGGATGCTGCAACAGTCATAAGTGTGAAAAATGGTCATAAGTCACTTTTTTCAGTGCCATTGTAACTTTGAATGGTCACTCCACACAAGCAAAGTACCAGCAAAGGAGGGGAAAAAAACTCCAGAGACGGTCCAGAGACAGGAAGTCTAGTCCTGCCAAGAATGTAATAAGGGTTAACGGAGAGGCAGTTTCTGTAAGCAACACCACAATGTTTCCTTCCTGCCTTCCTTACAGGATTAGGCCAGTAATTTCTTCTAACAACCCGTTCTCCAAACTGCTTAGAATGTTAACAACTGGTTCTAGCGAATAGGTGTGAACTGGTAGAATCCCACCCCTGTTTACGATCGGTTTTCATATTTATGACTATTGCAGCATTCCCATGGTCAGGTGATCAAAATTCAAAGGCCTGGCAATTGGCATGTATTTATGACAGTTCCAATGTCCCAGAACTGTCTGATCACCTTTTGCAATCTTCCGGCAGGCAAAATTAATGGGGGAAGCCAGATTCACTTAACAACCGTGTTACTAACTTAACAATTGTCATGATTCACTTAACCACTGTGGCAAGAAAACTTGTAAAATGGGCCATTTAACTAATGTCTTGCTTAGCAAGGGAAATTTTGGCCTCAATGATGGTCATAAGTTGGATCAGCTGCATTGCTTATAATGTATTTCACTGCTAAGATAAAGCCTTCTGAATCACAGCGCTTTCTACTGAACCGATTTATTTAATTCCCTCGTCTCCTCCACTTACGAAGACTAAAATCAGAAGCTTCCGGTGTTATCCCACCAGATACAGAACAGAACATGTGCTGAATATCCACCACACTGCAGCATTCAGGTGCCTCCCTGAGTGTTTTAGGCCATAACCTTAACATCCATGCTCAGCAACGGCTCTCACCCTTCTGTCCTCCAGGCTCATGGGGTAGCTCTGGCTCTTTGAACTGCCCGGTCAGCTCCTCAGAAGACAGGACGCCATTCACCAGCTTCTGCTGCACAGAGGGTGGGGGTGTGGGGGGCAGTGAGGAAGGTGGTGTTGGAGGGTTGCTCAAGTTGTTCTAGACAGAGAACACAGGAATCAACACCCACCACAGTCCCCTGCCTGCTTTTTTTCCCCCTTCATTTCCAAGGCTGCACAAATAGGACAGGCTACTCCATAACATGCTGCATTTACATGCTTCCTTTTACCGTTTGAGCTGCCCCCAAATTGTGTTATAAGTAATGCAAAAATATGAACACCTCCTTAGAACATGACTGAAGTGTTAAGAGTGATTTTGTGGTCATGGAGATTTGCCTACAACTGTTCTCTGGCGGCCTGGTCTACCACTCTACATCCCTGCCTTGAAAAAAAAATCTACTAAATTTGTATTACATTTACCTCTGAATGGAAACACATGCAAGCCTTCTCTGCACTGATGTATTCAAGCATAGCACAACAAAAGTGCTACAGTACTCCTTTATTTTCTTTGATCTTCCCAAGATCACGTTAGAAGTTTAGGAAAGAACAAAACTGTAGCCAATGAAAAAAAGATGCTAGTGACTTCAGTGTGACACATCTGAAGGACTACCAATTTTCCTTTATTGACAAACAGAAAGAATCTGGTGTTATAGGGCAGATTAAACACCTCTTGAAAGTTCATAATTATGAGGCAGAACTAGTTTATAGTTTTAGTTTGTATTTTTATTTTATTTTAAATCATTTTTAGATTAAAGATTGTTTTGCTAACTGTGTGTACACACACAAATAAATAAACAAATTTAAATATTTATTGGTGAAACTTATTGGTGAATATGGGCTGCGGAACAAGCGTGAGGTATGGCGAGTGAAGTTCACTTTGGCCAAGATCCGCAAAGCTGCCCAAGAGCTGCTCACTATAGATGAGAAAGATCAACGGCGCCTTTTTGAAGGCAATGCCTTGCTGCACCGTTTGGTCAAAATTGGGGTGCTGGATGAAGGGAAAATGAAAATGGATTACATCCTGGGTCTGAAAATTGAGGATTTCCTGGAGCGTCGTCTCCAAACTGGGCCTGGCTAAGTCCATCCATCATGCTCGTGTTCTTATCCGCCAGAGACACATCCATGTAAGGAAGCAAGTGTTGAACATCCCTTCCTTCATTGTCCAGCTAGATTCCCAAAAGCACATTGATTTCTCCCTCCATTCACCTTATGGTGGAGGCCGACCAGGCCGCGTCAAGAGGAATAATGCTAAGAAGGGCCAGGGCGGTGCAGATGATGAAGAGGAAGATTAAAACGTAGAATAAGGCTTTCCTACTGTATAAATCGGTGGGCCACTGAGCCTATCTTACATCATCCAGTAAAAAGTACTTGTGGGTAAAAAATAAAAATAAATAAATTTAAATAGTTAAAACAAATTACTGAGCCAGCACATGGCAAATGCTATTAATTACTACTTAAATATCTGTATATTTTACTTTGGATATTATTTTGTTGCTACTATTATTATTTAAACAGTTCTTTTTTAAAAAAAAAATCTCATACTGTTTCTTAGCTTGCCATGCTGTATATGAGACCTCTTTCTGCTTAAATTTGGTTAATTTCTGCTATAAATGAAGACAGTCATTTTTTTTCTCCATTGCCACATAATCTTCAATTTTAGTCTCCCAATCCTATGTTGATAGTAAAGTCTTTTCCAATGTTGCTCCAGATTGATTCTTGCTGCTATCAGCATATATCTTAATACATTATGATACATTTCATTTATATTCTCTGAGATCATATCTAATAAAATATTTGTAGTTTAATTTAAATTTTATATTCAGATTGTTCTGGTTTACTTCTTTCCAGTACTTTTGGGTTTTCTTCACACAACCACCACATATAGATGGAAAATGTTTGAATGGAACAACTTGCCAACGGCCTGCTCACCACAGCCAGCTTACTATGACGAACTCGCCTCTGCCAGCTTGCCACAGGATACCTCTATGTGGCCAACTTGCCACAGAGACAACTCACCACGGGCAGCCGGAGGAAGAGCCGGGCAGGAGGGTAGATATCACAGGATGCTGTGGCAGGCAAGCAAGTGGTAGGCAGAGCTCACTGGATGCGGTAAGAGGATGGATCACATGCGGGTGAGTGAGCGGGTGGATAGAGTGTGCGGGTGTAGAGAATGGGCCCAATGGGTAGCAGTGGAGGCATTGCTCAGAACATGTCTTTTCAGCAGCTCGACTTCTTGCCAACATAGAAGTTGAAAACAAAGCATCCGTGGCATCGAACAAGCTAATTTATTGTGATAGAAAGTGTGAGGGTTCTTCTTTCCCAGAATGGTTGTTTCACAATGGACACATACCCCCCTGCCACCCCCGACTGCTGCCACTTCCCCACCGCCCACCCCGATGCCGTCACCTCTACCATCCCCAGGCCTCTTCCACCTGGACTCTGGTGCAGTGGCTCTGCCCACCCGTTCACTCGCCTGTTTGACTCTCACACGCAATCCATCCTCTCGTGGCAGCCTGTGCATTCTGCCCTCCCACTTGCTTGCGGTACCTTGCGCCCTGTCCTCCTGCTCGCTTGCCCGCTGCATCCCATGCGCTCTCCTCCCCCGCTCGCCTGCCACACACCCACATGCTCTGGCCACCTGCTCACTCACACACTGGGCCCTACACATTCTGCCCACCCAACCCTTCCTCTGGCCACCAACGGAAAGTTGTCCCCGCAGCTAGATGGACATGTGGAAGTGTCTGGCGGCAACTTTGTGGTGGCGAATTGGCCACAGTGTGTTGTCCTAGACCCTAAAAACTTTCCCTCTGTGTGGTGGCATTCCCAACATTTATTGTTACAGGATTTATCCATCCTAGCAATTGTTAGTGGAATTATATACCATCTGTAGAACGTGTTGCACCAGTTTTCCCTCAGATGATAGCTTGGTGTAAATTTCGATTTCCCCCACCCCATGAAACTTCCCATTGATCCACTGCTCTTGCTCCTTTGAACTTCTGTATCCATTTTATCATATAGCTTTATTTGTCCCGTCTCCATGAAACATGCAACGTATTGATATATGGGTGAAATGAGTGTTCTTCTCCCCCCTCCCCCAGCTTATTCTCCCTCTTTCTTATAATTTAATGTTTTCTTTTTCTCTCTCTCTCTTTCTTTTTCTATATTCAGTCAGCTAAAAAATAATAAAATGCCACAGGGCTGGCCTTACTTTGGTGAGCAGCTGGGAGTAGTAATCTGGAATGCTGTCCAAGGCCGCATTGCCAAATGTGCCTTTCAACTGGCTCTTGCCATTGATCGGGCTGCTTCCAAAGGGGGGGAAGAGGTTGAAATTGGCTGTGATTACCGGTTCCATCAGAGGCAGCAAAGAGAGTTCCTGAGGAGAAAAGAAATGAATCAGACCAAGGCTGCTTCATATACCGACACATCCTGCAGAAGCGTATTAAGAGGAATCCTCTGATATAAATGAAAGGGAAGAGTATGAGTTCACGGGCCCTAAAGGTCTAATCATGAACTTCTATCTAGGCCTATTCTCCCATTACTTTAGTGGGAAAATCTTGAAGATTACATAGCTCCTGCATGATTTTTGAAAATATATTATTTCTCTGTATCCCACACTGGTAGGATTCTTTGCTAAAGGCAAGAAGAAGAAGCTACATTAGACCAACCCCAACCAGCCCAGGTTTTTCTCAAAGACAGCGGGCGTTAATGCAGTTGAATTAGGACTTCTTTGTGCTGCTTCTGAACTCCTAATATACCCAGAAAAGGATACAAAATCTATTTTATTAAGATAGGGAAGATTCAAGGTTATGAATGAGCACCAATAGCTCATCTGGAAACAAAACAACTTGTGTCACTTGCTAGTACGTATCTGCACAAACAGACAGAAAAGGAGAGCGCCCTGTTGAAGAACGTTCTTCTGAAAATAAGGTTGAGACATAACACCATGTCTTTTCGTCTTCAAAAAAAGTATATAAAATTATGGACCGCACTTATAGAAATCTATACGAAAAGAAAATCTGGAAGGAATGAAAAATGTGTATTGATTTATTTTAAGTCAAAAGGGCAGTAAAATATCTGGGGAGGAATGAATAACAAATGGAAAGAATAGAAGCTTCCATTTCCTGTTTCATTCCTCATCTTGCAGATGCCCTTTTCTTTTTCATATGTCTTATATATCCTATCCATTCAATAATACCATGAGAATAAATACGTGTACATTCATTATATACATTTAATGTTATTATAATATTGTTGAAGCATATAATCATTTGCTTTAAAAAATTAAATTACCATAATTTAACCAGAATGCATCTGAACGCTAAGTATTCTTTAAGAAAAGTTTCCATCTAAGGTAGCCCTTGCTTAAGCGACCCCATTTGGGACCCACAACTCTGTCACTAAATGATGCAGAGACTAAGCAAATATCATGTGACGGTGATGGACTTAAGTCACTTCTCATTAGGTTAAGTGAATCACCACAGGTTAGTAAGTGAGACATCACATGACCGTGACTTGAAATTTTACTGCCGGCTTCTACACTGATTCTGCTTATTGGAAGACGGTTATGAAGCAAGCAAACAGCATGTGACTTCAGGAATGTTGTAATGGTCATAAATGCAAGGGCTGATTGTAAAGTTACTTTTTCAGCGTCATCATAACTTTGAATGGTCACTAAAAGGGCAGCCGTTAAAGCAAGGTCTACCTTTATAAGGAAGCCACTTGGGTTGAAGAGATACTGCCATTATTTCTTTGCAGCAATCAGTTATGGTAAGGAAATAATAATAATCTGAATACAAGCAATTATGCTTGTTGAAAGAAAAAATAGACTCTTTATTAGTTTGGTGTAGTAAATACCTCACAAGTTTTTTTAAAAATATTTTTCTCTTCTGAATTAGTCCCCCATCTTTTGTAATGACTAAAGTAGAGATAATATAAGTAAAAATATGGATTAAAACCGCCTCTGTGATCATTCTCGGTGAGAATTGCTAAATGTATTATTTCAATCAAATGTCTTTGAATGAAATGGTAATGTATCATCATCAGCATTCAGAAGTTAAATTTCAAAAAGTAGGGGATCATTCCTAAAATCAGATTAAAACCATGAGAGAACAAGTGTGTACAAGCCCTCATTATGCTGAAAAAAACTGCATGCAGTCTAACACAAGATCCATTAGGCCACCTTGTTTTCTTGTTTATTAAAGGTAAAATAATAAGGGAAAATAGCTTCAGATAGTTGGTGTAATTGATGAGTTTGCAATGAAAAACAAACATGATTTGTAAAATGGCTTCAATTGTATCAATCCACTTATTTTTGTTTTCTGACCAACCAAAAATCAACCCCAAATGAAAAGACAGAAAATAACTGACATGTTTCACTAGATTCATAAAATGGATTAAAAATGTGAGGAAAAATATGAGGTGTGCATGAGTTTAGAAGAATAACTCCATTCCGTGCAGTGGAATACCTTCCCCAAAAGGGGGGAGGGCACAATACCATTCCTAAATTTTACAAATTAATGTATTCCCAGGGTTAATAACGTGGGAAATCCAATGTTCAGTGTTGTATATTCAATGTATTCAAATATTAATGAAGACACAAATACTTGCAGGAAAAAAAAACTACATGACCATGATCAGAAAAATAAAAGCCCTATTTATCTAGTTAAGACTGTTGTGGACTCTTTCACACAACACACACACACTTTATTTTTGACTCAGCCTTTCAGCCAGACAAATCCAAAAGCATTCTACCTGCTTCAGTTGTTTCATGAGGGCTTCGTTGGACTTCACTCCATCCTCCTTGCGCAGTTTCTTGCGGGAATTGACAAGTCGCTCCCCAGCTTTTTGGGATCGCTTTGGCTTCGGTGGGGGGAGTTTCTTTGCTGCGAGGACATCCTAGTGAGGAGAGAGGCAAGCATAACTTTGAATGGTCCCTCCTCAGCAAACTTGCTTCACGGTGGAGTCATTTTATGGAGTTATCAAAGCTCACCCACTCAACCCTCCTGCCCTAGAGGGGCTAAGTGAGACACAAGCAAAAAGTACCAAGACGACCGAGCAGGAGGGACAGAATTATGGGCAGCCCTATTTTACACTGCAGATGAAGAGAACGTGTTTTAAATGTTACTTCTCCATGTGTTCAGCGGCTTGCAGGTGGCTATTCCAAACCTCTCATCTCAGTTTGCTGATTTACTACGGAATCTGCACATTCAAAAAGGGACGCAGTGGCTCAGTGGCTAAGACGCTGAGCTTGTCGATCAGAAAGATCAGCAGTTCAGCGGTTTGAATCCCTAGCGCCACATCACGGAGTAAGCTCCCGTTACTTGTCCCAGCTTCGGCCAACCTAGCAGTTCGAAAGCATGTAAAAATGCAAGTAGAAAAATAGGGACCACTTTGGTGGGAAGGTAACAGTGTTCCATGTGCGCCTTCGGCATTTAGTCATGCCGGCCACATGACCATGGAGACGTCTTTGGACAGTGCTGGCTCTTCGGCTTTGTAATGGAAATGAGCACCGCCCCCTAGAGCTAGCACATATGTGCAAGGGGAGCCTTTAACCTTACCTTTTACCTGCACGTTCAACCAGATTCAGGGAAGATACTTTTTTAAAAAATGGAATAAGGAGGTAGGTCTCTCTTTTAGACTCCTCATTCCAATGGTTGTAGCAGGGGAAGGGCAGAAATCAGTTAGCATTACAGGTAGTCCTCGATTTACGACCACAATTGAGTCCCAAATTTCTGTTACGACCTTTCTTGTCTCAGTTGTTAACTGAGTAACCCGACTGTTAAGTGAATCTGGCTTCCTCACTTGACTCTGCTTGTCAGAAGGTCGCAAAAGGTGATCACATGACCCTGGGACACCGCAAGCGTCGTAAATACGAACCAGTTGCCAAACGTCTGAATTTTGATCACGTGACCCCCTGGGGATGCTGCAAAGGTCATAACTGAAAAATGGCCGTGGGTCACTTCTTTCGGTGCCATCGTAACTTTGAACGGTTACTAAATGAACTGCTGTAAGTCAAGGACTACCGGTATAAGGCGCAGAAATACGTTGTTTCAAAACCTGAATGAAAGGCAATGTTGTCCCAAAGGTGCTTTTCCAAAAGGCACCTGGACTTTTTTTTCCCCCCCTTGAAAACGTTTTGCTTCTCGTCCAAGAAGCTTGAAAATGGAAGGAAAATGTTTTGGAAGTCTGGTTGCCTTTTGGAAAAACACCCCCGGGACAACCAGGACCTGGATGACTGAGAATCTCTGTAGACATTTGAAGCCTGTTAAAGAGGCCAAAGGAGGTCACCTGCAGCCTCATGGGAGTACCTAGAATTTGCAGCAATTATACTACTGAGCCATCCCACACTCCCTCTCCCCCCCCCCCCTCAGCCCAACGCGTCTCACAGAGTTGTTGCTATGGGGAAAACGGGAGGAGGAAGATACGTTGGATCTGTTTGCCGCTTTGAAATTCTTTGTGAAAACTATAAAGGCCGGGTATAAATAAGTAAGTAAATAAAATGAGAAACTTCCTTCTGGGTTATTTTGGGGTGACTTGGGGGTACTCTGGACATTCTGACTCAGCCCCTTTTAGTGACATTATCCCTCCCCCAACTGTGACTGTTGACCACTCAATAATAAAAGCTTGGCCCAAACTAGCCAGAGGCAGAGAAGCAATGCTCGCCAAAAGCTGAGGATGGCTATGCCATGCCTCTCTCTTCTTTTATAAATGATTTCTTCTCCAAAAAGGTCTCCTAAGCTGCTTCTATCGATTCTTAGCGAAATCCATTCCACAAGCCAAAAAAACCTTCTCTGCCATTGGGTAGGATTGGGGACTGGCTTTCAGGTATAGTTTTCCAATCGGCTATTCATTAGTCCTAGAGATATCTCCAAAGTAGGTGGGCTCAAAAAGCTGAACTGCAGCCGCCGCTATTCCCTTTCCCTTTATGCTCACCTCCCGAACATCTGGCGCCATCTGCAATCGGCCCTCCGTCCCAGCAAATTTGCCATCCACGTGCCCGTTGACATCACCTGAGCGCTGAGTCCCCAGCGTGACGTTCTTGGCACGGAGCAATTTCTGCAGCAAGAGATGGCTGGCTTCAGTGCGGCTGAGGCTGTTATTGTTAGTGGGCACCGCAACAGCGGCAGCGGCAACAGCTGCCACCACAGTGGCTGCTTGCGAGACAGGCTCCCCGTTTGCTTCCCGCTTGACTGGCTGGGGACCACTCATCAGTGCACACTGGGCTACCTCTTCCCTGGGTTCCTGTTTGATACAAACAAGGGGAGGGTCTCCTGACTGGGGCAAAGCTTTTCCCATGACTGAGGAAGCCAATTCCCTCGTCTGCCCATTGACCGCGGCTGGCTCCGTGGGCACTTTGGTGGGGGACACTGAGTTTCTGAGGCTCCCGGGGCCGAGAGCCGTTTCCTTTGTGTTTGGAATGAAAAGCGCTGGGTTAGGGGAGAGCAGGGGACTGGGAGTGGTTGGCTGGTGTTTCTGGGCGGGAGCCGGCTGCTGTTCAGGGCTTTTAGCCAGAAGCAATGGGGATGGTCTCTTTGGCTCTGAAGGGCTGGGCTGCTGCGGTGGTAGAGGGGCCACACCAGCAACGCTCAAGGGGACAGAGGGAGTCGGAGGAGTCGGAAGCCTTGGTGCCCCCTGCTGGTGAGGACTGGTGGCCACCTGCTGGTTGACCGGGACCCTCTGGTGCTCAACGGAGGCAGCAAATCCCTGTTCTGAACGAAACTGGAATACAGCGAGGGACGGCTGCCTTGGGATCTGCTGTCCCATGGAGCTGGGGAGGGGAAGCTGTGGAGCAGCTGGCCGGCCCTGGTCCAATGACACCTGGGCCTGCCCCGGGTAAGGGCTGCCTTGCCGCAAGGCTTGGTTCTGCTGCAGCAAATTCTGCTGATGCCGCTGCATGAGCAGAGCCTGAAGCTGCTGCTGCTGCTGAGGCGTGAGGTTCCGCAGCTGTGGATTTTTAGAGATGACTCCCTGAAGCTGAGCCCGGATCTGACCCATTACAGGGCTGGCCAGGAAGTTTTGGCCTTGGGGGGATGACTGTGGAACCATCATGCTTTGCTGCTGCTGCTGCTGCTGCTGCTGCAAGGACATTATCAACCCAGGGGTTTTGGAAGGTCCAGCTGGGCTTTGTAGGCGCTGCTGCTGCTGCTGCTGCTGCTGTTGTTGTTGCGCAAGTTGGCCCGGTAAGCCTTTGGAAGGTGGTTCCATGTTTTGGCCCACAATCCTTTGCTGTGGAGCCAAGGGGTTCTGCCCCTGGCTTTGCTGCTCCATCTGTTGGCTGAGCAAGTGGGGAGGCTGAGGGGCCTCCCGGTGCTGATGGTGGTGGTGTGGCGGTTGCTGAGGAGACACCTCTTGCTGCAAGATACCATCCATCGTCGGGTGAGTCCGCAGGGGCTGCTGAAGATGGCTGCCTTGCTGCTGCTGCTGCTGCAGGTTATTGTTGGGCTGCTGTTGCTGCATCTGCATCTGCAGAGGGCCCAGCAGGCTCTTCTTCTGAGAGTCCAGGTGAAGCTGCTGTGCTTGGCCCAGATCGGCCGGCTGCTTCTGGGGTTCCCCATGCTGCTGGAGCATCAGCTGAGAGGACTGCTCTTGCAAAGGGCCTCCGTGGCTGGGCATCCCTTGCTGGTCAGGGGGATTCATCTGCCCTCCCAGCTCCTGGCCTCCTAACTGGGGCCGAAGCTGTTGCTGCTGCAGGACTGCTCCCTCCTGGGGAAGGACGCTGGCGCCTTCCGGCCCTCCCTGCTGTTCCTTCACAGCCAAGCCCTGCTGCTGCTGCTGCTGCTGCTGCTGTGCTGGCAGGGCAGGCTGCATTCCCTGACTTGAGTGCAGCGGCTGGTTCAGAGACCCCTGCTGCGCAAAGTGCTGGATAGGCTCGGGGGCTATGCCCTGCCCTTGGCTAAGGGCACTTGGTGGAGGGGCCTGGGACAACAGTCCTGGCTGCGTGCCTGGCCCCTGGCTGAGGAGGGCCTGGTGCTGGGCAAGGGAATTCTGCTGCTGCTGCTGCTGCTGGCCTAGCAACCTCTGCTGGCCAAGCAGCCCTGCCGGGTGTGGGGTTAGTGGCGGTGGGGGTGGCTGCTGCTGCTGCTGCTGCTGAGGAGGAGGAGGAGACAAAAGAAGCCGGTGCCCCATCATCCCCTGAGTCTGCTGGGCCAGCTGCTGAGGACAACCCAGGGTCCGATGTTGCTGCGGAGTCAACAGCATTGGCCTCTGGACAGCCTGGTGGCTTAACACACCCTGATGCTGCTGCAGCATGGAGTGCCCTAGTATGACTTGCTGCTGCTGCTGCTGTTGCTGCTGCTGTTGTTGTTGCTGTGGAGAGAGTTGCTGGATCACAGCTCCTGGCTGACTGTTCAGCAGCCCTTGTTGCTTAGGGAGCAGGTTCTGATTTGGCTGCGGGGTGGGGGGTGGCGGCGGCGGCTGAACCATCAAACCAGACTGGCCCATTGTGCTTTGTTGTTGTTGTTGCTGCTGCTGCTGCTGCTGCACGGATACCTGTCCCATCAGGCTTTGCTGCTGAAGCTGAAGCTGCTGCTGCTGCTGCTGTTGTTGCACAGACAGCTGTCCCATCATGCCTTGCTGCTGCTGCTGCTGCTGCATTGTCATTTGCCCCATGAAGTTCTGCTGCTGCAGCTTCTGAGCCAGCTGCAGCCTATGCTGCTGCAGCTGCCTCTCCTGTAACAGGCGGTTGCCAGGGAAGAAATTGCTGGCGGGAGTGGCCCCGGATGGTGGCGGCAACGGGGACTGCTGCTGGCTCATGAATGGTAAGCCCTGTTGCACGGCCATGGGCGCAGCCTGAGGGAGGCGCAGGCCCCCTGCCTGACCAGGCAGGCCTTGTGTCCCCTGCTGGAGGCCGTGAGTAGAAAGCAACTGGCTGGGAAGCTTATTCATGAGACGAGGGCTTTGGGAGGGGCTGAGGGCCATGACCGTGGAGGTTTGTTGCTGGTGCTGCTGCTGCTTGTTGCGGTACTCAGCCATGAGGTTGGTGTGTTCCTTCTGCTGTTTCCGGACCTGTTGAGTGCGAAAGAGAACGTCAGAAGGAACTCTGTGGCTTACCTCCTTTTACTCTTCCCCAGGAGAGGGCGCCTCTCTTTGCTCTGAAGTGCCACGGAGGGAGATTTACGTCATTCTGAACCCAAACCTCCCCACTGAAAATATACCGTCTCCGCCTGCTCTTGCCCCAGTTCATTAGGCAATTCCCTCCCTCCTTGTTCTCAGGGGACATCTCAATCTGGAACCCGGAATGAGGGAGAAACTTCCTAATAGCGAGAACAATTAACCAACGGAACGGCTTGCCTTCAGAAGTTGTGTGTGCTCCCATCACTGGAGGCTTTTAAGACAAGACAGGACAACCACTTGTCTGAAATGGTATAAGGTCTCCCTCTTAAGTAGGGGGTTGGACTAGGAGACCTCCAAACTCTATTCTGATCGACTGATCTTCATTTGTTCAAACTCTTCCTCTTCCTCCATTAGTGTCTCTCACTCCAAAGGAAACAACACGTCTCTTGTTCTTACAGGTTATTAGTTGTTATTTTATTCATTAAATTTGTGTGCTGCCCATCTTGCCCATTCTTACATCACTTTGGTTCTGTTTCCATAGGTGGCAATTATCTTTTAGGAACTTTTAGCCACAGGTAAAACCGCACATACAGCTCTGGGCTACCGGGTGAACTAAATGATAAATGAATAAATAACCTAGGGCCTGCCAACGTTGTACATGTGTGCACAGAGACATAGGCCCGTGGGCCACTTTCTTGGTCAAATCAGGAATGGGGTGTATAGACAGCCCTGATAGCGGAACATACCTGATCCAGCTGCTTTTGGATCTTGCTCTGTTGCTCAGTTACTAGCTTCAGCTTTTCAGCATCAGCCTCCGGGAATTCACGGCCGGCTTTTTTAGCTGTCCGCTGCTTGGCACACAGGGCCTTGCGGGACTTGCGGTGCACCCCGATTTGCTCCTCCAGCACCTTTAGCTGCATCTGGAGAAGCTGCTGGGTGTGGAAAAGCCAGTCTTCATACTGACGCTGATCAGCCTCATCTGGAGATGGAAACAGAAGACGAAGATTTGGGTAGCTGGAGAGCCACGCCTAGAAATCATGCCTTGCGTAGGAAAACCAAAACCAAAAATTGCTAACCTCTGCAGCAGGTCAAGACCAAGCACTGCAGGAAGCATCACAAGATGGGTACAACTGCTTGTTTGATATTAAAATCTTCGTGGTTTTTTTTTTTCTTCTACTCCAGATTTTCGGGATTTATTTTTTTGGTGTGTGCAAGGAACAGTAAGGAACACGGATAAAGAAAAAGCCACTGACCAAACAGTTGTGGGACTAATATCGCAGGATCAGAAAGAAGGAACACAAAAGCTACGAATGTGCTTTATCAGGTGCTGCTGCTGCTGCTTCTGCCTCCCTCATATTAATTTGTTATTAATATTAATGTTATTAGTTAAAACGTGGTTCCTTGAATATCATAATGACCTGGTTAATGATAAAGCCTCGATATCAAGCTACAGTGGCAGATTTCACACATTACACTAAGCCAGAATTCAACATTGCACTGCAATGTGACAGGCTAGTTTGGGTGAAAGCCATTCTCCTGATCAGGTGTATCTGTGGGTAACTAAGGTACCCCAGAAACATCACAAAGTATTACCGTATATACTCGAGTATAAGTCGACCCGAATATAAGCCGAGGCACCTAATTTTGCCACAAAAAACTGGGAAAACTTATTGCCTCGAGTATAAGTCGAGTTTTTCAGCACATTTTTTGTGCTGAAAAAACCCCCCTCGGCTTATACTCAAGTGAGATTCCCTCTGAAAAAAAAAAAATGGTGTGGAGCTCCGGAGCTGGGCAGCCACTTCCCTGCTTCCGTGTTTCCTTTGCAACTTGTAAGCATGGGGGTAATAGGAAGCAGAAAAGTTCTTGCATGAGGATGTATTGTTTTTTCTTTATTTAACTGTTTTTTTTTGGGGGGGAAGTCCCACCATCATGTGAGAGTGCTCAGACACGAAATCTATCCGCCTGAAAATAAGTGTGTGTGTGGGGGGGTGGGATCTGACTCGAGTATAAGCTGAGGGGTTTTTTTTCAGCACAAAAAATGTGCTGAAAAACTCGGCTTATACTCGAGTATATACAGTAACTTCCTTTAACGGTGCTTATTTGTATTGGAAAACAGACTACTTATTCAATAGAGCTAAAGATGGCATTTCTCTTTCTTTTCTCAGCAAGCCAACTGGCATCCAGTAAGTGCTTTACAAAGTTATTGGATCTACCAATTGCACGTAGACTAAAAAAAAAGAAAATATGACTGAATGGCAACCGTCATTTTCAAGGTTGCACATTATTTTTTAGCAGACTTCAGCCTGTTTTAAAAAATATTCACAGTCTGTTTTTATAGAAATTGAGGACGCAGTACATAAAAATGAAGGTTAGGAAGTATATGCTTCCAAATGATTCCTTATTTTTGTCAGAGTATATTCATGAACTGGAATAGAGCATGGTAACAAGGTCAGTCAATGAATAGGCATAGCAACTAGGTCAGCCAATGAGAACTGTTTGGAAACTGAAACTAAGAGTAGCCTAGGTGTGGCTCTATATTAAGCTCTGAAGCTATGTTGAGCTCTGAGTCTGTCTATTGAAAATGAAACTGCTTCTCTCCTCTGCTGTGTATAATGCTTGCCTGCTGAAACTGATGTCTATTTCGGAGCTGCTGAAGTTGCTGCTGAAGCTCTGAACTTGTAACCTGTTTGCTGCTGGTTGAGTTTGCTCCATGTTGGAGAAATCTACAACTGGTTTGTAAAAAATTTACTTCATAAGTTTATAAAGCAGCTAAATGAAGCCTCAGCCATCGGTGTTTATTTTTCTGGTGCTGGATTAACACTGCAAAACTCTGAATAATTTTCTCTTTAGCATGTAGTATGTCCAATTTGGTCCATTACTTCAAAACTCGTAAATTTCCCAGAAGATAGCTTAGGCTCTACTGAGAACTGATATGGGACCTTGAAAAAGTTCCTTCTTAGATATTTCTACCCACACCTTCCTTGTACAGCTGAAAGAACATGGATGCCTGGTTTTAACACAACAAACCAATATAAGTAAGAATTGTGTTACTAGCCTTTGGTGTCAACCTTCCACATGTTCATGAACAGAAATATTTATGCAGCAGAGAAATTGTACTCAGAACCAGAAAGCAATCGTTATTCCAAATTAAGCAATCCAAAATGACTGTTAAGATGAGCAAGAAGAGACTTTAAAGAAAAACACTACCCAGCAGAACCCAGCTACTCACTGATGACACCTTGAGCAAAGGTTGGAGGGTTTGGACGAGTCTGTGCTGCATCATTGTTGCGCTCCTGCAAGGAATATTAAATTATACAAGCAGTCTTATCTTTTTTAAATATTTTACAGGAGCCATTTCATTTATGCCCAAACTACCTCAAAATGGATAAAGAAAACCCTTCTCCCTCCTACACTTTATTCCTTGAGATAACTTAAAGTAACCTAATACATTTTTTATGGCTAAAAATGAATCTCGACCTACTATTCTCTCTCTAGCATCTCTAGCCAAAACCCTTATTCTCTACTGCCAATTGCGTTGAAATATTCAGCCTGGCAGGGAGGAGGGATCAAGCACGGAGTCAGCCTGGAGTCACTGTACAACTGCAAAAGGGCTAGGACCAACACCTCCCCCACCCACCCCGCAAAGTTTCCTTGGGGCCTGATGTGATAGCTCCTAGGAGAAGGCTGTCAGACTAGGGGAAGATTCCTGTATTATAGGCAGGATAAAATAAAGTAATTAGCTTGAACTCTGCACATGTGGGTCTGATTATTGCCTGACACCAACTGAATCACCTCAACAACCCTCAAACCCGCCAATAGAAAATCTCACATGGCCTGCCAATCACTGCTCACCTGCCCTCCAGTTACAGGTAAAATGTGATTTGTCATTTCAGATGAAGATGAAGCTCCAGATAACCTCTGAGCCAGCAAGGAGACTTGTTGCCTAGAAGGAGGAAGGATGCAGGGCACAGAGTGATTGGAAGATACCACAAAAATGCAACGGATACTGCTAGTGTTAGCCTAGGACTGGATGGGCAACATTTGGACCTCTGTTAAGTTTTTGGACTGCAATTTCCATCTTCCTTCGCTAATGACCACATTGTCTGGGACTGATAGCAGCTAGATAATTCAACACAACTTCATAATTTTTTGTGGTGATCTCGGTTATGCCTTTGATTTTATTATGGAATATCCTACCCAAAATGTACTTATAATCAGAATTAGAAAATGTTTTATGCTTATTTCCATGCACTTAATTCTGTATATATTTGTCATAAACTTTATCTCACCACAATGGATTATATATTTACTTCCCATGCCACACATTTTTTTGTGATTATTTTTTTATTTTGTCTTCTATTAGATTGTGTTTTAGATTCTAAGGCTGTTGTATCAGATGAAGCTTCAGTCATAGAAACACTTCAATTTAAAAACGAATTTTCACATTTCTGTTATAATGTAATAATAATTATCCTACTTACATTAGACAACAAATATCATTTTTTTAAAAAATAATTGTAATCCAACTAATATTCAGATAATTAGGGATGCATGTAAGGTGAACAGAAGGACCTGGATCATTGTTTATGTTGCTTGGTGAGGGAAATTTAAAAATCTTCATTATCAACAGGAATTAAAGAAAGTTTTTCAGTTTTTGATGGAAAAAAAACCCCAACCAAACAAACTTATAATGCTTTTATGTTAGCCAACAGGGCTAACTGATTTCTATGCAGAGCAGATTAAACTGCTTTTAGGAGAATAAAGTTAAATTATTGGGAATCTAGAAAAACACTGGTAAATTGTTGGCACATCAACCGAACCAAAAGAGAGAACAAAATATCTGTTTCCATCTGATGCTAGCTTTGGAAACAATATTTGTTTCCAACTGACACTAGCCTTTCCAACTGATGCTAGCCTTGGAACAGGACCTGTGGAGATGTCTGGGGTGCAGGTGCAGCCCCTTGGCCCCAAGGAAGCAAACAAGGTGTGAGTTTAGTCACCTATTTATTCAATTGATGCCCTTCCTGATTGGTGAAAGCTTTCGAGGAAGCACATGCAGTGCAGTGCAGAAGTGGAAGGAACCGCTTTGTCAGGCAGCTGCGTGGTGTGATGCAGAAGCAGCCACCATTTTCCAAGTGGCTGCATTCAATTCTGATCACTTGGAAAATGGTTGCTGCTTCTGGAAATGTGCCATGAGGCCACCCAAGTTACAGAAAGCTCCAGAGCGCCAAAGATTTCCAAAGTGTGCAATCAGTGACAGAGGGTGGGTGAGAGGAGGCCCAAACCCTGCAGGGACCTAACTGGGGAGAAAAAAGCCTGTGGAGACCCCAGTGATGGTGGGGAAAGGCCTGAAGGGACCCGGTGGTGCAGCATTTCTATGGCCAGTCATAGTGACAAACCATCACAGGAGTGGTGCAACAGCTGTGATTTTGGGATTGGGCCATAAGTAGCTTTTGAGGGGTCTGCCAGAATCTTTAATCACCGTTAAGCGATTTTGCTTAGCAACTAAGCAACTGGTTGTTAAGCAAGGACTTCCTTCAAAAGACAGGAAGGGACAAATGGCCTTTTTATGTTGTCATTATTGCAATGTAAGTATCTCATTAGGAGCCATCGCTAGAACGCCTCTGTCTTTGCTTCCAGAACATTCATGTAATATTAATAATAATGATCACCTCTTCAACAATCAAAATGAAAATTAAAGACACTCTGCCTCATATGATAGGAGTAGCCCCTTCTCTGGTTTTCTGCTTACCTGTTCATGCCTGGAGCAACCCCAATGCTCCCTTGCGCCATGACCTTCTTGATACCCTTTAGAGCTACCATCTTGGCTTTGGCAATGGGATCCATTATGTCCTCAGTAGCAAATTTATCTAGATCTTTACAGGCACATGGGTGACAGGAGGTGAGAGGTACAAACGAGAGAAAAGAGACCAACACGTGAGGAGACTATGCATTGCCGATATCTCAACATTAAAGCATTTGTGATCTAACACATAGTCCACTAAAACGAAGAGTTTGTTGACCAAAAAACCACCACTTGCTGGAAATAGTCAACTCTTATTCTCTGCTGCCATTTAGTGATCACCCGGATTTCTACTGTTTACTATACAGTAAACTCAAACAAGCATCATCACCAATGTACAGCCACTTCAAACTATTATTTCTAATACGGGAGTGAATTTAACTCACTCACTGATCTTCTTCTTTTAATGACCCCATAATCCCTTGAGGGGTGGAGTCCGGGCAACTGAACGGAGCTAGCAGAGTGTTTTAATGGCTGGATGCTCTTCCTGTCGTCAGTGCGGAGTTTTGTTCGGCAGGTATATTTTCAGTGTGCCCAGAGAGAAAAATACCTGCCTGTACCTATGATCGAACTCACAGCCTCCTGATTGTGAGGCGAGAGCTCCACCTCTAGGTCACCGCACCACTCAATTGAACTCACCATATGACAGCTCCATATTCAGAGAGAACTAATTTTTTAGAGTTAAGATCACATGGTAAAAGTCACGTTTCTACGTCTTCTCTCCTTCATGCATATAAATCACACCTGGTCAATATATCCTCACTGTACACATAGTTACACATACGATCTATGGAATTTTGATACACTCCTCAGATGTGCTGCTGCAGTTTCAGTTGGCTGAAATTATTTAAGTCAGCAGTAGATCGGTGTGATAAGATGAAATTAAAGGCCAGGTGTGATCTAGGCTGATTCGCTCATATCACATTTAAAATAGAATGCAGGCACCCACCCACACATATAGTGCACTCTTGGATAGTTGTGATTCATGTTAAACTATGTGGCTTTTCTTAGCAGATTAAGAAGACTTCATTTGAATTTAGATGAAACCGCACTGAAAATGCCCTGTGATTCAATTCCCCAAATGTTTCCTTTTCTGTTAGCCCCTGCAATTAGAATAACAAATTTTAACTTGCGATTAAAGCAGGATTTGCATAATGGCAATCAAGAACTTGGCATATCCTGGACAAAATGAAATAAAGAAGCTGATAATAGTTCCCATCATGTAGGAGAAAGAGTGGCAGAATTTGGGGGGGGCGGGGGGCGGGCGGAGTCAAAAGAAGAATCAGCCTAAAGCAGGGCTGTCAAACTCCCAGTCTGCAGGCCGGATGGGTCACAAACTGGCCATGTCTATGCCCGGTTTAGTGAAGGGAGATAAAGTCCCAATACATCACGTGATGATGCCCTGACGACGTGAGTTTGACACACCCGTGACCTAGAGTCTCTCTATAGCCACAAATGGACCAAATCCAACTCTCTTGAATTTCATTGATCCTCATCTAATGCCAAGTTAGTGCTAACCATTAGCTGAGTAGATGCTTGTATACAGGCATGATTAGTAATAAAGTTTAACCGGAACTTCGCATGTGGTCCTGATCTTTTGCACCTGACACATACCAGTATCAGGGAAGAAGCTGTTAGCCAGCTGCTGCTGCTGCTGTTGTTGTTGTTGCTGCTGCTGCTGCTGCATTACAATTTGCTGAGGTTTAAGTCCCATCATCTGCTGCTGCTGCTGCTGCTGCTGGACTCCTTGCATATTTTTCTGGACTAAGAGCTGCTGTTGGTTCTGTTGGCTGTGATTTGCCTGCATGCCATGCTGAGGGGTAAGCAGTTGAGATTGGTTCTGAGGCACTGCCAGGTGTGGTGCTAGCCCTTGGTTTTGCTGGGGACCAGCCAGACGTTGCTGCTGCTGCTGCTGCTGCTGCATCAGTTGCTGGTTGCCCACCATGCTCTGTGGTCTGGCCACAATGCTCAACTGAAGCTGTTGCTGAGGGCTTACCAGCTGCCCATCGTGAGGTTGGGAAGGGGGAGCAGGATGGGCCAATACGGCGTGGGGCTGGAGGTGTTGGGAACCCCCTGGTATTTGGGCAGACATCTGCTGCTTCTTCTGCAGTTCCTTCTTTTCGTGTTCCAGCAGATCTTCAATCAGGAGAGGCAGCTCGCTGGCCACCAGGGAGCTTTCCATTTTGTCTAGTTCGTCGGCCGGAGAATGCTGCTGGCTACTACTCAGGCTCAAGGGTCCCCCATCTAGCTCAAATTTTTCCAGGATGGAGTTAGTGTTGTTGGGCATCGAGACGGGAATAAGCGATGGACGGGTTTGGGTGCTGTAGAGGACCTTATCTGATATGGGAGGGTGATTGTTGCTGTGGAACTGAGTCATGCCAAGTTGCACCCCGCCAGGACTCATGAGATTCGGGTTGGTTTTGATGTTGACTCCTAAGGTAGCAATCATTTTCTCTGCTCCTTCAGATTTCACAGGAGGTTTCTCTACGGTGCTAGTGTTAAACTGGCAGGGTGAAGACTTTAAACACCCTTCCTCTACCTTGGGTTTGATATCAGCTGGCAGGCTAGCCATTTTGCTGTCCAGCAGGTCACTTTGGGCCTTGAAGGTTGTAAGGATGGGAGATGGAGACACCCTTGCAGAAGATGAACAGGGAACCTGGAGAAGACCAAGTCCCTCTTTCACTTTGGGAACATCATCCCTGGGCATTGGTGCCTTCTGTTCATCGGGCTTGCCAATACCAGCAGAAGGAGCATCCTTGAGGTAGGGACTTACGGAGGGTTCTTTTTTAAGCCGATCCTCACGTTCAGCCTTTTCGTTGGCAGATTCCACCAACCGCAGATGCTCATTGAAGATATCCTTCTTATCACCGGTATCCAGCTCTGGGTCTGTATATGCAAGCAAATCAAACTCATCACCATTTAATAGATCATCGAGGTGCGGGTCATTGGTTTCCAGGTTATCCAGGTTGTCAAGATCATCATCACCTTTGGCAACGTCTGGATCAAGGCTTAAGTTGGCCAAGTCATCATCATCTTCAACAAGATCCTTGTGAGAATCAAACTCGTCATCTAAATCGGGTTCCACTGGGACCTCGCAAGCTAATGGCCTATTGACCAGACTTAGCTGATTCTTGCCAGCGGCTGGGGTAGAATCAATGTTAGTTGAGGTGAGGGGTACATCTTTAGGGACAGACGAGGAGGGTGTTCGAGCTGCCATGTGTCGCACTTCCATGTTGCCCGGAGGCAGAATCAACTGGGGAATGGCCTTGGCATGAGAGTGATGATTATTGCTCATCTCTGAACCCTGAAGAGAGGATGAAATAGGGATCTTCTGTGATTGTAGGCCTTGGTTTCCCAGGACAGGGGCCTGCACTGGCATAACAGAAGCTTTCAAAGCCTGATTGGTGCTGTCGTTCCCAGGCAGGAAGAATCTGGGTCGAGCCTGCAGATTCTGCTGGATGAAGGGAGGGCCAGCTCCACTTCCTAGCACTCCCTTGGAGATGTTGTGCCGCAACTCAATGAACTGAGCTCCCAGTGGGCCAGAGGAAGTCTGAAATGGTTCACCGGGACCAGGCAGGCGTGGAGCCAGGCCTCCCAAAGTTTGTCGACTTAGGTCTTGTGTGGGGGGATGGGGGAAACGTGAGGAGATTGGGAGACGCATGGATGCTGCTTGTTGCTGCTGCTGCTGCTGCTGCTGCTGCTGCCACATCTGTTGCTGTGTAGGTGGCGTTTGGAAGACACTGCGGGGATAAAAGGGCTGGGCAGCTGCTGTCACCGATGGCCTGAAAAAGAAGACATTTTTTTTAAAAAACGGGTTAGGTAACCTATTACCATTCACTCTAAAAGGCTTTCTGGAGTCGACTCAAACAGCGAGATGGGAAGTTTACAAATCTGTAAAATAGATGACTATGAGTAACCCCACCTCACCCCACCCCGGTAATATAATGTGCCAATATGAAGAAATCCTCAAAAATAGGGGACAGTTTTCCCTACCAGGTGGCAGTTGTGTGACCAGCGTTTGTTTTTATCCAGTTTTATTATTCTGCCATCTCTTCCCTTTTTTGTTTGCCACATTTTTAAAAAATATTTTCCTGTTCCATTTGTAAACCACTCGCAGTCGCTGAGAATTGGGGGGGGGGGCAATGTAAATTTAATAAATAAATAGTATGAACAGCTTCCTTCTGGCTACTCGATATCAGTTTTATCACTGAATTTCTGTGGCCCGATCCTAGGATGCTTTGGTGTGTGTGTGTGTGTCTAGAAGTGGGTGGAGTGAGTCACAAACAGCAAGATACCTCCTGTTGGCTGGAAAGCGAGTTCTACTGATCAATAATTTGCCTTTTTCCTTCAGTCTACCTTGCCGTTGTGACTGGACTGGCTTTTCTAACACCAGCTAGAGCCTTACCTGCCATTAATATCCATGGCAGAGGGTGTTGCCGCTGGAGATGGCCGGACCATTCGTTCATCCTGTATGTAGGGTGCCTGTACCATCACACCACTGGGCAGCTTGTTGCCTCCTGGAGCGCTCCCCAGGCTGCCAAGTAATCCCTTGTCCTAAGGAAAGGAAGAGTCAACATTCAAAATTATTTATTTATTTACTTACTTACTTACTTATTTATTTGATTTGTATTACCGCCTATTCGCCCATGGAGACTCAAGGCAGCTTACATAATGTAAAATCATATTTAAAACAAAAAATAAGAACAAAAATAATAGGAACTAACAAAAAGAATCTGGTAAGGCTTCGGCAGTGCAGGAATCCGCGATCGTGTGCGGTTTCTGCTGCGCTCGCCGCTGGAGTGCCCCCAATCCAGCCGGATTTGGGGGCTATAGTTACCCCGTAGAGGTAACTGAAGACAGGGGAGATCCAGCAGGGGTCCAGGGGAATCGCAACCCCCCTCCTCAACTGGCTTAACTCCCTTTTCCGAAAGCGGTGGAGCGGCGGTCAGCAATGGTCGCCACAAAGAAGCTTTCATCCGGATAAGAATGCGCAGGAGGAAGTTGAGAAGTGAAAGTTCTTGGCTGACCAGGATAACAAGTAACATTTAAATACCCTGGAATTTAAATTTCATTAGAGATACATCGCTCCCAAAGAAGATTTGGAAAAAGCGGCGAATGAAAGTAAAAAGAGAAAGTTTGTTTTTTCTCACTCTCCTTCCTTACGGTGATAGCAGATAAATGAGAAATCGGAAAAACCCGTTTTGGCATCAGCAGGTAATTAAAGTAAAGCCAAGGGGACAATAAAGATTTCTGAACATTGAAAAAACAACTTTTTTTGCTATAAGTGGGAGAGGAAAAGAATTAATATTAAGATTTTGCTGGAGGAGGCTGCTTGGAATTTATAAGAATAGAGCTAAATTGTAACAAGACTTCTAAAAGATATATTTTAATTGGAACTTTGCAAATGAACTATAACCCCAGGAAGAGAAAGTAGAAAAAGAAGAAAGTGCTAAATGAAACAGTCTGTGTGTATTTGGATTGCTTGGTGTCTTTGGGACTTTCGGAAATTATTATTTGAAAGACTAAAAACATTTGGGTTGTTTAAAAAAATTTTTCACAATGGCATTACTTGATGATGAACTGAAAATGGAATTTAAAAAGCTAAAAGAAGAGGAACAAGAAGGGAAAATGGATCTGTTTCTGCTTCTGGATCTGTTTTCCATTTCTTAGAAATTGCGATTTCAACCTATCAGAAACTACAAGAACAAGAAGATTGGGATGAAGAAGAAACCATCTTTAATGAACAAGCAACTCTAATTGGGGAAGAAAAGGGAAAGCGGGGAAAGAGAATAGAGAATTTAAGACTTAAAAAAACAACCAAAAAAGGGAAAAATAAGGTGAAAAATCGATACAATGTCAGAAAGCAACAGAAAAGAGGAATACAGAAGAGGGTGGAGATCAAGAGACAGGGGGATAAAAAGGCTAGATTGGAGAAGAAAGGAAGGGAAAAAGGGAAGAAAACTTACAAAGGTTTGAAATAAGATGTAAAGAAACAGGATTTATTCAGAGGTAATGGGTAAAAATATAATTAAAAAAGAGATTCTGCAAGAGTACATAAGACTGTATTGTTGTATTTGTATTTGAAATAATGTTAGAAAACTGGAACATTCTATGATTATAAAATGGGATGAAATATTAAAAGGAATGTGTAAAATGCTTAAGACTTAACGATAGAGTTTAATTTGCTATGGGTTATTGTTTTAATTATATTATACATTTATTATTCTTTCTTATTTTAAAATATAGTACATAGCTTAAAAAGGTACTAAGCAGAATCTGAATGAAAATTATATATTATTTTAAGTGTTAAATTTAGGGGAAAGATATAAAGGCGTCATGCTTCAATCAGTAATTACAGCAGAAATTTTGTGTTAATGAGAAAAGATAATAGATAATTGAAACAGAACAGGCAAAAGATATAAGCATAATGATTTAAATTGAGATGAAATAAATAAAACAGAATTAAGAGAGTGAAAAGAGGGGAGAAGCTATATAGAAAATGTAGAATGGTAAATAAGATATGAAATGGTATATAAAGTGAGCATGAATTTGAATTTATGTCTGTACAAAAAGATGTAACCCAGGACTAAGCCGCTTTCCAAAAAGAAGTTTTATTTTTTCATGTTTTGTGTTTTGTTTGTGTATGTTTTTTTATTGAAAATTAATAAAAAAAATTATTAAAAAAAGAACTAACAAAAAGAATCAAATAAATTAGTGAAGTACAATAGAACAAAATTTGGGAAAACAAACAAAACAAAACAAAAACCAACCAACTCCCACCCCCCTATTACTGCTTGATAGAACAGTATGAGTTCTGGGAGTCATCTAGCACTGTTGATGCTACCATGTTGGGTAATGAAACATCAGCAAGAAAACAACCAAGCTTAGAAAGCACCAAGGACCCCACAATTCAACCCTGAGCTACAAATAATTCTCTTCTGTTAGTATGAGTTCTACGTAGAGTAAAATACTTTCAGGAAAGCCATAATGTAAAGTCACCTTACAGGGGAGATGGGCGGCATACACACTTAATAATTTAATTAAAAATAAATAAAATAAATAATGTACAAAATTTAGTGCATTCAGGACCCTCACCCAATTGTATTCATTTGAACGTTTATCTCACTAGATTTAACACAACGTAGCACTGTAGATTTAGCACTACACATTTAACCCACCAGGGCACATACAAGGTTATGCATGCAACAGATAGAGGAGATTTAGACATTGATACTGTCCAGAATGTCAGAAAGAGGATCTCTTTCAGGTCTTTGAATGGAATCTGTAGGAGAAGGAAGGGCAGAACCTGAGGGCAGGGTGAAAAGGGGGAGCATCCTAGAACCCCTACGTAGCTACAAGTGAATTAAGCCCATTCCCCTCTTAGGTGCTGTTGACCCTTATCTAACTCTTCCCAGGTGCTGACAACTCGTTGAGAAGATTCCTTACCAACACCAGTAAATCGGTTTAATTGACCCTTCAAGCATGGAACCTATCTTTCATGCCTGACAGAATCTTTTTGGTGACATATCAAAAGCTGTATGGAAAGTCAGATTCCACAGTTCACCGTGCCGTTGGATCCAGGTCTCTCTCTGTGGCTCCAGGCCTACCTGTGCCGATGGGTAAGGAGTCATGCTGCGGTTGATCTGCTCAAAGGCTGGTCCGGGGCCTTCGGCATTCCAGGAGGACTGAACCCCGGTGGCCGCAGCTGCTGCGCTCTCTTTTTCTTGCCTCAAGTTGTTCCTCTGGATCTGCTGACGGATAAGCAACTCCCGGAGCCTCTGACGCTAGTAGAGGACCAAAGGAACAAGGCACAGACAGTTAGGAATATCTCGTGCTCAGAAGCCCTTTAAGCAAATCTGCCTTTCTTGCCTTCTTCAGGACACACGTAATTCTTTACTGCCCTCCTTTACCTCATTGCTACACATTCAGGTAGCTGGACTGGGAAAAGGCCATTAAGCCCCTTCCTGTCCCTCGGCCCATCGGCTCTAGTTCCCATTAAGCTGAAATCCAACTTCCCTGCCCTGATGGAATCGACTCACCTGGCGCTGTTTTTCCATCTCTGTCTGAGTAGCGTTGCTGCCAGCGGCCCCCTCCTGGCCAGCCGTCAGTTCTTGCAGCTCCCTGCTGGGGGGTCCTATGGTCCCCTCCTCCCTCTTGTCACCTGAAGGCATGCCTCCTCGCGGCAGGAAGGACAAAGCGCCATCTTGCTGTGAAGGTGGCTGCTGGGGCAGCACCGACGGAGGTCGTAACGGGGAAATCGTATAAGAGTCTGGGGTGTTCTTGCTTGGGCCCAGAGGGCTCCCAACCTGGTGGAAGCCCGGTGAAGAAACATAACTTGTGCTTTGAGGTTTGCCAGGAGCAAAATGGCTGTTGACCCCTTGGGAAGGAGAGTTCTTGACTGGCTCATTGGGAGGGAAGGTGAACCGCATCTGCGGCTGAGCACTGGGAAAGACACCTGCACCAGGGGAACGAATAAACTGAGACTGCTGGCTGGTCTTTGGGTGGGACTCAGATGGGGGTGGCACCGCTGAGAAATTCCCAACTGTCAGGGTATTATGGGAGACGGGCATCGGCTTGAAGCCAACATCTGGAATTTGAGCCCGAGGGGGCTTGTGCAGCGGGGCAAAGGGGTCCCGGGACTGGGGCCTGGAGGGGGGCCGTGAGTAGGGGTCAGGGGACTGAAAGCGAGGAGTGACGGGAGACTGGCAGAAGGCCTCAGTGGAGAGGGGACGGGGAGTGAGGGGGGACTGGGAGCTTGATTGAGACTGTGGGCTGGCAGGTATGCGTGAGAAGGGGTCCGAAGGCAGGGACCGGGGAGGCAAAACACAGCAGGGCTCTGGGAGTTGGGGCTGAGGCCTCGGGGTGAGTGGGGGCTGGGCATAGGGATCCGGGTAAGGTGACTGCCTGTAGAGATCAGCCTGGCTGGGTGGGGAAGCAGCCAGAGGGTGAGAATCTGGGGGGCGATGCCCTAAACCCGGGCTTTGTGGCTCCACCTGAGACTGGCGTGGGGTGAGCGGGGCTTTAAAAACGTCCGGGGCCTTCATTTCACTGGAGGGGAGAGCACTGGAAGGGGAGTTGCTATAGCTGCAGCTGTAACTAGGAGAGTTGATCCCTGGACCGGTCTCTTCCTTCTTGATATCCAACCCCTTTTTTTGCTGCTCCCCAAAGGGTGGGGGGGAAAGCAGAAGCGCAGCTCGCTGAGGACTTCCAGGCACCGTCAAGTTTTCCAAGGATCCAGTGGGGCAGCGGGGCTTAAGGAAGGGGTCCGGCGTGGAGGGCTGATGCCTTGGGGTTCCAGGCGGGGTGGGCTGCAACTCTCCAGCTTGCGGGGACGGACGAGGGTTTGGTAGGAGCGGAGATTGTCCAGAGGAGGCAGAGGAGGAAGAGACAAAGCCGCTAGGCACTGTAGGACTCTGGCCCACCAAGGAGGGGGAAGGAAAACCTGGATCTGGTGGGGGGCAAGCAGAGGCCATGCCGTAGGGCTCGTGCAAAGGCACTTGCACTGGGGGCTGGGCACTGGTGGCAGAAGAGGGAAGCTTAAGGAAGAGCTCACTGGGCGACTCAATACCCGGCCCACTTGGCAGAACTGCAGCATGATTAATATAGAGGGGCTGTCCCGAGGCTGAAGCAGCAGAGGAAGGAGGTGGCAACGGCTGAGGGGCTCCAGGCAGCACCCCTGCCTGAGATGGTATGCGCAGATGAAGCGTGGGGCGGTCGGGCCTTCGCAGCACCTCCACTTTGGTTTGTTTGCTGATCTGGCTCTCAGCTTGCTGTGGAAAAGGGAGAAGAAAGTGCCCCAGAGGGACAAGGCATCGTCAAGGCCGGAAGAACAGACTCAAAGGCAAAATACAAAGAGTTTAAAGTTTTAAGGGACACGGGAGGCCAGATATTCCTGGGGAGGTGGGAGAAGAAGAGTATCTAAGTGGCCCTTGAAAAACCCTCAGGCGCTCTCAATGGTCTGTTCTTTCTCCCTCTAAATTTGGTTAATGTGTACTGAAAAATAGGTTTCAGCTTTTCTCAGGACAGAATTTACATACAACCTTGGCAATAACATATTCCATACGGGTACCACAGCATATCAGGCCTAGTTTCCCCACCCAAATTTCTCCGTCCCAGTTTCAACCAATCCCTTTTCATATCTATTGTCTTACCTACCTTCTGCACCTTGTTGATGCGATGGGCTGCCCGGTTATCTTTGGCCTTTTGCTGTCAGAGAAATAAGAATAAGATGAGAGGGGGAAAACAAAATCCCTCCCATTCAACCCCTCTCCAGTCACTCAATGCTTTGGAACAAGTTTCATAATTTGTTATTTTCAATTCATCAAAATATATAGTATTTTAATACAATGAAAGACAGTTTGGGCTGGTGGTTAAGGCTAGAAAGAGGAAGACTGTTAAGTTCTAACCCAGCCGTAGCCATGAAAGCTGACTGGGTGACCTTGGGCCCGTCATACTCTCTGTGCCCAACCCACCTCACAGAATTGTTGTTGTGGGGAAAAAAGGAGGAGGAAGATGTGTTGGATATATTCACTGCCTTGAATTATTTGTCAAAATAATAAAGGCAGGCTACAAATCGAATAAATAATAATAATGTAATATATATTTGTGTATAATATATTTATACGTGTAATATAAAATAATTGACTATTGCTAATGGCTATCAATTCAAAACCCTTCAAAAAAGAAAAAGATAAAATATTTTGTCTCAAAACTTTTATTTCTCTAGCAATTGGACTTAGACTGATAAACTGCTTCACAATGCTTTACTGCTCTATCTAAGCGGTTTCAGCCTATTGGAAGGAGGAACAGAATTATGACTTCTGCCTTTCTTTTGGTCGCGTAGTTGCCACCTTGCTCTTTCTCCTCCCTCTTTTCTCCTCTCTTAAGTTAGTAATTGTCTTCCCCGTCCCTTTTAATCCTTGCTAGTCCCCAAATGCTAAAATTAGATTATTATAGTTTGAAGAAACCCCCCCCTTCGTTTCAAATTCTTCATGTGAATGGCATCCCTCTGGTTACTCTTGGGTGAAACACTGTCACCAGGATTTTTAGTTTGCCTGTCACTCTCTTCATTTATTCATAGAGAAATCCTGAAACTTGACGTATCCCACTCCTAAAGCAATTCAAAGACTGGCACAAGTGTGCTACTTCTATTTGTGAGAGAAGTGCAACACGCTCTCAGAACAAATGATTCTTTTCCCCTCACAGGCTCATAATGGCAATCTCATTTTCCAAATGTGGATTTATGCACAATCTGCTTAAAAGCAAGGGTGGCATCGCCTGACTCAGGGCATTCAGTCTGGAGAAGTATTTAAAAAAACATTAAAGAAGGAATCCCCCCAAAAGAAACTGTGGGGCATGATGAGAATTAGGAGAAAATGAAATAAGAGTGTATTCAAGAGTGGGTGTCTGAACACAAACACCCCACACACAGTACAACATTCTGTAGCGGTTGTGCTAAGAACATAGGAGTTGTTGCACTGATATAAGGATACCAAGAACGTACACACCCTCCCCCTTAAGAAATCTAATCAATTCTGTTTAATATAAAAGAAAAATAAACTCAGGTTTTTGTTTTTTTTTTAAAAAGGCTTCACAAAACATCCAATTCCAAACTCATATTTACGTGGCCCACTTACCAAATATGGAGCTTTGTCTGGAGCTGGCACCTTTCGCCAAAGCTTCATGATCTGCTTGCAACGGCTAGACCAGTCTGGAGGCAGAACAACAACAATAAAATGGAAATGCAATGGAAACACTCATATGCCAAGGCCAGTTAATTTTGTCCAGGGATTCTACAAAAACATTTTATCATAAAGCCAGCGTAGGAGTCTACTTAGGGAAAGGTTCACTGTATTCCACCTGGCGACAGAATTCTATTCTTATTGCAACACATCTGCCTAGTCTCCCAGTCAGTACCTCCATGATCTCTGCTTATTCCACCCATGTATTTTTAAACAGCTTTGTTAAACGCATTTCAGAAAACAAAAACAGCCAACCCTTTTTTGTTCACCCAAGAATATTACAGGATACAGCGTCGCCTAGTATCCCTCATCATTGGCCATACTCAGCAACATCTGGAGAACAGTAGATTCTGTATCCTACCACAGGCAGATATTAGACTACGCTAATTTTTCTCAATCAGTGGCTTCTAGATGTGTTGGGGTTTTAACTACCGTAATGGTATTAAAGCTGAACCTATCTGGAAAGCAACAGACGAGAGGAGAGTGCATAAGAAAATACAATGCAAAAGACAAATCGGGGTTTAGAACCACTATCTCTTAGGAGCAATCATAAAGGTAACACAAGGCTTCAGATGTGAGTCAAACAATAGAATTTGCTTCACGGGTTATGAGAAGCACTAGCATTGTGCATGAAATGGGAAATCTCTTGTCTGGAAACTGGAAATAGATTTTGCATCAACTGAAATCCAGAACACTTTGGTTATTTCAGACTTCAGGAAAAAAAATCTGAACAAATCCAGTAGGTCTAGATTGCTGCACGTCACCCCGCTGCTGCCCATTCCACCACTCCAGGTCTGCCTGCCGTTATTGAGCATTCTTGTGCCCTCCCTCAGCTGCTACCACCAATATCCCAGAACACCATATCCCACAGGCCTACCCTCCTTCATCTTCTCAGCATGTTTCCTATCCTCCTTCCCTACCCTCTGCACAACCGTCAATGTCCAAGGCTTCTTCCCAACCTTCACTGCTCCAACAATTTCTGAAAAAAAATATCCATTACCAGCTCTTCTGAGCACATTGCTACAAGTAACCATGGACAACTCCTAGGACTGGCTTTTCAATCACCTGGATAAAACTAAGATGGAACCCCGTCTGGACGTTCTCTTTCGTAAAGAACCACATTGCAGAGACCTCAGTATTTATGAAAAATATTCCAAGACAAAACACCATCGTTAATTCTAAAGTCGCTCACAGATCATCTCCTAGAGAACTGCTCAATGGAAAGCATACAGACAGTAACTGGGAAAGTGAGGTGGGTCATTTGGAAACAAATTTGGGATATGGTGAACTGGGCAGAGATTTATTTTTCATCTAGTATTATCATCACATAAAACTGGTTCAATCAAGGATTTCTTGAGTGGCAACATTAATAGTTCCATATATATTCTAGGACAGGGTGGTCAAACTCAATTTTGTTGAGGGATGCATCAAGGTTGTGTTTGACAATGAGAGGCATGGAGGCAGGGATGAGGGCAGGGCCAGCTCGATGTCATTAGTGTCGGGGGTGCTGACGTTGGCCTGAGCGCTCTGTCAGCAAAAATGGGTTCCTGAGCTCTGTTTTCTGCTTTGACGGCCTCCTCCAAACTTCTACCAGTGAAAACAGAGCTCGGGAGAGCCACATACAACCCTCCTGAGCTCCATTTTCACTGGCAGAGACACCACAGGCTGGTCCTTTACTGCTTCGAGGGTGGCTCCACGGGCCAGATCTAAGCACCCCGTGGGCCGGATCTGGCCCGCAGACCTTGTGTTTGACACCCCTGTTCTAGGAGAACACAGAGCTTAAGGACAGCTGATCCAAACTAACAAATGTAGAGCTGTGGCTGGTCAGGAATTCTGGGAGTTCAAGTCCACAGGTTGTAAATGGGACATAGTTGCCCACCCCTGTGCCATAATAACAAAACTAAATGGAATTTACTAGCCTTTGGCAACAGCGGGTCACACAATGATAATACACAACAATAATACCAACAAAGGAAGCAGAGGACTCCCAAAGTCAGGGTACGGGTTGTAATGCACTTAGATTTATTTGATCCTAGCAGCATTACTTGGATTCTTTGAATCACACAATCTTTGATTTCTTGAAGAAGATGATTGGGATCCTTGAGCTGTTGACTTTGACTTCTGTTGCGTAGCAGGCCCACAGCAAAAGGGAAGCCTATCGTTTCTGTCTCCACAGATCTGACTGAGAGGTCATTAAAAGGACCTCAAGCACAAAGGAAGAAAGGAGGGAAAGGTAAGTAAATAACCTGGGTAATCCTGCTTCAGGCTGGGGAAATTCATGTTGGCATAGAGGACAGGTGAGATGGTGGAAAGCTCTCCCAATTCCTCGTCCTTCTCCCAACGTTGCAGGCTCCGCTGGTTATATGAGAGTCCATCACTCTCCCCCTCTGTGGTGGGTGTAGTTGGTGTGGAAGCTGCAGAGCTGCTGGCCCAAGGACTCTCTGGTTCACACTGCTCAGGGCTGAAGAAGCCACTCCTCTCCCTACACGGCGGTGAGGGAAGACAGGAGAACACATTAACAGGAGGATATAATGGAGGTATTGTCAAGGAAGGGGCTGGGCTGAACCCAGAGATCATGCTGTACACGTAGTGACTTACTTATTATCAAGGAACGGGGACTGGCAAACTCCAGAGTAAGTCTCCATGGGTATGGCAGGCTGCAGGGGCCCAAGAGATGTACCACCACCTATAAATGAGTCAAGGCATTGCAGAGATTGAATCAAAAAGAGCTCACACACAAAGCACCATCCAAATATTCTGGCAAACATCACCAAAAGCAAGAAGGTGTGAGCTTAAGCAGGTGAGGTCTGAAGTAATCTTAAAAATTAAACTTTAAAAGTTAACGGAGCAAGGGTAAAAGAATACATAAATATGTACTATGTACAAAATAGATAATGGCTGTTGGGTTGTTGTTTTTGCTTTGGCCTTTATTATGGGGGAAGTATATTTATTCGGCTAACTGTCCCGGTGAGCATTTATCAACCAGTATTCATGCACATTCATTTTCTAACTGAGTTCTAGCCACAAGAGACTTCGCCACGATCTAATCCAGACACAAGCACACTTTTAACTGTAGAAAACCTAAAATATCGCAAGCAGGTAAGATGTGTAATACCCCATCTCAGTATTCACAGCTCACCTTGAAGAAAAGGCCTCTGGGCAAGCTGGGAGCAGTTTGGATCACGCATGCCTCTGGCCTCAGCATCCACCCCAACAGAATTAAGCTGCTGCTCTCGTTCAGTAGAACCCAGGACATCTTTGAAGAGCTGCTGAACATCCTTGCTCTCCATTTTCGGCAACTCTGTTAAAAAGCGGGGAAAGTCATAGTGAAATCACAAGGCAGGGAAGTTCATTTGGAGCAAGCTCAGTAATGCAGGGAATCTGAGAGTCTCCAATAAACAGCAGGCTGAATTACAAGGGAAGTGAGACATGGATGGGGAATGAGGAGAGCAAAAAACAAGAAACATGGGAAACGAGAGCACCTAAGACCGATTTTAAGCCTTTCGCTAGCAGTCGGAAGGGAAGCCAGGAGGGAAACCTAGCTTTCCTTCTCTGCTGCTCTCCACGGAGCAGACACTTGGCAGGGGGATGGGGACAGTAGGGTCTGTCCAAAGACCCGCCTGACCTTCAGTGGGGATTTTGTCAAGGTCGGAGCTGAGCACCCCCTCCCCCGGGGGTGTGGCTGGGTTCTCGGCACCTGTAGGTTCTGGAGAGGTCTTGGGCACCATCTGCTCTTCTGTCCCTGTAGAGAGCAAGCATACCATGTCAATCAGCACACGGCATTACTTACAGTACGAAGTGGCCAGACTGTGGGGAAGAGGTATAACCTCTGTATCTTGCAAGGGTGGCTTACTCCTTAAGATGAAAGGTCAAGCCCCCTAGCTGGCTGCATTCTTATGGAAACAAAGTCAGTTTGTCGAAGAGGCGTATCCCAAATCTCCTATAACTAGGTATTTAGAAAGCAAGAATGAATGAATGACTCTGGGCATCTAGAAAGCCAGCCAGGGTCACTTTGGATGTGGAAATAGGCAGCATGTAAATTTAATAAATAAATAAAAATTGCTCTAGATTTAAAAAAAATACTACAGTAAATATCTATGGAGATTCTCAGTCATCCAGGTCATGGTTGTCCCAAAGGTGCTTTTTCAAGAGGCAAAGCTGGACTTTCTGGTTTTTCTTTGAAGATGTTTCAGTTCTCATCCAAGAAGCTTCCTCAGCTCTGACTGGATGCTGGGGAATGGAAGGATTTATATTCCTTGCTAACAGCTGGTCATTTGCATTCTTTTAGAGCATCGTTAAGGCCCCTTGGAGGTTTGTCTGTATCCTCAGGGTCACCCAAGTAGAACAAATGGGTGTGGAGTCTTCTTGGACTGTGTTGTAGACTGGAAATACAGTAGATCATGTCGTATCCCTCCCCCTCTGTTTGAAGATAGCAAAGCCCACATTTTGGACAGAGAGGACCACTAGTTTGAAAGAGGGATCAAAGAAGCCATCTGTGTCAAAATTGAATGGCCTTCAATCAACCGAGGGATACGACTTCATCTATCTCCAGTCTATCTCCAATCTATAACACAATCCTTTCAACAGTTCCAAGAAGGCTCCACACCCATTTGCTCTACTCAGGTGACCCTGATGACACAGATAAACATCCAAGATAAACCTCTCTAAAACAGGGCTGTCAAACTCCCGGCCCAAAGGCATCACACACTGGCCATGCCCATGCCCAGTTTAGCGAAGGGGAAAAAATGTCTGGATACATCACATGACGCTGCCGTGACGACATGAATTTGACACACCTGCTCTAAAAGAATGCAAATGACCAAGCAAGGTCTACAAATCCTTCCATTCTCCACCATTCAGTCAGAGCTGAAAAAGCTTCTTCGATGAGAAGAGAGATGTCTTCAAAGAAAAACCAGTTTTCTCTTTTCCAGTTGCCTCTTGAAAAAAGCACCTTTGGTACTAGGGTACCAAATGTCAGGTATCCTAAATTGGGGCCTACACCAGGTATTGTGTTTGCATGTCTTTTTTTTTTCTTTTTCCCTCAGCTGAACATTCTGTTCAATGGAACTTGAAAGGCATCTATATGTCTTCGCTGTGGAGGCAAGACACAGACTGAGTTAAAGAACAGGGACCAGTGACTGTAATGACAAGGAATGCTTTTTGCCACCTTGACTCAGAAGGCTGGTTATGGGAGTTAGCTGAACTACAGTTCTGTGCACTGACCAGACTTAAATTGTAAATCTTGATGCCTGCTTCATATGCCGCCATGGACTGCTTTGATGCTCACTCTAGTTACTGTAGATCGGGGACCCCAACCCCGCTGGTCCTTGGACTGGCACCGATTGGTAACATGCCAGCGACCAGGCCGCGCAAACAAGCCAAGCCCCATTTGCAGGATGCATGCAGCAACAAAACCAAGACCCCTCAAGTCCATGGAAAAACTTTTCTCCACAGAACCAGTCCCTGGTGCCCAAAAGGTTTGAGGGGCGCTACTGTAGATAGTGAAAAATGTAACAATAAAGTTCCTATGCTTTATGTTTGGGCACTGCCAACTAACACTATTATCTGAAAAATATACATTGGATGCTGAACTGCCACCGGGAAAAGGTTTAAGGGTTTTGATGGTACCCTAAGGTTCAAGTGATTGTGAATAAGAGCCACTAAGAATACCTCGGAAATAAAACAATACCTCGGAAATAAAACAATACCTCGGAAATAAAACAAGTACTGATCGTTATAATTCAGATACTTGTTGGGGAGAGTTTTTATCTTTCTTAAGCATTTTAGTGTGTTGGCTTATATGGATAATAAGGTTTTATCGTTCAGCTCTGCAGAGATGTTAGGCTTTATCTATCCTTTTAAAAGGAACTAAGAGGGAACACTTAGCATTTCTTGATAAAGTGACACTCATTGTGACCACCTCGTGGCTACCCTCAAAAGCTTCAGTTAAATCTTATTGCACTAGCAGACAAACTGGGAGCCTGCCATTTGATTCCTAAGACTTTGGGACAGAAATGCCAGGAAGGAGCAGCAGCAGTAGCAACAACAAATCCATCTTCTTTCACCTTAGATGTCAAAGAAATCCATTTTATGTTATCTGTCCATTAATGAGAGCCAATGCTACTGCTACAACTAACAAGCACCAACTGTAGGAGCTACAACCGTACGCACAAACTTTCAAGAATCAAGTACGACTACCACAGGTATTGGATTTAAGTAAGACTATAAGCAACTATTCTATGTCCTAAGCATCTTGAGTGCATGTCCATACATTCTATAGTTAGTGGGCTGCAGGCTTTTAAGCTGTAATGTTTGATTGCAAACTAATCTCCAGATTTGACAACTTAGCTTCCATAGAAGAGACTGATTGTGCTTGGGGATAAAACTGGGTTTTGAAAATTCCAGTGGTCTAGATTTGTCCTAACTGACCACCCCCATAATAACCTCTAGCAAGGGATGCTGCATGTGGCACCAGTATGACTAAGATTGGTAATCTAGGTGCCATGTTCTCAGAATTACTAAAAAATGTTATTTGCAAACTCCAATAGATCGAAGTCACGATGCATGGGAATGATCAATACATACAGGTCCATCTACCGATTTCCATAATATAAGAAAGACTGCAATTTAGAATGTAACAGGAATAAAGAGCAGGAAAACAGATCAATTGAAATACAGAGAAAAAAAAGATATGCTATGTTTTTGTGAAATTAGCTGAAAAGGAAAGTAGGTAACAGATCAAAATAAAAGTAATCTGATCCTGAATAGCAGAGCTGATGAAAAAACAAGCAAATTGTGGTTGGATGGATTTAATGAATTCCACAACAAGAGAGAGCTAATACGTTTATAAAGAACAAGCAACAATATGTGACATGGTGTTTAGAAGTAAACCAATTTTAGCTATTTCTTTCTCCTTTCTTATGTCTTCCGGTTTTTCGGCTTACTAATTCTGAATTGATTTTTGTGCGTGTCACATAACTTTCCCAATTCCCCAAAAGAAAGACGTTTGGGTATGTAGCTATAAGAAATTGTGCAGATTAATAGGCAGAAAATATGTTAAAGGCAATAAAAGTAATCACTTCAAATATTCTAGAGCACCATGCTATGCGCATCCTTATTGAAATACATAGGTGGAGTGTTATTCCCCACTCAAAGCGGGGAGATAACCTTCCACCTATGTATTTCAATAAGGATGCGTAGCATGGTGCTCTAGACCCCAAAGCCTCCTATGCAGTTTTAAAAATCCTGATACCCACCAGTATTCTCAGTCTTGGCATCAGCTGCTTTCAAGTTGCTTTCGGGAGCTGCTGCTTCCCTGCTACTAAGGCATTCATCCCCTGGAGATGGGAAGACAAGAAGCTGATCTGTTAGAACAGACAGCTAATGTCCTAATACTGGCTTAAAAAATGGTTCCGGCTTCTGAGGGCCAACTACTTATTTCTGCACAGAACAATTTTCACTTCATAAATTGCCTCCACCTATTAGCCTGAGGACATTTTATTTGGCCAATGCTTCTTCAAAATCAAATGAAAATTTTCTTCTAAATTCCCAAGCAAATGTATTTAGAACATAAACATTTTGCCCTTCCTTCCCTCCCTCAGAATCCAAATCAAAGCCTGATCCCCAAATCCCAGTATTTCTACCTTCTCTAATCCCGCCATTTTCCCTCAGCCTTTCACTTACCTTTGGGCTGAACTGGAGCTGCCTTTCCATCCTCTGGCCCTTTTTGGAGCCTGCTGGAATCCACCTTGGGCCTGGGAGGTCCCTGACCAACAGGAGGATGGGCAGTTCCATCTCCACCCACACCAGCAGCAGCCAACAAAGCCTGTCTGCTCAGGTCTAGGAGTGCTTTCCCAAAAAATGCTTCCTGTCAAAAGAGGTTGAAAGAAAAGGGGGGAAGGGAATATGATAAAGGCCCAGATGAATGAATGAATGAATTTCTGGAAATTCCCTCATTCCAAGTGTCTGGGGGCTATTGCTTTAACTCAGAGAGGTCTCCAAACTTGGCAACTTTAAGACTTGTGGACCAACTCCCAGAATTCTCCAGCCAGCATAGCTGGAATTCTGGGAGTTGAAGTCCACAAGTCTTAAAGTTGCCAAGTTTGGAGACCCCTGCTTTAGCTAACAATATACATAGAATCATAGGGCTGGAAGGGACCCAGGAAATCTAGTTTAACTCCCTACCCAGGGCAGGAGTCTTATATCATCCCAGATAAATGAATAATATCCAATCTTTTCTTTAAAACCTCCAGCGATGGAGTACCCACAACTCTTAAGAGACAGTTAAGAACAATTAATCTATGTTCCATAGATTAATTATTCTCAACTGTCAGGAAATGTCTCCTCAGTTCTAGGTAGGATCTCTCTTTAATGAGCTTGCATCTATTGCTTTGCTGTCCTGACCTGAGGTATTTTGCAGAATAAGTCTCCATCTCTCTCCTCATCTCTATGATTGCCCCCAAGTACCAGAAGACAGCTGCCATGTCACCTCTAAGCCTTCTCTTCATAGGCTAAACATACTTAGCTCTCTTAGCCATAAATCACCAAATTTAGCCTCCAGACCCCTTATCATAGTTGTTGATCTTCTCTGCAGTCTTTCTAGGCCTCAGCATCTTTTTTCTATCATGACAATTAGAACTGGACACAGTATTCGAAGTGTGGCTTCACTAGTGCAGTATAGAGCAATACTATACTAACACTTCACATGATCTTGATTCTATCCCTCTGTGGATGCTGCCCAAGACTGTGTTGGCTTTTTGGGCAGTTTCAGAAGTGGTGATCCACCAAGACACCTAGATCCCTTTCCCAGGCACTACTGTCAAGTTAGGTACTGCCTATCCTGCACCTGTGGATCTGTTTTTTTCCTGCCATGTGCCAAGCTATCCAAACCCCCACAGATTTCCTTTTTAAAAAGTCCATACAGAGATCTTTACTTGCAACAGCATCATTGTTTCTTCCACCTTTACCCATGAGATCCACATCCCTTTTCTCTGTCCTTCCTCACAGCTACTAAAACAAGAGCTGGGCTCAAAGAAACTTGGTAAATCTTTGCCCAGAGACATTTATTTCTCATTAAGCTAGCCCTCTCCTGGGCTTCTTTTTTTTCTCAGGTGCATGGGATTAAAACTCACATTATTCACAGCTAACCAAGCATTTGGATGATGGGATTCTGTATCCCAACAGAGCTGGAAGGTTGAGGAGCACGACACTAAAACACTCTTACCTGAAGATAGGCAGGGAACATGTCTTCTAGCTTGCTCTTCTTCCGCCCCCGCCGTTTCTTCTTTTCATCAGCTTCAACCACTCCCTGTTCAGCCAAGGTCTCAGCAGGGTTTTCAGCAGCTGGGTTAGGTTGCACCCCTGATAAAGAGAGAAGACTGAATGTACCACGGCCCTATATGAACCAACCAAGCCTAGGAATGCTAAGGACGTTTGCTGACTTTGCTGCAGTAACTTTCGGGGTGAGCAGCAAGTTAGGAAAGGAAAGGAGAAAAGAGGACGTGCGTAGGCCACTGATGACTATTGCTCCTTAATAATCTTTCTCCCAGCAGCAAATTCTGGGGGAAAGAAACCCCATCCATCAAGACCAAAATTCATAGATGATAAACATTCAGCCCAACAACATCTGGAGGGCCAAAGAGTCCCTACTCCTGCCTTAGATTCCATCATCTATTTTTCTTCTAAGTGTTGACCTCTCTCTCTCTCTCTCTCTCTCTCTCTCTCTCTCTCCCTCCCTCCCTCCCTCCCATTCCAAATTTGAGAATGCGGGTCTGTAAGTTAGAATATGCACTGCAATTTAAAGCAAACACTTTAAACTTTAAAAAGAACACTGATGTATATGACCCAGCCAGCAAACTGAGGCATGAGGTCCTTGGTGCTCTCTAAGCCTCATTCTTTGTACTTGCAGGTGTTTCATTACCCAACTAGGTAACATCATCAGTCCTAAAAGGCCCTTGCTAGAAAAGACTCCACAATTCAATCCTGAACTACAAATATTACCTTCTCCTGAATCTGAGGAGTGGCAATCCTCCTCCTTTAAAAAAGAAGATTGTGGCTATGAAGGGAATTTTTACAGCCTTCCCAGACTTGCACCCTCCAATGACTGAGGACTGGAGGATGCCATGTTGGTGAGTTTGTTCTCGGTTAGAAGGAAATCCCTCACACATTTATTCAAACTGTTTGGATGAAGCAAGGGAGAAGTACAACTACAGGTAAGTAGCACTTACCTTCTTCCGGTTGCCCTTCCGTAGTTGTCAGCTCCCGAGAGACTTCGGCCAAGACTACTGAGCCCTTTTTCAAGCGCGTGTGTGATTTCCGCTGTCGCACCATGAAACCTCCAATACCTATCCCACGGCAAAGGAAAAACAAGCTGAGAGCTAGAAAATGGATCGGTGTGGGAAGAATACAGGCTCTTTGGTGCTTGGCCAAAGGGGGAGGACTTACCCGGGCGATAGGGCTTCCTTTTCCGCTTCTTGACCTCCTCAGAATCTTCCAGAAGGCCTTTTCCCGCTTCGGCCTCGGCTGCAGCTTCCCTCTCTGGAGTAGGCGGGGCTTCCAGTTTGATTTCACACTCCATGTGCTCAACGCTGACTGCAATGGGAGCAAAAACAAAAACACATTCAAAGTCTCCCATTTATATGGAAAGGTATACAGTTTGTGTAAAAAAACAAAACAAAACACCCACATAATTTACATACAGGTAGTCCTCAGTTTATGACCACTCCGTCAGTGTTCATTATGACAGCACTAAACGAGGGATGGTTAGGACTCTTCCACAAAGTTCGGACCATCCCAGTCCCACCAGTGATATAATCACGATCTTGCTGCTGGGCAACCAGCTTGCACTTATGACGCTGTGGCAACCTATGGTTACAGGATCGCAATTTGCAACCTTCCCCGTCAGATTCCCTCAAGCAAAGTCAGTGGAAAAGCAGGCACGGAAGGTTGCAAGTTGCTTGGGTAAGTCTTCCCCCTCTCCCCCTCCCCACAGCCCTTCCGTGCTCGTGACAGACCGCACCAGCCACCTGCACATCCTGGTACAGAATTGTCCCTTACACACGAGGTCTGCTGAATGTCAGCCTGCAAAATGAAGTTTTACTGTAATGGAGTATGCATATGCACTCAGAGCTAATTTGGGGATGGGGGGGTTAGGTGTAGGGTTGGGGGTCCCAGTTTTCCCTCTACCACAAATCCATTAGGATTAAAACGGTAACTGTAACAATCCTTAATCAAGAAATCAGATGGTGTTTGGAAACAAATCAACTTATCCTAGAGTCCTAAAGTTGAGGCCATACAACTGTAGGGCAGGGGTGTCAAACTCAATTTCATTGAGGGCCGCATCAGGGTTGTGTTTGACCTCGGGGGGATGAGTGGGCACGGCTGGGGTGGGTGTAGTCAAAGTAGGCGTGGCCAACTCGACGTCCTGCAGCTGTCTGCCAATGAAAACGGAGCCCAGGAGGGCTGGCAAGAGGCTCCGCAGGCCGTCCTTTGCTGTTTACAGGGCGGCCCTGCAGGCCAGATCTAAGCACCCCATAGGCCCGCGGGCCTTGAGTTTGACACCCCTGCTTGTAGGCCATCTAGCCCAAACCCTTGCTCAGGGTCAGGAATCCAAATTAAAGCATCATCCTGGACAAATGCCTATCCAGCTTCTGCTTGAAATAACAAGCCCCAAGCTCACTACTCAGAATTAACCGCTTGGGGAAAAAAAATCTTTCTCCATAGTACAAAAAGAAAAGAAAAACAAGTTTTTCTAGTTTGCAACCATCCAACTGCATCCTAGCTTCTACTGCCTCGCAGAGTCAGATGACTAGACTAACAGGGTCTGATTTCAAGAATTCAAGTATGAAGCTGTGGCACGTAATCTCGATCGGTATTATATTACAGAGACAATGGGGCTATTCTCCTACTTTCTCAAGGAACCAGTGGGACAAACACGAACCTTCAGCTTTCAGGATCTCATCCGCCTCCACATCCCCGTCCTTTTTTTCATCTGCACCCAGAGAGCCAATGCAATCCATTCCACCTTCACCATTAAGAACGCCTGGCCGTGGCATCATTGGTGTCATCGGTGTGGTTTTGCGCGGCCGACGCTTGTGCAGTGGTGACAAAGACAGGTTCCGTAGCACGGCCATGCCTGTCTCTGTTAACCAAACACCTTCAAAACGAAAATATTGGGGCTCTGCACGGACAGGATAAAAGAAAAGCTTGCTTGTACCTACCTGACTGCAAAGTAGATACATGCAATTGAAGGGATTTAAATTGAAGCAAATTACCTGGTTCCTTGATCTTCACTGGGATAATTTCTGGAGGGGGAACTGGAACTTGGAAGAAAGCAAAAGGTAAATCATTGCTGGGGGCAGTTAGTCAATTTATTAATATGACTTGTGTCCCTCTAGAGCAGGGGTGGGGAACTATGGCTCTTTTATGACTTGTGGACTTCAACTCCCAGAATTCCTCAACCAGCTATGCATTCTGGGGGTTGAAGTCCACAAGGTCCATAAAAGGGTCATAGCCTCTGTCCTAGATAAATGTAATAAACTCAGACATCCCATTTTAAATAATTTAAGAGCAAACCTCATACCCAGCCTCTCCCCTGTTCTGCTGCCACACACTATTCTCTATCAGTAACTCCCAACCACATTCTATTCCTTTCCGACTACAGCAGCTTCAGTGTTGCAGCTTCAGCCCTATTATACCTGTGTTTTTATTCAATGCACGCCCTGCAAACGGTCTCCCCAAATAATATTGCTGAAGCCATCATGTAACCATGATCTACTTTTTTCCTTCCTGTGCTCCAATCTCTTCAAGCCAGTTATCTAGAGCAGGGGTCTCCCGCCGTGGCAACTTTAACTTAAAAGTTGGCAAGGTTGGAGACCCCTGATCTAGAGGACATCAGTAGTCCTTACTCCTGCATCTGAAACATCTGGCTTAAAAAAGACTTTGCAGAAGGGACAGTAGCCGGCGATCACCTAGATGGGGTTACACTGCACACGAAATAGATCCATTCTGCCAACTCTAAGAAGCAAAGTCTCTGTCTTAGGATGGCTCCAGGTTTGAGAGAACTTTAATAAACCATCCTCTCAAAATGGTCCATGGTGGGCTTAGCTGGTGGTAGAGATGGTGACAGCTGTGAGCACATCGGGCAGCTGCTTCTAGCAGCAATGTTCTTAATTTCTTGCAAATATTTCAAAAATATCTATTTATATTATAGGAACCATTCCTGGATTCAGCCTCCAGGCAGTCTTCAAAGTACAACAACAACAACAAAAACACAGCCAAGGCAAGGATCTGTATAGGTTTGCCAGAATGTCAGTACACAAGCATTTTAAAAAGGATGTTACAGAGGTCTCATCTCCCAGTCCTCTGTCCGACAGATGCTGCCTTCCCTTTGGAAAAAAGGAAGGCTCAAAAGGTTCACACCCGTTGCAGTACTCACCAACAGGCTTGACTACATATGGCTGGCATGAACTGCAATCAAACCCCTCATCTGCAGCCTGTTCTACTTCTTCCTCGCTGAAAAGGTTGTCACAGACAGCATGCATCCACCTGAGAAAGACAGAGAGCAGTAGCACCCACACTCCTGTTTTTGTGGATGCTGCTGATGTTAAATGCCAAACGTAGGTGCTGCTCTTGCCTTCAATTTTGTCCTTCTATAGCAGTTAGACTGTTCCTACAATTATCTTTTTGAAAGTACAAGGTAAAAAGGAAAGGGCAAAGGGAAGCACACATATGCACTTCAAGCACCCTAGTACATTTTAAGAGAAAAGGGAGGAAGCGAAAACGTTTGGACCATTGCTGCCAGTCCACACACTGCCACTCACATCTTTCATTATTCAGGTTAGTTCTCGCTCTGTTCTCCGAGAAGAACACTAAGTCCTCAAAGGACAAACCTGTGAAGGAAATGTTCTGCACCTTTCCCAGGATGACCTTGACCACTGCCAGACAGGGGAACACTACGAAGGGATTAGAATTAATCCAGAATTAGGCGCCATGTCAGGACACATCATACCATGAAATAAACCCTAGTATTAGAAGTTGTCCTCAAGAGAAGAGAGGCAGCCAGGGAGAACCGAATCATTAAGTGTGATGAATGATGATCAAACGACCATGGGACCCTGTAATGGCTGTAACTTTGGGAACTGGTCATAATTAGTATATTAGTGAAGAGCTATAGATCTGTCTTCCCTTTATTGGCAATTCTTCTGGTGTGGTGGATTTTAGCTCCTATTATCCCTAAGCCAGGATGGAACTCCAATGTATCTTATCTATTGGACAACAGCAATTGGACATATACCTCCTCACAGTGCTTTTACAGCCCTCTCTAAGCGGTTTTACAGAGTCAGCATGTTCCCCCCAACAATCTGGGTCCTCCTTTTACCAACCTCGGAAGGGTGGAAGGCTGAGTTAACTCTGAGCCTGTCAGGATCGAACTCCTGGAGTAAGCAGTGAGTTAGCCTGCAGTACTGCATTCATTCTAGCCACTGCACCAACATGGCTCTTATATCAACCTTGCTCACATAAATGCCACATACTGAACTTTCTAGAGGGTATTTCTCTTCCTTCTGATTTTCATGGCTTCAATACCCCCCTCTCACTTGTGTCACTCGCCGATGTAATAATGCCAGCAAGAATTTGTCATGAAAAATGAAAAAGAAATAAAGAAAATTCTAGGCTACATTAGCATCCTTGAACTTTATCCTTTTGCAAGTTGAAATGTCCACGAGTATAGCAATAAACAAACTACCCTAAAAAGATGTTCCAGGAAACAAAACAGGTGCTGGGATCCAAAAGTATTTCCATAAATGTAATACCACAATAAAATGGGAATACCAGGTGGGTCAAGGGATTGGGGCTTACCGTTCACAATGCTGACACTGGATTAGGAGGTCATCCTCAACGTACTTCACATGGCAGATGGGACAAATGACAAGACTAGCACAGGGGGCACAGTGGGTATAATTGCTCTGCCATTCACAGTGGAAGCCAGGTGAAACTGCTCCACACTGCACACAGCACACGCACCTGATAAGAGAGAGATGGACAAACGATTACTACTGCCTATAAGATTCAACTTATTTCCCTCCTCATCTCTAAGAGCAGAAAGCCAGAAATACTTTAAAGTGACAAAAAGAGCTCAGGAATTTTTTCTTCTACATTCAGCATTCTATAGGTGCATGTCTTCCAATTCTATTGGATGGGAATTGCCAGTCAGTACATTTCGTAATTGTGAGAGTGGGGATGTCTAAGAGTTGTAATTGCAGAATATCTGGAGGGCATTACATTGTGGAAATCTGATTTTTCATTATACTTTGCCACTACAAATTGTGCAACTATATAAGTGTATCAGAATGGTTTTTAAAAAATGGCCCTAGTAAATAAATAATGCATGCAGGCAATATCCTGTTTTTAGAATATTGGGGGCATGTTATTGGAATACATATGATATTACTTTATTATGCAATTTGAAACATCTGATTTTATGTATAGCTGAAAATATACTTAACCAGGAGTTAGGTACATTTTCAGTTAACCTAACCAGAATTCCTAATGATTCTTGCTGATGATACTTAATTTCCACTTTATTTGCAGCAAAATGCATCAGATGAATTTGCCTATCGGGTTAATGAAATACTATTAAAGCATGATTCATTAAATAACCTGAAGCGTTGTTCTTACATATACTAGGGCTGAAACCCATGGATTGTGCTAAGCCAACAATCCAAACAAATCCTATGATGGGTTAACATACAGCGTGATCTGCCCTTCGTAGCACCCTAGAGAAATTTTGATCTGCCTCTCACCATTTACATTTCCAGCCGCCCTTGGGCACAGTGTTGAGAGGTGGATCCAGGCAATATGTATGGTAGCTGATGTCACAATCATCGCAGAGCAGAAGGCGGGAGGGATCAGATGCTTTGCCACACACCTCGCACACAATGCATTCCACACAACGCCAACCCTTGAGCAACATCACCTTTGTAATCTTAACACAGAAAGAGAGGCAGACATGGGGAAAGGAGAGGTCATCGTGAGAGAAGTTATTGAGAACATGCCGTGTTGCTTTACTGGGACCCAAGGCATATGGACTGCAGAACATCTGGCAATCCTTGGTGTCGGTGGCTCTCAGCCTTGCCTGCTAATTGTAAGACAAATGATCTATCATCCCGTGAGTGTTGGTGAGGGAAAGTGCAATACAGTAACAACGGGATGGGAAGTTTGGGACTCACCGCTTGTAAATTTGTTGTGTGGCTATTCTCCCATAGGCTTCACTACACTATAGATAAGCACAGATAAGCTCTTGAAGCTTGCTAACTGTGCAAGACAATAGAAAACAGGGCAAAAAAAAAACCTATTTATGTTTATTTATAAATTTAATTTGCCACCCATATTACCATAGGGTAACTCAGGATAATTTTATCCTATAGAAATGGATTTTTCTTTAAAAAAAGTTATTTCCTAATCAATTCCAATGACACAATAGATCGTTCAAATCTAATGGGACTTCCACAGGCCAGGATATGTGACAGGTGCCCAGAGTTTTCTTCTTTTTTAAAAAAAGAAATTATCCCCATCCCAATGTGGGATTGCTTAGTGCTTTCTGAGCTTGGTGCTGATGATGTTACTTAATGTGATACTGAAAGGAAAGCAAAACAACCAGGCTCAGAGGGTCTCAAGGACCCCACAGTTCAATCCTGAGCTACAAATATTATCTTCTATTGGTTACCCAACTCAATCTTTCCTGTACAGTATTAATTCTCTCCAAACACACCAATCCCCAAACCCACGAGAAACCAAATGATAACTACCACACCTCAAAAGTGGAATCCTATTTTTCAAAACTTCCCTCCTCTGATGTCCTCCAGACTGCTGGATTCTAATCCTCATCCTTGGTTTGCCACGTCAGTTATGGAAGAAGGGTACTGTAGTCCACAATATATTTAGACAGACTGGCAAATCTAATTGGACTGCCTAACTAGGGATGTGTTGGGCAGCATCTGAAGCTGCTTTTTAAATTTTGGGGAAGAAGAGCAGCTAAAATCAGGTCTTACCTTGCTGTTTACACAATAAGGATGGTAACACTGAGAACATTGAGAACAAGCCAGGAGATGGCCCTCTGCACCACGGCCAAAACTACCACACACTACGCACATGTCCTGTCCGGGAAAGAAGAAAAATCACGATGAGAACAATCAGGTTTCTCCAAGCCTAGGGAAAGCTCCTACATATCTACCCTTACTTTTCTGCTATTCTGCCTACTCTATTTATGGTAGGTAGGTTATTACCACCCCTTCCCATAAACACACTGATAGTTGGCTGTAAAAAGCTGGTGCTGCATAGCAACCTGGCTTTTAACTGATTAAATCACAATTTCCAAGTGTATAACATATCTCAACTGGATAACTCTGATTTCAGAGTAGTAAGTGAAAGCTGCCATTTGCCACTAGAATACAAAAGCTTGTTTCCTAACAAAGCAGATCGCCTCAAAATGGAACACGTGCCCAAGCAATTATAAAGTGACAAACTGAGTATGTCTCAATGATTTTGAAGGCTATCAGAACTATGCGCAATCTTAAGTTTAAAAAGAACGATACTGACTTCAGTTGGGTGCTATCAGTCAGCTACAGGATGTCTTATATGAAACAGACAGAGCCTCATCCTGCAGGGCAGCATCTTTCCTCTTTAAAGCAGAGAGAATGTTCTGGAGCTTTGCATAGTATAAGGCAGGGATGTCAAATTCAAGGTCCGTGGGCTGGATCCGGCCTGAGGGGTGCTTAAATCTGGCCTGCAGGGCAGCCCTGGAACCAGCGGAGGCCAGACCTATGGTGCCTCTTCCAACGAAAACGGCCCTCCTGAGGTCCATTTTCGCTGGCAGAGGGTTGCAGGAGGCCGTCGCAGCTGAACAGGGAGCTCATGAGGGCCCATTTTTGCTGGCAGAGTCCTCGGGCCACCACAGGTGCCCCCGACATGACTGATGTTGAGCTGGCCACGCCCCCCTGCCCTCCCCCAAACACACCCGAGGTCAAACACAACTCTGAGGCGGCCCTCAATGAAATTGAGTTTGACACCTCTGATATAAGGTTTACATTTTTAAAAAATGCATTTCTTTGAGCCCTCTTACGCATCCTACACGTACAAATGAAAGACATCAATCTTTCCTTCCACCGATGTAATTAACTCAATTGGAAACCAACTGAAGTTAGCTGACCCACCTGCATTAGCACAAACTTGTCTGTATTGGAGAAGAGCACCACTGTGTTTTGCATTGTGTCATCGTCGTCATCTTCCTCCTCTTTGCTTGGGGAGCTGTCAATATCGGCCAGCTTGTAGAAGAGAGTGCAGAAGCACAAAGTAAGGGTTGAAAGGCATTTAGAACACGCGTGCAAAAAGTGTGGCCTGCATCCCACTTCCAGAACAGGAAGGGGGCCATTTTTTTTCAGGTTTTTTTTCTTTTGCCCATAATGGAACTGATCAAGATGGGGTTTGAGGTACCCATTTTATCCCTTAAGATTCACGTAAGACATTGCTCCCAAAATGCACTGCATTTCGGGAATGTGTCCCTAGGCATGCTGGACAGAACCTGCGGTGGCCTTCAGCTGACAGAACTTATGCACTGTTGGGACTCCTCCCCAAGATGGCTGCTGAAGAGCGAGAGACTTTCTTTTTCTCTTATTCACCCTCTGCTGTGTTTGCTGCCAGAGCTGGTCCTTTGGCAGTCTTGCCCCCCTGGATTTGAATGGGGGCACTTAGGAATGACCCAAAACTTAGGAAGAACTTATGCGCTGCTATTTTACTAAGCATTCCCAGCTGAGGGCACATGGGACAGGTAGCTTCAGCCTGCTCATGATGCACCTGAGTCCTGTCCATACTACAGAAGAGGAGGCTGACCAACTCCTCAAACTATCTGTCTTCTTCTCTCTCAATAACAGTGAAAGATGCCTTGGTAGGATGTCCCTGTTCCCAAACCTACCCTTGAAAGAGCACAAGAGAAAGGCAATTTCAACATAGACCTTCTCCACCTCCTTACAATGCACTGCTCCAAAAGGAGAGAAATCCTATTGTAGCTAGAAGACAACCGTCCAACCGAGGAGGAATCCCCTAGAAAACCCATTTAAAATAAGGGAGACAAGAAAACTCAGACCACTGGCTCCAGCAGGAAGGACTACAGGACCAGTCAACTGTAGGCAGACCGATAATGCTTTGCTACCTGCCTCTCTGTCTGAGCCATACAAAGAATTAAAATGGAGGCCCTCACAGCTCCTCTTTGACTTACAACCTTTCATTTCCTGATTGTTTGAAGACACAGCGGCACTGAAAAAGGTGACTTTAGGCCCATTTTTCATACTTGCAACCGTTGCAGCATCCCCATGGTCATGTGACCAAATTTTTGGATGTTTGGCAACGGGTTCAATATTTATGATAGCTGCAGTGTCCCTGGGGTCATGCAATCACCTTTTGAGAACTTCTGACAAGCGAAATCAATGGGGGGGAAGCCAGATTCACTTAGCAACCGTGTTACCAACTTAACAACGGAAGTGATTCACTTAACAACCATGGCAAGAAAAGTCATAAAATGGGGCAAGCCTCACTTCACAACTGTCTCACGTTCTGTTGCTTTCTAGCAACAGAAAACTTGGGCTCAATTTTGGTCGTACTTGCTCTCTATGTTAGCTAACCTCCCACTTCTGGGAACCGTAAGGTCTCTTAGACTGGATCCCACTCATCCCATCCGATCCCAGTCCCAAATATTATCCTGCCTTCTAAAAGCTGCCCCTACCGCCAGTGTCTCGATGGAAGAAGTGGTGGATTTCAAACGTGATCGGCCCCGCCCTCGGCCCGTGTGAGACCCTCCCCGAGGCCGTCTCCTCCCAGGAAAACTGCTGCTGCGACCCTATGACCAAAAGAAAAAAAGGGAGGGAGAATAATGGCTGGAGATATAGGGGAGTTATAGACATCCTCTATTTCACCACCCTTCCTCCAGGACTCCCCCTACATGCAGGTGGGGAGGGGGGATTTCAATAGTGTATGAAGGAGACAGCAAACAACATTCAAAATTAGCTGGCTGAAGGCATCTGGTTACCTGCTTGACACGAGAGCGGGCTGGGGAGCTACGCCGTCGTCCCTTCTCACATTCGCCTTTCACATCAAATAGCAGAGAGTCCTCCATTTCCCCCAGAGGCAAAGAGGCTCCGTCCTCCCTCTGCAGACTGACGTCTGTGGAGGTTAAGCCACCCATCTCTAGGGAAAGCGAGCCTCCGCCTTCGTGATACGGGGAGGCGAAGGGGAGCTCTGAGCCTGGGAAACTGCTGGCGCTGGCATCCCCCTGACTCAAGTTTGAAATCTCATTCACAATATCCGACTTCACCAGGTGGTGAGGCCTTGGGGATGGGGATGCTGGCCCTAGTTCCTCCTCTCCGAGAGCCCCTCCTTCAAGTGGGGTGGCAGATCCATAGGCTTCCATTGGAAGGGACGTTCTGTCCAGCAATTCCACCTCTACGGGGGAAGGAGAGCTCTTGGATTCATTGGTAAAGCTGAGGTGAATCTCACTGGGTTCTGGTTCAACGGTGACATGCCCTTCATCTAATGCCTCCTCTTCACTCAGCTGCGGGGAGAATCTCTGTTCGTGTTCTATCTTGGGCTCTGCTGTCGCCTCTACCTCTTCCTCTACCTCTTCCTCCTCCTCTTCCTCCACCTCCTCCTCCTCTTGGTTGGGCTGGATTCTATTCCTGTCAGGGCTGGCAAGGGCCGAGGCTTCCATCTCTGTGTCCATGGGCTCTTCGCTGGGCTCGCCTTCTTCTTCAACGGTTTCTGAAGATTCGCCTTGGAGCACACCAAGCGGAGGAGGACTCCTCGGAGAGGACTCTGCTTCCTGGGCCAAGAGTGCAGATGGAAGGTGACTTTCTGGGGGATCTGGCTCTGCGGGCAGCAATTCAAAGGCAGGATGCTCTTTGGCACCAAGCGGGGGATCCTCCGGGTGAGCAGAAAACACTGGATCTGAGGGATGTTTATAGGAAGAAAGATGAGAGTAAGAGAAGGAACCCCGAGGAGAAAGGAGCCAAACTCACACATGGAAGAAATATAATTTATTTAGAAGATTTTACATGGCCGCCCAGAGTCACTCTCAGCTTACAAACAATAAAAAAACCCAATATGCAAACAATAAAAACAATAACTCCTACGCCCCTGGCAACAACAACAATCGATCAGATAAGCCATCTGATGGGCTCCATCCCACTATGGGTTCCCCCAGGCCCGTAGTAGAACCAGATCTTCAGGACCCCTGTCGAAGAATGTCAAATTGGGGGCCAGTCTAATCTCTGAAGGGGTATGTTCCAAAGGGAGGGAAGCACTATGGAGAAGGCTCTTCTTCTGGGTCCCGCCAGATGTATCTCCTTAGGAGACAAGACCCACAATTTTCCTTGCCTTCTGATTCTATCAGGTCAGGTAGACGGGACTGGGAAAAGATGGGTCTTTCAAGTGACCTGGTTCCAAGCCATGTCGGCTTTAAAGGTGACAACCAGCACCTTGAATCCCACTAACAGAATCAAAACAAGGAACTAAATCTGTCCTCCTCATCTCTAAAATACTGGACTGCAGGGCAGGCCTTTTGTGTTCTAAAATTTAGCGCTGTATCTAAGATAAGCAACTCACCTGGTGGTACTGGGGGAGGGGGTGGAGGGGAGGGGGCTTTTTCAGGCTCTAATGCTGTTTCCACTTCCATTTGCTCCTGCCCTATAGCGGCCTCCAACTCCTCACTGCACAGTTCTAAAGGTCTGTCCGCATCTAGAACAGAAACACGCACTTTGTTTAAAAGAATCTGCACACAGATCAAATCTAATTCCCTGTCCAGCTCTTCACAAAACTGCACTTCAAGGTTTCTTCTGACCTACAACTCCTGGGTAAATGAATGCAGGGTAATGCAGCAACTGTTTCTTGCTCTAGAGTTGTTCCATGATTTCTGAGCCTATTCACACAACAGTTTGGGGCCTGAAGCCACCAAGGCCACAAACAAAAACTATTTTCCAAGTAAGATTTGTATTGGACCTCATGTATAAGTCTGGCACGTGTCATTTGTTTCAGCCTAGCCAACTGCTGTAAAAAGCATGAACATATGATGGCTCTTCTCAGATTCAATATCGCCTACTTCCAAAAGTAGAAAGGTGTTGACTCACCAAGGGGCTGCTGGCCAGTCTCCAGTGGCACTGGTTCTTCTTGTTGCATGCTTACAGGGCTGATGTGACCTTCTACTTGTCCCTGACTGGCCAGATCAACTTCTTCTGCGGGTTGAGGGGAAATCACCTCGTCAGTTGCGGGGATGCTGTTTGCTGGGGGAATATGCCTAAGGTGTTCAAAAGGAAGCATTTGAAATGAATTGTTTGAGGCTAGAAGTTGCATTCACTCTATAAATATTCCATATAATTCTATGAAGCATGCCTTTATAATTACTTCTGTCTTATAGCTTGAGAGGGATGGAGAGTGGTAGCCTAAGGCTACTTCGTAAATATCGTGGTAGAATAATGACTGTTTATAACGCAGCCTTGTAACCTATTGCCAAATTTTCTCTCAACACTGATTTTCTCTCAGTGTCAATTTTTAACAACCACATATAGACTTTTTCCAGCTTGATCTGTCCCGAACCAGGGCCTTCAATTCTTCCTGGTGCACCCCAGTCCAGCCATCATCACTGTAACGGAGCACATCCACTTTGCTATTCGTTGCCATCTTCTTCCCTTTTGTTCCATCTTTTCCAGCATTATGCACTTCTCAAGGGAGCTGCCTAATGTGTCCAAAGTATGATCTCAACAGTCGCATTTGGAGGTCAAGGAAAGCAGAGATTTAGACTCTCCCCATTTGTATTACCGTATTATTTATCGAACGGCATTGGTGATTTGCTCTAACTCTAATATCCAACAAATCTACGTCAATATGAATGGGGGAAACTGAATTTCTGCTCTCCTTGATCTAGTAAAATCTAACATTTCATCTTAAAAGAGCGAAATGTTCCATTCTCCTGAAAGCCCTCCAGTCTAAAATGTCTGAAAACCTGAACTTTATCATCAGTGTCTTTTGTACTCATAAAGCATAAGAAATTCAGTTACAATATGGGAGCTCCTATAACCCAGGGAAGAAAAGTTTGTAAGAGCTTTAAGTTTCCACCAGGGGGAGATACTCTCTCAATTTAATAGTAATCCAGGTGAAAAAACCACTTATAAACTGAAAACATGTCAAAACATAACTTCTGCCAGAAGCATCTGGATGCCCAACTTCATATGGGCCAAAGGAGCCATTATCAGAAGGTTCAGTGTTCCATCACTGCTTACACAGAAGGGTAAAAAATATCCCTTTACAGGATGTTCAAATAGCAGACACCTAATCAACCTTGGCAGAATTGAAGTACATCTCTCTCAGCTGTACAAATAATAGCAATTCTTTCCAGATCAGTTAAGCTTAGGTAATATCTAATGAAATATTTGTGGACAAATATACAAGGAATCACATGTCAGGTTGTCTTTTTATAGGTAGTTGTCCCCACAACATCAGCTGCAAACCCAAAATGACTGGCCATGAATATTAAACTGTATGATGCAACAGTGAGCATGGATCTAAAAATGTAATGTATAAAGTGGGTATATTTGACAGGGAAAAGAGAGCGAATGATTACAAGTTAAAAAATGCAATGTGAAAAGCAAAAACAGACATAACGTTTCTTAAAGATGTGAGGTACCTTATGATGTGTAAATACCGCTAGAACACAGTGGAAATCATTTGGTATGTTGTGAAGAATGTATGTTTGCCAAAAGAACTGAAAATGGTTGGGTGCAAAAGTTATGCGCCTGCTTCCTCTCTTATATATAGTGATGAAAACATAAAAGTATGTTGAATGTTCAGTAGTAGGAATGAAGTGGGCAGTAAAACAGGGCAAGAGATAAGGTCAAGAATAAGGTGGTTAAGAGAATACAGATTAAATACAAAAATCAAATTAAGATACAGGTAGTCCTCAACTTGCAACAGTTCATTCAATGCCCGTTCGAACTTACAATGGCACTGGGAAAAAGTGACGCATGACCATTTTTCACACTGATGACTGTTGCAGCATCCCCATGGTCACGTGATTTACATTTGGATGCTTGACAACCGACTCACCTTTATGACGGTTGCAGTATCCCAAGGTCATGTGATCTTTTTTTGCGACCTTCTGACGAGCAAAGTCAATGGAGAAACCAGATTCACTTAACCGTGTTACTAATTTAAGAACTGCAGTGATTCGGTTAACAAATGTGGCGAGAAAAGTCATAAAATAGGACAACATTCGCTTAACTAATGTCTCACTTAACAACATAAATTTTGGGCTCAATGGTAGTTGTAAGGTTGGAGGACTACCTGTAGTTTTGTCTCATATACAAAGAATGAAAGTATACCAAATTGCAAAGCCAACACATGAAGGAAGAGTGAACGGCTGAGTAGGCGGCTTGGACAGAATTGATGTTGAAAAAGTTGAAAAGTCTTAAGAGGAAACAATCACATATGACATGATGCATGAATGTGGTGAATGCAAGGACAGATGGCCCTGTGGCTTATTATAGGAGGTTTCGAATTTCAGTGCAAACATATCCTGCCATCGCCCTCACCACCAGGAAACAAAGTAAGCCATCCCTGCAGACAACCCATTTAACTGAAGCCAAAGAGATGGAGGGATGAGTTCAGCTGAAGGAACTCACTCCGGACTGTGCTGCGCAGCCTCTGTACTGTTAGCTTTGCTACAGCGCTGCTCACGGCATCCTTCACACAGAGAGTAGTTCTCGTACCACTGAATGCTGGACTCCAATGAGGATGGGCGGAAGCCGCAGTCAGAACAAACACGGCAGCTCTGGAAGAAAGGAGAAATACAGTCATTCTGAATGGGGAAAGAGCATTTATTTTATTTATTTTTATTTGGGTGGAGCGGGGGGGGGCTTTCACAGACAGCCTGATTCCATTGGATTTTCGTAACAGTGTAACTAATAAACTAAGACAGGGTAAGGTGTATTTTGATTGTGCAAGTAAACAGACCCCGCTGAAGCACCAAAAAATAAACGTAGGCCTACTTGGGTGTGTGTGAGTGTGTGGGTGTATCTCTTTTACTTGGGCAATCAATTCCATTTGACTGGATGGGAAAGACTAGCCATAGTACATGGGACTTTTTCTTATATAAGCATTGCAGAATTTGTGTAAATTGATCCCTGGTTAAGTGATATACAGTAGGTTGGGAATTCTAATCTAAAATACTTCAGGTATGCTTATGTGAGGAAACAATTTCCCTAGCCTAATCACGATGAAATGGGCTTCCCTCCCCACAAGCAGAGAGATTAATTTATCTAAATGTTTTCAATCTACGTAATGCAGTAAAAAATTGAGGTTTGCCAAATTTCAAGATCCCAACCATGTAAAGAATTGTAGTCTCACTCTTTGAAAACCGATATACTTTTGAAATGTTTTCTAGAATGCCTCACAGTAAAAGGACAGGAACTTAAATGTTATATAACATTTTTCAACACTTCAACAGGAAAATCAATTCTGCTCAGGCTGAAGATAAGAACACTTAAAGTAAGGAATCACAGCCAAACATGGTATACTGCCTTACATTAAGAAATGATCTGGATTCTGGACAATCTTTTAAACCCAAACCAGGCTGGTCACTGGAACAATCTTTTAGACCATTGAAAATTGTAACATTCACAGCTTGTTTTTATGAAAAGAGAATTTCTGAATGTTTACAGATGATTCTCTTTGTCACTGTAGTAGTATTACTTGAAATCCTGGTGAAACCGACCTATACAACATCCCTTCAGTGTTTTCCTTTATATACATTATCAATCAATCAATTAATCAATCAATTAATTTATATGCACCATCTCACCAAGCCACCCAAATATAATCCATGAAAGCTCCAGCCTTGCATTTACATCTCTCATACCCTTGCAAACTTATCATGAAAAAGAAACTAGAAGGATTTGCTTTACACTTTAAACTAAGCAGAGTTTATCATTGTAATAACTCCAGTTAATTTTAACAATAGGGCATTGTACGAGCCAGGACTGTAATCCATTTTGTTCCTGGCTTCCTTGAATAATTTTTAACCAATATTAAGTAATACCTTCTCTTTCTGAATGGAATCATGAGCTTTATTTACTTAAAACTTGGAAAACAAATGCTACAATCACCTTTTGCAGCCATGTCAGAAAAAAAGGAGGCAGGAAGGAAATGATGGCTTGTTTACACTGAACTATTGTTTAATGTCATATCCAGAACAGGTTCATGACTATAAACATGACAGGAGCTTAAGGACTGTAATTTACATGGAGTGTATTTAGTTAAGGGAGAAATTCATAGCAGTGTAAGAACATGGTTTCTAATCCTTAAGCCAGCAAACACACTGATACATTTTGGGATTCCCTCCAGACAGCCAATGGACAGAAAAAAATGAGAAGCATTGCCACTGATCTCATCAAACACAGATAATCCTTGACTTACAACAATTCATTTAGTGTCCGTTCAAAGTTATAACGGCATTGAAAAAAGTGACTTATGACTTTTTTTCACTTACGACCACTGCAGCATCCCCATGGTCACGTGATCAAAGGTGGGATGCTTGGCAATGGGTTCATATTTAGGAGCGGTTGCAGTGTCCCGGGGTCATGTGATCATCTTTTGTGACTTCTGACCAGCAAAGTCAATGGGGAAGCCAGCTTCACTTAACAAACATGTTATGAACTAAAACTGCAACGATTCACTTAAAAACTGGGGCAAGAAAGTTTGTAAATTGGGGCAAAACTCACTTAACAAATGCCTCACTTAGCAACATAAATCTTGGGCTCAATTGTGGTCATACGCCGAGGACTACCTGTACTTGTCCTGAACAAAATCAGCAAATACGCACATTTCTTTGTCTGACTGGCTGAGGTTGGGAGATTCAAGATTGAGGAGAGAAAGAATCAAGACGTGGTCCCCTCGCATTTTGCTTATCTGCTCAAAGAGACATAGCTTACTTTGCACTTCCAGAAGTCTGTGGGGAGGCTCTCAATAGCAGGTTTCAAGCAGTAGGTGTGGTAGCATTTTTCACAGGCTTCGCACACTAGCATCTTGCTGTCCTCACCAGACAGCCTGAAAGGAAGAGACATCACACATCCCTGTCAAATCAATGGGTCCTCTTCCTCAGTCCTTCCTGAGGTACTCAGCACGTGCCAGGGGCCTTCACACGCACCTGCAGGTTTGGCAAACCTTGCATTCATGACACTGCCAGCCCGAGCGTTTCCGCGGCGTTACCGTGATCTCCAAGCAGGTGCCATGATAGTGCAAGCCACAGCTAGTGCAGAAGAGCAGATCACGAAGCTCCCCTGGAGCATCGCACACCATGCAGCGTGAATCCTCTGGAGAAAGAAAAGAAGTAGAAAAGAAAACCACTAAAGACAAAAAAAAGATACTGAGGTCAATTCCTCTCCTGTTAATCCTAACCCTCTCTTTACAGCTAAACCCAGAAACACCCCATTGACTCCAGACTTCTCTTGTTCTAATCTATTCAAGTGACTTCGATTTGGCACTAGACAATTCAATGGGTAGACCCTGTCACAATCACAGGAGGAAACCATGGCTAAACGCTCAGAAGAGCAAGTGCTCTTGGCACAATCCTGCAAAGACTTACCCATCTGTACAGCCTGATCGAGATGCTCTGGACACAGAAGTTTCAAACTCTTCATGGATTGGAAGCAGCCACTAGCCGCGGCACAGGGGAAGTGATAGTGGCGCTGGCACCCTTCTGCGTGGCATGGAATAGTAGCACCTTGCCTTTTACAGTGTTCGCATTTCTGAAAAGAGCAAGGTAAGATTATAGCTAGCAGGACAAAAGCACTATTCTTGCACAGAAAAGTAGCCATATCAAGCCAGAAATGTGTCACATATCCAGTGATGAAATAATTGGGGCCAGGCAATTGTGTTTAAGGAAGAATGAGGTATAAACATAATTTAGAATAATACTATTATGATTTCACTTTGGCCATGGTTTATAAACTGTGATCTAAAGACACTCTGGGGGAAGACTGGGGGTGGGAACACAGTACCAATATTCGCACTGGCATTTATTAATTAAATACAAACAAGAAACACACAGACAAAAATAAAAAAAAATATGGCATTTTAAAAAAAAGATGGGCCAAAACACCCAAAATATACAGGGCATATATCTACAAGTATGCATGCTACATGGGCATTTTAATGAATGATAACCATATTCCATTATTATCATACATAGCTAATCTACATTGGCAAAGGGTTCATTCATAAGTTACTAATGACATTAACTCAGCAGACCATAGTGAAGTTTCCAGCACAGAATAAATAGTGCATGGAGAATCCACTTTATTTGCCCAGATGTCAATTTCCACACAATAGTAATATGAAAGTCTGAACATTAAATCTTGCCTCAAAGATGATTTTACCTGCAACAACTTCCTCCCAAAATTGAACAATTATAGGATATTGCACATATATTTGAATTAAACAACATATCTAACATATTTAAGAGGAGATTGGATAACCATTTGTCTGAAGTGGTGTAGGGTTTCCTGCCTAAACAGGGGGTTGAAGTAGAAGACTTTCTAAGGTTCCTTCCAACTCTGTAATTCTATTCTATTTTACCTCTCTACATTTTCAACATAATGATTTATGTAGCTTTTTCTATGTAAACACTGGAGTCCTGTGAAATCTAATAAATTTCAAGTATTATTGTTGGTTGAAGAAATATAATCCAAGATCTTTTTGGATAATGGTATTAACATTGTTTGCCGTTACCATGGCAAAGAAAGGAATGTCAATTCTTTATTCTAAATTGGTTCACTACAACAGAATTTTATGAAGAATAATTATAGGAAAATTATGTCTTAGATGTAATAACTGTTTGTAATAGAATGAGTATTTACAAGGCCAAAAATGCTGCAGATCAAACAGAGATGTGAACAGATGTTGTAATATATTGCCACTGAATCATATTGGGCAGATAAGATTTGTCCTTGAATTGGATCATGATAATTCAATTCATCATTTTCATCTAATTAACATAAAATGTTAGCCCCAATCTAAATTTTCTGCATGGTTGGGAGATTTTTTTAAAATTAATTTCAAGATCTCACTTATTCAGTCCTAACCTAGGATGAGTAAAAGCAGCCAAAGGTCATTTTCTATAAATAATGTACCAGAATCTTCAAATTGATATAATAATAAGAGAAACTATTTTATATCTATTATATTTACATCTCAGAGCATTCCAATTAACTAAGGGTATAATGTATGAATATTCTAGAGGAACCCAAGGAGAATTTCCACCAGGGGGAGCCATCCAAAATTTGAGGTTAGCTAAGGAAAATGCAGAATGATGCAGTTCTAAAATTTGGAAAACCTAACCCCTTCTTTTTAATAAACAACTCTACAATCTATTTTATCAACCTTATCAATCTTATCTATCAATCTAATCTATCTATCTATCTAATCTGAAATTGAAACATTTTTCCCTTAAATTTATAAAGCAGTATATCAATTTTTAAAAAGTATTTTAGAGAGTATAGGAATTCTACGCAAAATGTATAATATTCTAAGAAATACATTCCCAGAGTCTAATCTTGCTCAAAGGATAAAATTTTGATCCTGTCATCTATCAAGATCCAAAGATATTTCTTTTTATATTTTATTTGTGTATATGAGCAAAAAATCACGTGGAGTAAGAATTCTGATAGTTTACATAGTTTACATAGTTATCTGTTGGTTCAAATAACTATGTAAGTTATCAAGTCGAAACTGAGTCAATATAGTTATTGGAAAATGAAACTGATCACTGATCGAATTAACAAAGGGATGCAAATTGGTCAAAATTTGCATCAATTCCAACTTGGACCAGTTAACTATGTATTTCTATGTATTTCCCCAAAAACATTTGTTAAATATTAACAATTTAATAATTATTTAACAAGGCTGGAATTGAGGTTTGTAATATAGATATAAATAATAATAACACCACCATACAACATTAATTTATATTCTAAGCAATTATGAGTTAAACCATAAATACTGTAATGTCTAACAGAGCAACTAAGGTTTAAAACAAATATTTAAAGTTAAACGGGAAGGATGTTCTTGTCTCTTCCTTTTGAACTCAATGAAAAAAAATCCATTAAATTTCACTCAAGATATAGGAGTAGCAGAATCCAGATTAAATTTATAAATTCTTTACATGATCCAAATTTAGCTAGTTGAAATGTTAGCTGAAAAATTGCTGTAACTTTTAAGAGACCTTTCTAGCATCAAGTGATACAGCTGCAACTCCATTCTATCAAAAATTTTAAATTAACAACTACTTAAGCCTATGCCATCACATGACATTGCATGAAAATTCTCAACACAAGCTGCAAAGATTCTAATATATCTCCTGCATGGCCAATGGTAAGGATATTATCTTTTTTAAAAAAACCCAAACCCCAGGAAGATACCAGATGCCTGACTTCTGATTGGTTAATTAATCTAAAATTCATCTACAGTACTAAGAAATCATCCAAAGCTGCTAGATCACTTTTTTCTAGGCTGCATCAAAACAAACAAACAAACAAAAAAAGTATGGACATTCATCCTAATTATTCTGCAAACAATTCCCAGAATCTGGCATTTTCCCATCTTATTTGCTTCAAAAGAGAATAACACTCTTTTGATAAAAGCTTGGAAGCATTAAAAAAAAATCCAGGATGTTGTTATTATAACGAGTTAACTTGCATACATTAAACACAATCTGGTTCCAAGTTCAGTTTCATTCTGGAAAGGGTAAGCATGTAAGGACACAATTTGCTAGGGGCAAGATTGTTTGCAGGAAGAGTTGAAAAGTTAAGAGAACAAGCAGAGAGTTCTACTTGATTTGTTCACCTGACTCCAATATTGTACTCACTCCTCCTTTAGTAACTATCCCAATCTTAGTGACCATTTGCAAATGTACAACAGTAATAAAAAAAAATCGTTTTTTGACTGATGGGCATTTATGACAAAATTTTATGTGTCTGACACAATGCACACTTGGAGTAAGAAATAACACTGGCAAATCTGTACTACAACAGACCTTTATCTGAATGAGAGGGTAGCAACCAATGGTCTTCATAGCCTCTCTCTGTTGCACATACACTCTGTCTTATGTGTTCACTTTGCAACCATTCTGCCTAATGATCTGGTCACTGGAATGAAACTAAGTTGCTAAATCAGGGGTGTCAAACTCGATTTCATTGAGGGCTGCAACAGGGTTGTGTTTGACCTGGGGGGGGCATGGCCAGCTCTATGTCACTCATGTCAGGAGTGGCTCCGGTGACCCAAGCGCTCTGCCATTGAAAACGGAGCTCGGGAGGGCCTTCACTGTTTCCAGGACAATCCTGCAGGCCAGATCTAAGCACCCTACGGGCTGGATCTGGCCTCCGGGCCTTGAGTTTGACACCCCTGTGCTAAATGAAGAATGGGTATATTCCTTTCAAGTCTTCCTTTTTAGACATGATGGCAAATTCAGATGAATTTAAAGAGGATTTGCATTTGAAGAGAAGGATGTTATATTATGACAAGACAAATTTAATTAAATAAAATGTAAGCCACCTGTGATAGGAAAAAAGGAACCCCTTCTGATTTTGATCCCTTCCTTTGCAAATGCAAAAACCATCTAAAGTCCTGATTCCCAATATATCTATAAGATGTAAAAATTTGGGAGTTTCTAGGAAGAGATTGGACAATCATTTGCCTGAATTAGTATATGGCTATAATGGTGAACTTATGGCACACATGCCATAGGTGGCAAACACAGCCCTCTCTGGGCACGTGAGCCATTGCCCCAGCTCAGTTCTAACGCGTATGCGTGCATGCGCCTCCTTCTGGCCAGCTGGTCTTTGGGTCTCTGCCATGCATGCACCAGGGGCAGGGGCGCACAGGGGTCATGCATGCATGTGCAGGGGCGGGGCACACACATGGAGGTCTCTCACACATGCATGGGAGTGGGGCGCATGCATGGAGGTCGTGCGCATGCGCAGGGATGTGGGGGGGTCGCATATGCATGCGTGGGGACGTGGGACACGGACACACACACATTGCATTTTGGGGATTCGCGCACACGCACACGCTTTGGGCACTTGGTACCGAAAATGTCAGCCATCACTGGTATAGGGTTTCCTGCCTGAGCAGGGGGTGGTCTTTAAGGTTCCTTCCAACTGTTATTCTATTCTATTCTATGTGTAAAGACATGACTGAGGATTAGATTATGCATTTCAGAGGAGCATATCCTTATTTCTTGTTTCTCCGAGTTTAACTACAGGTATTCTTCCATTTATAAGCATTTGTTTAATGACCTTTCAAAGTTACAATGATGCTGAGCGTACAACTGGTCCTCACCTTTAGGACTGTTACAGCATCCCTGAAATCACAAGATCAAAATGTGGCCACCTGGCAACTGGTGTGTATTTATGATAGCATGTGATCACCATTAGCAACCTTCCCAGGGGGCTTCTGACAAGTAGATGGGGGGAAGCCAGATTTGCTTCACATCTACATAATTTGCTGAAGAACCATGGCAATTTGCTTAGCAACCATGCATGACTCACATAATGACTGCATTGCTTTGCGACAGCTATTCTAGCCCCAATTATGGTCATACGTTAAGGATTACCTGTATTGATGGTACATGACACTGCATCCTGTGGAACCCCTTCAACAAGGAGCCTGCAAAGCTCTGTCCTTGTTCACTAGCCGTTAGAAAGGAACCCTCCCTCCCGCCCTCCCTCCCCCAGGACAGACCTGTGCAATCCCTGAGATGACAGCTTTGTTCACAAGGCTCAACCACGTCCCTTCTGCACGTACAACTCCAGCTGACCACACCACACACCAGTGATGAGCCCAGAAGTGCCCTGGAAGAAGAAAGGCAAATAAAACAACAGGTAAATGCAAAGGTTAACCTTCCCTTATGATATTAAGAAGTTCAGCCAAGGAGAGGGACCTACGGTTTGAGGTAGCTGATAAGGTAAGAGAATTTGGAATGAACAAGGAGATATAATTGAAGAGGAGGAATGTATTATTCCAAGGACTGCTGCTGCACCTCCATACAGGAACTACCATTTCAAATCCCTAGTCATTCAGAAACAGCTGCTATTCCCAAACCTCTTCCACAAAACAATGGACAGGGGAGAAATTTAGAAGTGTTTTTGTGAATAGACTGAAAGCTTGGTTCTGGCCAAGAAGACCCCTGGGACTGAGTATATGCTGGCAAAGTTCTGCTTCTTTAGACATGGTTCCAAGTCATCCGAGTCCAGTATGGAGACCTTGGATTCCATTTAATCGGAAGCTGAGCCCATCAGGCTTCCCTCTCCTTACCTAATTTACCTTAACTGATACACACACGCACACACACACAGAGGTAAGAAGTAGGAGAAGGAGGGAGGGAAAGAAGGAAGGAAGAAAGGAAGGAAGGAAGGAAGGAAGGAAGGAAGGAAGGAAGGAAGGAAGGAAGGAAGGAAGGAAGGAAGGAGGGAGAAAATATATGTTAAGGAGCTGCAAGAATTGCCATTCCATTTTACTGACAGCACCCAGTAAGACAGGGGTGTCTACACCTAAGACAGGATGCGGCTTTCAATGGATCCTAAGGAGCCTCGTGTGTTCCAAGTGAACCGCTTCACAATGAATATAAAAACCAGGCTTCCCTTCATGGAAGCTTCCCCACACCCACCACTCACCTGTTGGCTCAAACACCTCCCTTGCTGACACACTGTCTGCAAAGCCAATCAGGGTGAGATCATCATTTCCAGCTTCTGTAGAGGCAGGCTGCTTTCCTTCTGGCAAATCAGAAAGGTCCGCCGTCCAGCCAGGTGCAGGATCAAACCGCAGCAGTTCTCGCTGTCCGTGCAAGCTCCACTTGCTGCAGTTACAGAACGCACAGCGTTTGGGTGGGAGGCTGAAGGAGGCAAGCAGAGAAGAAAATAAAAAGCTCTCATCACTGCAAAGGAATGAAAATCTCTCCGGTTCCTTAAGCAACTGAAACGCCAAGCCTTCTTAAGAGGAGCCATCCAGATCAAAATATCAATGGAATCCACCAACTCTCCATAATACATAAACACTCCAGGCTTCTATTATCCCTGGTTACAGCCTTGTATAACCTTGGTGCTCTCCGAGCTTGGTGGCTTTCTTGCAGGTGTTTCATTTTGTCTGCAAAAAGAAAACCCACCAAACTTGGAGAGCACCAAGGACCCCGCAGCTCAACCCTGCACTAGTAATGTCCTCTGCTATCAGAACCATGTATACTCCACTTCACATTCAGTGCTATGGTGCAAGCAAGATCCTACAAACGTCAGGTTGAACCTCTGGCATTCATCCAGGCCTACCTACCTCCTACGTTTCAGAGTTAATCAATGAGTCAAAACTACACTACATGGTTTCAAACAACTTCTCACCTACAAGTCTGGAGCAATTCCTCTTTAACATCCACCGTGTCCAATGCTTCTCTCACAAGGCCTTCTTCTGGCGGCTTCAGAGGATCAGCTTCCACACTGCCCTGCTCTTCTGAGGACACAATTCCATCTGCTGCTGCCGCTGCTGCTGCTGCAAGAGGACATCTGTTAAGACTCTGGTGTGTGGCACCTTGGCATAAGCCTCATGATTTCTGCCACACTGCTTGCTCTGAGGATGTCAAAGCATGTGGGGATCTTCCTCCAAATCAGCAAGTGCAATATCTATTTCAATGGATCCTGACAAATAATGATGGGCATTCCCTCAGTTCCAAACTATGAACCCAGTATCTGAAAGTGGAGGGTGTATATAACATATAACTTACACAGATGAGGTACCAGATGCACGACAGACTGAGTGGCATCTTAGAAAAAGAACAAAAGGACATTTCACAGCATTCCACCACACTAGAAGTTCTTTGCAGCCTGGTTTTTTTTTTCTCCAAATTGCAAAAAAGAAGCAAACTTACATGGAGACTATGCTCACATGTAGCAAATAAAAATTCTGTGGTGATCCTTTCATGAGGAGAGGACATGAGCTACTACCATTTTTGCCCAGTTATGAATGTGGAATAAAATACACCTTTACAAATTATTTCAGCAGAGTACTGGAACCATCCCACATAAGACCTCTCCCAACCAGACAGCTTCTGGGAGTGTTGGGACTGTAGCCCTCAGTATCCTCATACAGTTTCTGTGTTTATAGGAAATTGTGGGCGTTGCAGTCCCAACATACCCAGAACTCACTAGGCTGGGGAGACCTGTCACAAGATGAAAAACCAAAACAACTCCTTTTTTTTAGCTCGGGAAATTAGATCAAAGAATCACATAACATATATTGTGCTTCATGTTCCTATTCCATTCAGTCCTATTTCACAGAAGCCCATTTCTCTCTCAAAGTGAAACAATTAACACCCCACCACCCTCAGGAAGCAGTCTCTTAGCATGCCGATAGGAAGCCCTGCCATCTGCACAAAGCTTGGCTTGAAAATGAGGAGAAAGTGACTTAGATCAAAGTTTCACAGACTTGGAACATCTAAACCTTTTGACATTTTACTTTGGAAAGAGAAATAAAATATGCCAAACCTCTGATAAGCTGAATCCCCCTTCTTGGGAAAAACAACAGGTAGTAAATACCCTAAATGACCTGTCCCTGTACAAAAGCATATTAAGAACCTACTCATCCGAACTGGTCTGGAGATAAAACAAACTGAATTCTATTCAGCCTCAGTCAAATAATTTGAGAGTAACTGTTAATCACTGCAATTTACTTTTTAACGAGGGTAAAGCATAAATTATTTTCAACTGTCTTTTTCAGTATTGAAGTATAAAGCAGGTTGTTTATCTTCTTCAGGCTAAAACATGCCCCCTCACCATGTCATCTCCCAACTATTTGGCTATGCTAGAAAGTGGATTAACTGTAGTCCAAGAGATACGTAAATGCACCCTCTTCTTAAGCACAAAATTGTTGGTGACAGCAGAGTAAGCTCAGGTATTAGTCAGAGTGAAGTAGTCATTTCTGTCGGACAGCAAATCCTGAACCCCTAACCTACCCCCTAAACTAGCCTGCGGTCCTTAGGTATGATACATGCTACTGCCATTTTGCCAGCATCAAAGAAAAATTCTGACTAGCCACTGTTGGTGTAATTTGGAGGAGGATGTCATTTGTTCTATAACTGCAGCTTGCATGTTTTCTAAATACTACTATCCACCCATCTTCATGCTGTGTGATGTAATATATCTGCCTAAAACTGCTCATCAAGAGAAAAGACCAAAATGGGCATACCTACCTGGTGTACCAGAGCATTGGTCCTCACCAGGTGGTTTCTGATCATCCATCCTGTCTCAAAGAGACCTAGAAAACAAGAGAAAACAGCTCATTTCACTTTCTTTCACCAGTTCCCTTAAGAAACTGCTCTAATTCACGCTACACACTTTGTGCTGCTATTGAACAGAGTGTTAATGGAGCAAAGTGGATGCTTCAAATCATTTTTCCTTATACTGTGTCGATTGCTGAGAACTGTTTGGTTACAGTAAGGTATATGTATAATAAAAACATTCATATAATAAGACTATGTTAACACAGGCACTTTTATAGCCCACTTGTTTTCCATAGTCTACTATTTGAACGATTAAGTAAGGATACAAAACAAAGAATGGCATGAGCTTGGGACTAGGGCAGCATTCCTTGATCTGGAATCTGGTTAGTTGTGAGAACTACAACCCCCTTGTCCATTGCCATGCTGATTGCCATATTCAGGAGTTACAGTCTCGCCCATCTAGAGGGTATCGGATTGGGGAAGGCCGGGCGACAGCATAAGCCATGTGAAAAGAATAACTCTGGGGGAACAAAAAGAAAGATCAGGTTACTGACCTCTCTGATATTGAAAACCCCAGATCAATGACATCCAAGCATGCCTGTGTGCACATTACCAAAAACAGTACCGATTTCTGGGAGTTTTGCAAGAGTCCCGTCCTGTCCCCCCCACCCCAATAATTCAAAAGGAGTAAACATCTGTTCTGAATCAAAGAACAATTGGATCAGAGTTGCCTAGGATTAAGAACTCTGCAAGAGAATGTTCTCCTTTCAGTAATTAAGGCTTGCCCTACCAAGCAGCTGTAGTTGATACAAATGGTGGACGACAAACTCAGTACAGAAAGTGCTCGGCTTACAACAGTTAGTTTAGTGACCATTCGAAAACAACGGCATTGAAAAAAGTCACTTATGACCATTTTTCACACTTATAATTGTTACAGAATCTCCGTGGTCATGTGATTTACATTCAGATGTTTGACAACTGGTTCATATTTATGATGGTTGGAGTGTCCTGGGGTCATGGGATCAACTTTTGTGATCTTCTCACAAGCAAAGTCAATGGGGAAGCCAGATTCACTTAACAACGGCATTACTAATTTAACAACTGCAGTGATCCACTTAACAAATGTGGCAAGAAAACTTTTAAAATGGGGCAAACTCACTTAACAAATTTCCCACTTAGCAACATAAATTTCGGACTCAATTGTGGTTGTAAGTCGAGGACTACCTTTACAGTAATTCTACCCTAATCAACATAAATGTTAAGAAAATAACCCCATCCCTTAAATCTTACCTATGGCAACCCTTAATTTCAAACATTTATATTGAAAGAAAAACACGATCAGATTTTAGTATTAAGCAGCCTTGTCCAACCTGGGCATTCTTCAGTTGAAGCCCACACATCTGAAAGTGTCCCAAGCAGGGAATGGTGCTATAAAGTTTAGCATATCCAAGGCAGAAGTAAAATTCTTTATGCAACTAAATGTATTTGTGTTATTTTGAATTTAGTGTTAAATTCTAAAGGCTATGATAGTTTCATAGAAGTAATATTTTCATCCTTACGGTGCAGAGATACTTACCATTTTTAAAAATGTTATTTTAAATGTAATTGTAGTAAGTAATTGTAATAAGCATTAACACAAACATCCACTGTGTATAACACAGCATATTTATTTTGATATTCTTGCTACTAGATGTCATGTACAAATGAAAATAACATTACTCTGCAACCAACACAAGATATGTAAAACTGCTAGTGGTATCTTCACCCAAGCTCGCAAATCTTTTATTTATTTACTAAAAATTATGACTCCCCAATCACCCAAGAATTGGCTACAGGCAACAAATATGAAGAAAAAAACCCCAATTGTTTGTTTTTTAAAACATACTTTAAAAAAAAACTAAGAATCTTCCCAAAGGGCAGTAGGTAATAACGGCCCTGTGGGAAAGATATAGCCTAGCTAAAAGGCTTCTGAATGTAATTTATTGTAACTAGGCTTCTTAGATGGATTTTAAATAATATATATTTAATAATAATATAGTACTGCAGTAATCTTAATAGATTATGTTTGTCTTTGCCTTACAACATCTCCATCTTTTAGTACAACAGCATGAGATAAATCCAAACATATACGTTTTCCAAAGCAGAAACTCAAAATGTTCAGCCCTAAAACTCCCAAATGCTAAACACAAGTGAAACAAGTTTAGATCACACTATTTCCACAAAAAGAAAAATGAAAGGCAAAAAGCTAACAATATTAAAAGTTAGAAATATCACCTGAAACATATAACATCCCATGTGTTAGATTAAAACTCCTGAAATCCCTAGCCAGTTCCAAATATATTCTGACTCATAAACTAAGAAGCAGTGTCTGCATCTCTCAAATTAATGTCCCTTCAGTAAATAAGAACCATACTATTTGTTATGGCAAACAAGAAAATGGATGAGGAAATGGGTTCCATTTGCCCTGATAGGTATGTTCACATAAATTACCTGAAAGTAACCTTCAGAGACCATCCTGCTATTACTAGAGCAATCAGTTTGTTCAATGAACCATTTAAAGGTCTTCTATAAAAACCGTGCAGCATGCCTAAGTAAAGTCATTTGTGTTGTGGTTTTCCCATTTCTATGCTCATCCTAATATCGTAACTTAAACCAGGACACACTTTGTTCAACAAACCAGATTCATTCTGGCAGAAGCAGTATTTCTGATTTAGTTTCCATTCTTTTAACATTTCAGGTTTGGGCAAGATACAAAAATAAATTAGGATTAAACCAGGAAACCTATAAAATGCATGCTATATTTATCCATCACCCAAACAGTAAACTACGATTGCAATCAGTAAGGCAATGGACATTAAAAGCGTACAATCCTAAAACAAACTGGTTTATTCCTTTACTCCATCCACATGTTGTGGAAATGTATAATTCACAATATTTTTCAGTCAATGGCAACATCTGGAATTTTGATGGGAATACATGGGCATTCTTACAATATTGCCATGGAGAACACAGCCAATTATATATAGTACATCCATTTTCCAGAAGACAAACTGGTGAGATTACTCTCTGTTGAATTCAGTGATCTCGTCTTCATTATTCTATAATTCTCCATCATTCTAAGCCAGTGGTAGTCAACCTGGTCCCTACCACCCACTAGTGGGCATTCCAGCTTTCATGGTGGGCGGTAAGGGGTTTTGTCCCCTACTTTATAAATCCCCATTACTGTGGAACCAGTGGGCAGTTAGAAAATTTTACTAACAGAGATACAAAAGTGGGCGGTAGGTATAAAAAGGTTGACTACCCCTGTTCTAAGCTTTCAAAACTGTCTATCACCTTAACATGTCTTTGACTTTATGGAGAGGATGATCATGCTTCTACAGAATTTTTTAAGATGCTTATGTCATTTACATAAAGATGATGATCAAAACTGACATGTTGCTTTACAGTAATACTATTTTATCATTTAATTAAAATAAATAGGAATATAAAATCAGATGGTCCAGGAAGGCAAGTTGGGTACCCAGAATCTACACAAAAAGCTAACAGGAAACAACTAGCTAACTAATGGGACTGGGTTAGGGATTTCTGTTCTCACTGTGAGTTGTGTTGTGGGGGGAGGGTGCACGAGGGGGGTGCACGAAGGGAAGCTCAGCCAATCTCATTGTACACATGTTGTACTCTGACAAGAAAAGTAATAATAATAATAATCCTTATTGCCTTAAAAATTCCCAAGATCTCTTGTGCGCATAACATTAAAGTGGATTTATGGAGAATGAAAAGCTATTATTACATTGTACCCAAACATGATCACGGCTATTGAATTTCACTCCACATTTTTACTCTTCTGTGTTCTTCTCTAATTATTGCCTCTAAAGTAGATTCTGCAATCCCAACCAAGGAAAATTACCTCAAGGCAAAACCATTCACAAGCAACTGGCCAGTTTAAGACAGCTTCCATCCCTACCTGCGAAGAGATAATACTGTAGTTCTGATTCATTGCTATAATCCAGGAAAGTGACACCTGCCTCACAGCAATTCCTTCAAAACAATAATTCCCAATGGAAGAACTGCCTTGTTAAGGGGACAGGAAGAAGCCCTCCATTATCAGGAAGAGGTGGGCAAAGTTGTAGAAGGTCCTTTGGCATTTATACAGACTGACCTCAACTAAAAAACATAGAGAGCAACAAAAAATATTTCAGCTGATGTTCCCTCTAAAAGAGGCAGGGGTGAGAAAGAGCAGGAGATGAAAATTGTAGAAAAAGCAGGGATCCCAACCAGTGATCGGATTCAAAAAAATTTACTATCGGTTCTGTGGGCCTAGCTTGGTGGGCGTGGCAGGGGAAGAATACTGTAAAATCCCCATTCCCTTCCCACCCCACTAACCTGCTTTCCAGCTCCGTTCTCCTGTGCAGGGCAACAAAAGAACACCCAGCCAATCAGCTGGGACTCAGGAGGCAGAAAATAGGTGGGGGTGGGGCCAGTCAGAGGTGGTATTTGCCCGTTCTCCAAACTACTCAAAATGTCCACTACCGGTTCTCCAGAACTGGTCAGAACCTGCTGAATACCATCTCTGATCCAAACCCTCTGGCTGTACTAGCAGGATATCTACCACAGAATGAAGATCTGTGAAGCTCATTAAGCCAAAGTAATTAGAGAAAGGACTAGAAATCAAACGCCCCGCGGGTCACCTTCATCTATACTTTTTCTTTGGCCATTTGACTATAAAAAATAGAGAATCCAAGAAACGGTAAGATACAATATGGTGTCTTAACAGTGCAACTCGGCTTCCATCTTTATCAGATCCTTACGGACCTCAGCAGATATTAGAGCAGTGGTCAGGGAACAGGGGTAAATTACCCCAAATGGGGTAAAAGTGAAAATCTGGGGGTAATGAGGAGGTTGCGCTGGCCAATGGCGGAACTATCGGCATAGCAGCAGTTATTACGGTCCATTATAGCACGGACGGCCAGTGTCAGTGTGTGTCAGTGTCACCGCATCCTCCTTCTCTGCTCTGCTCCCCCCCCGCTCTCTCAGT